ATACATGAGCAAGTATTGGAGGTCCCCATACACGAAACGCTCGGTCTGTCGGACCGCATTTAGCCGGAAGGTAAACAAATTCAATTGTTTATTTGTATATTTCATAAGAAATCATTACTTTTAAGAAAAGCAGGCAAATAGCCGGAAGTCCTTGACAGACCGACGTTTAGTCTGCTGCTAGAAGCCGACATTTCAGTTAGTTATAAATTTCTACGGTCACTCTGATCCAAGCATTTTAGCAGACTAAATGTCGGTCTGTCAAGGACTTCCGGCTGTTTGCCTGCCGACAGACCGAGTTATTTGTGCAGCTGACGTCAAGAGCTTTAATTTGGTACCACATATGACCTGCTTTTCTTAAAAGTAATGATTTCTTATGAAATATACAAATAAACAATTAAATTTGTTTATCTTCCGCGGTCCGACAGACCGAGCGTTTCGGGTATGGGGACCTTCTAATACTTGTTCATGTATACGTTTTATGCTGCTATTTGAATGGTAATGGTTTGCATCGCGGGCTCTTAGACTATAATGTGAATCGGCTTTTGTGATTACAAAGGACAATCCGGGCAATATTTTGAGGAATACGAGATTGGCAAGTTTGCAATGACAACTCGTAATGGAACGTTATTTGTTTGGATGTGAAATAATAATATTATATACCGCGGGACTGAAGTAGTACTTTTAATCCCGAAGGTAAAGTTTATGGCCATAATTTACCTGAGGGATTAAGACCACTACTTCAGTCGCAAGGTATATACGATATTTTTCGTACTTCCGAAACTGTAACACTTAATATGTATGGAGTTAGAGAACGCGTTCTTTCAAAAAATCGCTGCTCAACAAGTTACCATAGGAACTGTCATTGCTAGTGTCATAATTTTGGTGGTAGGTGACAAAGGTGTATTTGATATTGATAAAAAGCAACCAAAGTAGGTAAAGAATTGATACCACCGAAATCCAAAAACTATATGAACAGCGCCAGTACAATGCGTTTAAGAAGTAGTGCCGCATACAAAATGTGGAACAACCTACTGAAATTGCTTTGTTAGTAATTTCATCCTTCCGGGATTTTCGTAAAATTTAATCCCGTCGGGACAAAAAGTGACACTTCAGTACTTGTCATAATGGAGTGAAGTTGTCAGTTGTCACTTTAGTCTCGGAAGTACGAAAAATCATATTTTGATATAATACCGATAGTATGTAGTTCCTTCGAATTAGAAATGTGTAGGTACCTATTTCCTATTATGGGATCCAATCAGTGGGGTTTCTCTATTTATTTGAAATTAGGGTGCTTAAATTTAGTTGTACATTTATTATGAAATAAATATAACATCTCCAGTTAGTGATAATGCTCATTTAGTGAATCTGTATAATAATCTCCAATAAAGGAAAAGTATGTTAATACCCGTCGAGTTACGGAGGAATTGTATTCAATTATTATTGAACAAAATTCTATAAATTAACTCTGTGCACATTCAAGAAGAGTAAAAGTTGCATACTCGTCAAGTTAAAGGAGCATTGATTAATATTCTGCAGATTTAAACAAAATTTTATAAATTTGACCCTGTGCATCGTCAATAAGGGTAAAAAGTATGTGCATACCCGTCAAGTTCAAGGGGCATTGAATAATATTCTGCAGATTTGAACAACATTCTATAAATTTTACTCTGTGCACCTTCAATAAGGGTAAAACTAAAATAATTTGGTAGGATTGAATGTTAATTTTGTAAAGTGTCGTAAGTGCATCCCTGTCAACCTGTAGAATCCAAATCGCCCAGGAAATGGAAAATCGAACGTGTGCTTTGTGTTTTTTTCTTCATTGCAATACTGTTTTTTACCTATAACTTTTCGACGTACTGAGGCGATCTTCATCGACCCCTGCGATTGTTTTTGATGTTGGCCTGTAGGATTAATTTTTGAACCTTCTTATGTGTGTATGGAAGCCCTGGAACCGCTGTGGCCATTGAAGGTACAGAAAGTAAAACAAAAACACCGCAATAAACCTCAATAATATATTAGCAGATGGAACATGTTTTAACAACAAAGTTGTCACCATCAGTTGCTGCAGCAGTGGTTACTTAGACTTGTGTATATTATAGTGAAGTAAGCTGCAAGATCTATAATTACATAAATACAATTGATCAAAGAATCACACAACACAGATTAATTGATTAATGTAGTTCCTTGTCATTGCTAAAAGAGCTACAGCTAAATATTCCAACATTTATGAAGTAGGTTTATAAAAATGTTTTACAAATTGTGCTAAACTTAAAACGTGACCGGGTCCTTTAGTTGAATCCATTTGAATGTAGTCTTCCAAGTTGTGTGAGGAAACTAAAAAAATTAATAAGAGGAAAATTATTTGAGATAAAATATTACCGGATGATGAAATGGCTGGATAATTTGGAGGTGGTTTAATCCAACTTCCATCTGAACGTTTCATATGCCTTCTGTCTGAAGCAAAATCTCGAAGAAATTCTATAGCCTGTATTATTCTGAAAAATCTACAAATATCGAATGAGTGCGGAGTAAAACATAGTTCCATACAAGTTAAATTAGTGATTTCTTGTTGATTATTGACTGTGTTAAATGTACGTATGTGTAAAATTAGCAGTGGGTATGTCAACAGCATAAAACATGGGACTGTTTTGGGCCGAAATGTGCTGCAGTCAGTTTGTCAACAAAACATACTGTTCACAACTTTTGTATAGCACCGAGTATAGCACATAACGTAGGACGAGGTGCATTGATTTCTGCCGAATTTCTGTATACATCTTAGATGATATTTATTATACTGGAGATCAATAAAAAGTATAAAAAATGGTACAAACCTACCTACCTAAAGTAATCTGGTTTGAGGATTTGGTCTGTGCGAAATGTTTCCGTAACATATTTGTGTATGTAGGTGGGAAATGGTAATTCAGAATCCAAATCATAAACTAAACATCGATCAACTTCCGGATGATATAAAAATATCACATGATAGTCCTAAAGAGGGGTTTTTTAAAATTTGCAAATATTAAGAAATGTTACTACCCAAACGACAAGTTTGCCATCATCTTTTCCAGCTCGTTGTCTCCAAAGAGGTACAGTTCTGCTCAGATTAGAAATAAATGCTACATAACATTTCGTTACTTCATTTGGATTACGCTTATTTACATCTTGACATAATTTGTAGACATTTTCTTCACTACAATAAAAAAAAATTCAAAGTCCTATGCAAGCCAACACTTCGTTAATTAATTAATTTAGGTATACGTCTTTCGCTATAAAAACCGTTGCACGTCATTGATTTGTGTATCAATTTCAGACATATGCTGCAACATGTACAAAAAAAAAACAAGTAGTGTGCGAAATCTATAGAAAACTTGTCTCAAATTGATTCATAAATCAATGACGTGCACCGCTTTTTATAGCGAAAGACGTATAATAAAAAGATGAGTTAACCCCAGAGAGTTATCCAAAAGAAGAACTACCCCATAAAACATGCAAACACTAAAAAAGTCAGTACCTATGTATGAACCTGGGTGTGAACTTATATTACAAGAACATCAACAAACATAAATTTAGAATTTTGGTCCATTTATTTACAATGCAGGCTCAAATAACCTTACCAATAACAAGAAACATATGAACAATCTCCTTGTTTTGAAAATAAATTGATGATAGATTGTTTCTTGTATTCAAAATTAGAATCATTAATAACTTCAGCTTTGCACTCCGAGGTCATTCCACAGAAGTAAAAGTACACTTTGTTTACAAATAGAATTAGATCATTGTTATGATTAATATATGTGTTGAACTTTGATTGTAGTAGTAGCTTTGTTTATGAATAAACAAAGGTAGTAGATAGTCAAAAGGGTTGAAAAAACAAAGATAAAACCTTGATGATTGACCTGACACGGAACCATAGAGATATGTTATTCTCATTTGTTCAGAACTAAGACTTATTGGTATCTAAAACGAAACGTGACTCAACCTGGACGTTCTTTTATATACGGGGTGGTTGACTTGAAGAACGCAACATTGTAATTTCAATAGTAATTTTTAATTTCCGATAATTGGCTTCCCTAATTATTTTAGAAATAAAGTCAATTCCTACTACTTTATGGAACCCTTTAAATAATTTCGTAGTAAATTAATAGCGCAAGTATCCGTACCGATATAGTGTAGAATCGCTATAATGGCATATCCTGGTTAACGGTATTAAAGGCCTTGGAATAATCAACTGGTAACCACTAATAGAGTAAAGCTCAAGAGATTCTCTCCTGTCACCTTGTCTAGTTAAGAGGAAGAAAAGTAAACCGGTTTGTTTTTTCTTATTTGAAATTTTAAACACTTTCATATGTCTGTATGTCTTGGTTTTCTATTTTTCTTTAAGGTAATTTAAGATCTCAAATACTGTCTTTATTCAATTTAGAAAGAAAATAACTACAATCATTGAATAACGAAATCAGAACAATGCACAAAGCAGAAAGCAAATAATAATATGGAGTCGTCAGACACTTTCCTTGCCTCGAAGTATATCTACCTATGTAGATAATGTAATAAATGAGAATATCCATTGAATAAGTCATTATACTTATTCAATGGAATATCACAGAGTTGCCGTATTGTTGTATTTTTCAAATTTCAACAGGTAACGTGTTTTGGTAGAGTCACGTCGAATTCTAGATGCGAAAATCCAATATTATAAGCGTCATCTATTGTCGAGCGTAACATTAAATATTAAGTGAAGCTCGTATGGATGGCGCTTACCTCAGCTCAGTGGCTCCGTTGAAGAGTTGACGTACAATAGGATGTCAAAGGCTCTAACGTCAAATGTTCATTAACTTATTTTGTAGAAGTTAAAGGAAAATTGTTTTCCATTAACCAAATAAAACAAGTATAGGACATGTAGTGTTTTATAAATCTTCGTATTTAAGGTGCTGTGTATTTTTTGTATTTAACTCAATTAATTATGGCTTCTGGTGATATCATTGACTGTATAGAAATTGCAGAAACTTCCTTCTCTCCAGCTGGTTCAAAAGAAGTAAATAAGGACTATGAAAACCAAAGAGACGGTAAATAACGCTTTATCTTTACCAGTATCTACATCAATGTGAATACTATTTTCCTATATATATTTAGTGATTCTCAATCTCTTGAGCCTTGAGAAATAATTATTTTCAATTGAAGGTGAGCTTCCGAGTGTAATAGGCAGTTATAATCGTTGTTTTATTAAAACCAAACTGTATTTTGATCCCAGGAAGTATTTTATGTTATAGGTAGTCGTTGTTCCAGCTAAGAGTTCCAGCATTAACTGAATCACTTTTATTAGAAAATTTTCTGGCTCGCTGAACTACCTGTTATGTAAACAAATGTTTACCATTAAGGTACCTTTACACTATCATACTTCTCATGTGATTTGTCATATGATAAGTAACAAGCATTTAGCTCGGCATTTAGACTCGCATTTAGATTTGTGTTTACACTGGAAATAATACGTAAATCGTGGAATAGGGATGTTTCTATTTCTGCATGACAAATGACATGACTTATTTTAAATATCCAAGTGATCCCACCCTTTTATGGTTACTTTTCGAATGTTGCTATTGTAGGTACTTTATGTGTAAACCTGAATACTTGAGTAAACCAGTAAACTTTTGATTATATCATTGATTATAGGTATATTACTAATGAAAGAATAAATTCGAGAATAAATTACATAAACAATAAATATTTACGAGTATATTGGTATTTGGTTATCTGATTGTAGTGGTGTTTTCAGACACACATTGTCAAATAGTGTCTTGATTGGTAATTAACCCTTCAAATGTTTGGGGTAATCTTTCAAATCAGCGGTACGCTCATCGGTGTAAAATTTTTAGAGCTAACGGGATCTTCATACTTCCATCGTTTAAATAGCATTGTAGTTATTCCAAGGCCGTCATCTCGCCTCTCTAACCTTTTTCTTGGTTATTTTTCTTTTCTGCAATTGTCTTTGTTTCAAAACAATATCATAAGATGGAGATTAGGGATTGAATATTTTCCATTTTTTATTTTAATTTAGAGAAGTTATAGGTTTCGTAACTTCTTGTATTAAAAGTCATATGAAAAACCTGTCAAGTGTAAAGTAAAACATTAAAACTCATACGAAAAATATGTTGGTAGTAAATATCATATAACATATTGTAACGTTATTTATAAATTCGGGTTCGATTTATATCAATATTTATTAAACAGAACTAAAACACTATAAAATCCGTACAATTTATATCGATTATTTATATCACTCACAAATTTATATCGATTATTTATATCACTCACACTTCGCAATTTATCTTTTCGTGCTCGATGTTTACGTACTCGTTCGGTAGTAGACTGCCGCGATGTTCGGTCCGCAACCATTTATACACGCAAGCAATGTAAGTCCAGTACATTCTCGAATATTCGCGCGCGTAGAAAATTCCAGAGCGCGAAAGGCGACGTCATGTCTGGAGCATTTCCGTTACACTGCCCCCTTCTTAATTCTGGACGTCTCGTTCAGAAACTGCGTTAGTATTACTTTTTAATGCCTCGTGTCGGAATCTGCAGTCAGAGCCTGCTCGACAAACACCTTTCTTGAAAAAGTAACAGTCCACAGTTTTGCGGAGGGTCGTCCCCTGTGGGTTGAAGCAGCATACTGTAATTCGAACGCTAGTGTTTCTAAAAATCACTTCGATCATGGTTCGCACTATCTTCCAGTCCAACCCATCTAAACCACATCCAATCTTCGGGATCGCCAAGCTATTTATGTCATAGTATGCCATGAGTTTCCTTAAGCTTTTTAAAGCAGACCAGAGGTTTTCATAGGTGGGTTTGCCTTCTGACGTTTTCTTTGAAACCAAGTAGAACAAAGAGCGTTGACTATCTTCCAAGCGCAGTACTTTACCCACTCGTGGTCTTTGCTTTATCAACTCGTCTATTCTTCCAAATCTTTTCCGGAATACGGAAGCTATACCTCTACCCATGCGAAGGTCTTCGGCGACACAATGGGCGATGGAAACGTTAACCGGAAGCTCAAAAATATTTTGACAAATTTCCTGAGTAACGCCAAATCGAGCTTTCTTCCGCTGGGCGTAATTTGACATAAAATCGTTAAAGTTTGGCTCGATCCCAAAGCTGCGTTCCTCTTCTCGAATACCTCTAACTTCTTCGTTGTTGTTGGATCCGGCATATCGTGCGAGTCGATTAATGTGGACAACTTTCGGTTTCCGGTGGTTCATTCTGATACGATATATCACGTCATTTATTTTCTTGATCACCTCATACGGACCTTCCCATTGTCTTTGTAGCTTGGGAGAAAGACCTCTTCGTCTCTGTGGATTGTGCAGCCATACCAGATCTCCAGCTTCAAAAGTTTCATTGGCCGAGCGGAGGTTGTATTGATTTTTCATGCGATCGCTGGCAATCTGAATATGACTTCTAGCCAAGTCGTGAATGTCGTTCATCTTCGCCTTTAGTTGGTCAACATAATTTTCACCTGCGACATATTCTTCATGGGGTTTACGCCCAAACTCGAGGTCACATGGAAGGCGTAGTTCACGACCCAACATAAGGCAGGCAGGAGTCTGACCCGTGGTCTCGTTGACGGCTGATCGATATGCCATAAGGAACAGGTGGAGGTACTGGTCCCAATTTTTCTGATGTTCTGCCACGACTTTTGAAAGATATTTACCCATCGTTCGATTCATTCTCTCCACCATTCCATCTGACTGAGGATGTAAAGGTGTTGTTCTGGTTTTATTGGCTCCTACCAATTGACAAACATCTTGGAACAAAGCCGATTCAAAGTTCCTTCCTTGGTCTGAATGGATTTCTATAGGAACACCAAAACGTGTAAAGAACTCCTTTACCAACACTTCTGCAACTGTTGCTGCCTCTTGGTTTGGAATGGCGTAAGCTTCAGTCCACTTTGTGAAATAATCCATAGTGACTAGGATATATTTATTTCCGCCATCTGTCTCGGGAAACGGTCCTGCGATATCGATAGCAACTCGTTCCATCGGACTACCAACGTTATACTGCCTCATGGGTGCCTTCTTCTTAGAAACTGGTCCGTTTCCAGTAGCACATAACTCACATTTTTGACACCATCGCCGGACATCTCCTTTACGGTTGACCCAATAGAATCGCTCACGTACCCTTTGCAACGTTTTCGTAATACCAAAGTGTCCTCCGGAAGCACCGTCATGCAATTTTCGCAATACTTCCGACACTTTGCTTCTAGGTACTACTAATTGCAGCGTCGATTCGGTGCCATCTTCACTTTCAAGGGTCCTATACAACAGGTTGTCTTTCAGAGTCAGGCTATTCCATTGGCCCCAATAACTCTTTACTTCAGGACTTGTGGCACTAATGTCCTGCCAGCCTGGTCTTTGTCCGTGGCGCATCCAATTCAGAACAGTTTTTATACTTGGGTCGTTTTCTTGGGCCGTTTTGATTTCGCTTGGCTTCCACTCCTCACTCTCTACAGTTGTTCGTCGCAGATGGCCAATCTTGTCTTCTATTTTAGAACAATGTGTGCAGTTGTCCTTGCACGGTCTTCTTGACAAAGCGTCTGCATTATTGTGAACTTTTCCAGACGACGAAATGTTTACAGTAAAGATCGGGGTTTTGTTTCTGCAGGTCGACGATAGCCCCTTCCTGTCGACCTTTCTTAGTTTTCCGACTGCTGCAATGGTTTTTGGCAGTTGCGGCGAACGTGTCCAATCTCGCTGCAATTCACGTTTCTTTGCCAGTGACTGTATTGCTTTATAACGCATGGGCCAAAGCTTTTTCAATTTTGTCGTGCCTAGCCAGTCTCAAAGCCTGCTGGGCATCTCCATCACGAACGGCATCGATAAATGTTTGTACAGCCAGTTGATCAAGAAAGCTTTCCGGTGCCGTAGGGTATGCCAATCGAATCAGTCTAGCGATGTCCGCTTCAAGTTCCTGCAAACTTTCTCCAGGTTTCTGCATTCGGTTCTTGACTTGGGCATAGTAAACTTGCTGAAGGTGTTTAATGCCATATCGCATTTCGAGTCGCGCTACTATTTGTTGGAAGTTCTGTTGATCCTCGGGGATGGTCCGCAACACATCCAGAGCATCTCCTCTCAGAGCAAGAATCAGGCCTGTAGTTTTGTCTTGAAGAGTCCATTTATTTGCCGCAGCCGCTGCCTCAAACTGTCGAACGTACGTGGTCCAAGGAATCTTACCATCAAAAGTAGGTGGCTTTACTCGGGCTTGCTGAACGTCGCCTTCTACTCTTGTATTTGTTTCTGGGTCGACCTTCTTGTAATGAGTAGGCTGTGGCACCTCAAGAAGACGGTCCATCAGTAATTCATCTGGGGCACTACTAGTACGCTCTTCCGTAGTCAGCCGCAAGAATTGCTCGCGCAGCTCTTCATACTTGTGCTCAATCTCAACGAATGTCGCTTTAAATGTTTTGGAAACTTCCGTAATTCTATCTTCAACTTTTTCTTCAATTGATTTAGAGACTTCTTCGATAATATTTCTAGAATTTTCTTCCAACTTCTCGAACTTCTCTTGAATATTTCTAGAATTTTCTTCATTAATCTTTCTAGAATTTTCTTCCATTTTCTCGAACTTCTCTTCAAAATTTCTAGAATTTTCTTCCAACTTCTCTTGAATATTTCTAGAATTTTCTTGGGTGCTTTTCATTTCTTGTTGCAACACCTGTTGGCCATTTTGGATTTGCTGGAGCAAATTGAGCATCGTTTCTTCCATTTTAGCGGCAGCAGATCTTGTTACAGGCATACACAAGCACAAGCACTTAATTTAATCTTACTTTTAATTAATTTAATTAATCCCACTCCTGACACCAATGTAACGTTATTTATAAATTCGGGTTCGATTTATATCAATATTTATTAAACAGAACTAAAACACTATAAAATCCGTACAATTTATATCGATTATTTATATCACTCACACGTCGCAATTTATATTTCCGCGCTCGATGTTTACGTACTCGTTCGGTAGTAGACTGCCGCGATGTTCGGTCCGCAACCATTTATACACGCAAGCAATGTAAGTCCAGTACATTCTCGAATATTCGCGCGCGTAGAAAATTCCAGAGCGCCAAAGGCGACGTCATATCTGGAGCATTTCCGTTACAATATCATATAAAAATTCATGTGAGATATATTATAGTGTAAAGGTACCTTTAGAATTGTAGCTAAATAATTCCGCACATAAGCACCCGCATGTTGAATTAACTAAAAGTAACTAACGTCATAATATCTCATGTTGAGGCGTGTTGAGATTTCACAATTTACCTTGCTATTCACTAACAACCAAGAAAAGTAGGTACCTACCTCTTGCTAGAATCGTTATTGTGAAGCTTGTAAAGGCTTACATTGTAAATGTGTGTACTTACAGTTTTAGATCTTCATCAATGCAAATTTTTTAAATTCTAAATAAACTCGTAAATAAATAATCGTGGAACGTGACCCCTGAAAAAACAACCTTCTGTAGATTCTCACTCGGGTTCACAGTACCATCTCACGATCAATGATGTAAATCCTCCAGCGTAACTTATATTTTAGTATACCTCGAAATCTTGCAATTGTAAATTTTTAACACCCTGCAGATCGGTAACGAGGCGTTTGCGGTCCTATGTTTATATGAACTTGTAGTCATTAAATAAGCCAAAGAATTAGCCTCTTCCGTATTTACATCATATGGAGGAACACCCTGTATAAATGACAAAACACACTCAGATGTTGAGCTAAAGTATTTTAACATCCCAACCTAAATCTTGTTTTATTTTTTCTGGATTTTGTACTTCTCTTTTTTTTTTAAATAAATTTTTTTTTTCTTAGACGTTTTATTAACTTCCAGATTTAGGTACTATTATTCTGTTACAGGTAGTCGGTTTACAACACATCTTCTTTCTAATTCCTTATTTTGTTTGAATAAAATGAAAAGGCCATGAAAATAGGAAACTATGTGGCATTTCAGATATTTCATGCTTTTATGGGATTGAATGTAGTTATTGCCTTTTTCTGCATGTATCTTCCTCACTCCTTGGGATATTTCCCATAACCCTGACCAATCTGTCACATGAAAGCGAGCTTGAAAGTTTCCCATTTTCTTCAATCAACAACCAGCATTTTAGATGCCTGCATCTTTTTAATTAATGAAGGTAGTCCAGTAGTAATGAAGGTAAATGTTTGGTAATGGATGAGTAATGTGAGTATTCCTAATCATGTCAAACCGAGTGTCAAACGTACAAATATTCGTTGTGAGACATCCCTCTATTGATCAATTGGGTGGGGAACGTTCAAACGCTTTACTTTGAGATCCAATACCAGTATTTTACACACTTTTGATGACTGTGACTTTTAATCAGTATTTAAGTATGGTCCAATTTATGCATACGCTAATTTTGGTGGTAGATTTTTTTAATTTTCTAGCATACGTTAAATTGACATTTTAATAGGTTTGCTAAGTCTCTCTTTAACAGTAAGAGTAGATAAAGTGTTCACTTTAACGTCAAGGGTAGATAAAATGAATTTTCCGAGGAATGTTCAGAAGTATAATGATACTTATGGCTTCTGCTATAAAATAAAGTTTGGTATTAGGTATAGGTACACGACAATAAAGGAAAACTAACCATCTTGTGAAAGTTAATTCAGTTAGTTCAAGTAAAACATACCTTTGTTATCTTGCATAATAGATGACTATTTTTGGTTATAGATGTGTGTAGTGGACCGCACTTGGTCATATTTAAACATTTTATTATGTAATACTGTATACTGTTTAAAATTCTTATATCCATTCCTTTTGCTTATCGTCACTTTAGTTCACTTTCTAAGTACCTTGCCAGTTTCCACTTGTCACTCTCTATAAGTATAACAACTATATGTGCGGCTTCAAATAAGTTGTTAAAATTGTTATTAATACGCGATTTTTGCTTTCAGAAAAAATGGTCACTGTGACCTTCGACAAATTAGAAAATCAAGATGTAAGTATAATATCGATTATATTCCACAAAACTGATTAAGTAAATTAAAACCTCTCATTTTCCTTGGACCCTAATCTATTAATAATTGATAGGTACAATAATTATTTTTGTGTTTCGCTAAGATGACATTGACACAGAAATTAAACAGTACAGTAATAATTTTTTTATATAATAACACAATAAATGCAGAAATACGTAAACATGGTAAACACTTGAAAAATGCAAATCCTATTACAGTCTAGCAGATACTTAATGTGTATGCTTTCCATTATACAGGTTTCACAAATTAGACAATATGGCGCAAAATATAGGATTCCAAAATCTAAATTTGAAAGGGAAAAGGACCGTGAAAGGAAAATTGGACATCGAAGAGTGGGTGTTGGCGGAGAAATTACTTATAAAAAAATTGAAACCAGACAAATTATGGGATCTATTCAATTGGGTGAGTGCATTCGACAAATTCTCAGTTTTTCATTGTACTAAATTTTTACCACCCGCACGTTAATAAGGGAGGTACATATTGCATTGGGGTAAAAAATTACCCCCCCCCCACTTTTTATTTTACAGAAGTACAGGTTATGAAGCACCAGGATTCCGAATCAAACAAAATGCTGATCGGTCAGCCTGTCTGTACCCTCATTTACGGCTAAACGGCTGAACCAAATTTGGTACGCATGTTCTTAGACATAAAAGGGCAGAATCGCTCATACGCAGGTGTGCGGGTGGTATCTGTGCTAGCCACAGCAAATTTTTTACTTGTTACAAGCGCTTCCTTTATTGAGCAAAATAAAAACTCTTTGCCATACAAATTCCGGATGTGGTCTCTGGACCCTAAAAATTCGATTTTGAAAAACTTCTGCGTCATGTGCGCGTATGTGCGTATGTCATCCATAGACAGTGTGCAGTTTTGAAGAAGGTAGCTAGGAATAGAACACTTGGCTAAGAGAAAAGAAAAGAAGGGAGGTATATTTTTAGTTTGTCCGTTTTCAAATATGACTTAACATCACTGTAAAAGGTGAGTAAAAGTTATTGAGGTACCCCGGGTCACACAGTACATTTCAATTAATAGGATCACCTCAATGTCTCTTTTATTTGGCGAGATACGAAACATTACCTATTTTGTTTAATATAATTTTATATGTGACATTACTATCTATTTGATCGCATATTCAAACTTCCGGTTTAACCTGAAACCTATGCAACGTTTGTTTTTCAAATGTCATGCCTATGTTTTTTTAAGATATTTGAAAGAGCAATCAATTTTATGTATGACAACATAAAATATGCATAAATGGTCGATACACAAAAAATGGAGAAATTCGTGATTCAATATTTAGAAAATTTATGAAATCTAGCATGCCGTGTGCCACATCACACAGAAAAAACCTACAGTAACTTGTTAATTATTTCATAAAATTTCTAAATATTGAATCATGAATTTTTCCATTTTTTTGTACTTATACGAGCAACGATACCTATGCATATTTCATGTTGTCGTACAGAAAATTGATTTCGGTGACTTCGGTGGCTTCATGCATGCTTCTGGCAACACTTTACCATTTAGGAGTACTGTGGTAATATCATATAATTGTCGTACGTGGTAATGTTTACTGGCAGGAAACTACCAACAAACCATTAAGCGTCTTAGAACTTACTACTGGTGAGTAGTTGAATTTCTTGCCAAATCGGTATTATATTTCCTAAGGTCCAACAACTGTTAATGACTTTCTTATTTGCTGGGTATTCATCTAAATCCCAAATGCCATTTTTTGAATGCAATCCATTTTCTTCTGCATAGCACGTCCCCACTTGAGTTTATTTTCGGAATTGATTGCTTCCTCATAATTCTGAAGAATGTATGCGTGAATAACATTCACATACATCACCTAATTATTATATCGTGAATTATTCCTCTTAATCCGAGAAGACTTGCTTATCTGTGGCACTGGCTGATCATCTTCCTCTTTCGCCACTGGTGATTCTTTCCCCAGCACTGCATATGATTTAAGTTTCAGATGTAATAACTCGAACATTTCTGGCAGTAATTTTTGAGCCAACCAATATATGATAACCAGTATGACTATGTCCAATAAGTATCCCTTTCTGTGCCTTTCATCCAACTTTGACTCAGTGATATCAGTGTTTAAAGTAAACAATACTCCCGTATGACACGGCACACATCTCTCCACTGTCGGTATCTCTCTACGAACAAATTCATATGGTGTGTCTTTTCCTCCCTAGTATTGGCAAGTAATCTATTTCTAATACCACATGCCGTCTTAACTGCTTCAGGCCAATATTTCTTTGGAACTTTCTTTCGTACAAAAAACATTTATCCGATTCAACAATGTACAATTAGCTTTTTCCCACTCCACTGAGATGTGGAGTGGGAGGTGTACCTGGCATGAACTGGAACCCCTTTTCACCTGCAAACTGGCTTCCTGTTTATACACATATATTCACGTCCATTATCACAACGAACCTTCTTTACATGCTTCACAGACTGATTTCCGTGCAGTTGACAAATTCCTTGAAATGATCCAAGACCTCGTCCTTCCCCTTGATAATGAAGACGACGTGAATTCGTATAATCTGCTAACCCTTAGTGCTCAACTGTTCTGGTGGTGCTAAAATAAAATTTTTGTGATTTGTAGGTTTCAATTAAATGTTATTTTGGTGAATATCTTGACAATGCGTTGCTCAATTGTTTTTCTGATTTCGTCATGGTCTTCCTGAGAAAAAATGAGTCATGTTTGCAAATTTCGCAAATTTAGTATAATAATAATAATAATAATAAAGTTAGGAATAGTGTTGGTTTTAGTTGCAACACACTGTAAAAATACAATCTCTAGTTCATATTAAATTAGAACAATTTTCTAGATAACAAAACAAAACAAACTGTTTGTGGTTTTCGCAAATTATAAACCACATCCTCTTGCTATTAAGGAGCGCAACTTAAATGTAGCAACAAATATCTTAAAAATGACAGATTTATATTTGGTGAAATTGGGTTAATTTCTTTTTTTTTTGAGAGATTACTGTGTAATTGTGTCGTTTTCTAGGTATCCAACATGCAGTTGGCGGACTTGCGTCAAAACCAGAACGTGATTTATTAATGCAAGATTTTATGACTGTCGAAACTACTACATTTCCTAGTGAAGGTTCAAGTCATACTCCGGCCCATCATTATTCAGAATTTAAGTTCAAAAATTATGCTCCAATTGCATTTAGATACTTTAGAGAATTGTTTGGTATACAGCCTGATGATTTTTTGGTAAGTTGCTGTTCGGAATTAAAAGTTTCTTACATAATATGCATTAAATGCACTACCTGAAGTACCACTTCTTGTGGTCTCATTAGGTAATGTGTAAATCTATATACTTTTATTTTAGATGTCGATGTGCAGTTGTCCCTTAAGAGAATTATCTAATCCAGGAGCAAGTGGTTCCATATTTTACTTGACCGATGACGATGAATTTATTATTAAAACAGTTCAACATAAAGAGGGAGAATTTTTACAAAAATTACTTGCAGGTAAGTTGTTAACGTACAATCACACACTTTTAACATACTATTCAGTAATCCGGACAATTAACTAATTCGGACACGTTTAATTAATTTAAAGAGGTTGCACTGTATTTCTTGGTGCAGTTTTGAATAGAAAAACCTTGAATCACTCTCCAATGTGCTCATAATCAAAATCAATAAACAAATACAAACCGATATTCTCGCTTCAAACGATTTTTATGTTACAATGTGGAATTTGTATGATGTGAGGCATACAGGTCTTCTTTCGCACTAAACTATACTATAATCCACATTTTTTTAGGTTATTACATGAATTTAAATCAAAATCCTAGAACATTGTTACCGAAGTTTTTCGGTTTATATTGTTATCAATGTAATAGCAAGAATATAAGATTGGTTATAATGAATAATTTATTACCAAGTTGGGTAAGGATGCATCAAAAGTATGATCTCAAAGGAAGCACCTATAAAAGAAAAGTAAGTTCGCTGTAATACTTTACAAATTTTATAATATTGTTACACAACCAGGCTTCAAAGTCAGAACGTCAGAAAAGATCGCCGACCTATAAAGATCTAGATTTTATGGAACATCATCCTGAAGGAATCCTTATGGAAGCAGATACCTATACAGCACTTGTTAAAACAATCCAAAGGGACTGCAGAGTCTTAGAAAGCTTTAAAATTATGGATTACAGTTTACTAGTTGGTATACACAATTTAGATCAAGCGCAACGGGACAAATTGGTACAGAGGTCGTTCTTTAAAAGTGAACGCTTATTACACAGTTTGTAGGAACAAAAAGCAATTGCCGCAAAATTGGGCGAGGAGAATTACGATGCAGATGCAGAAACTGATTTTAGTGCTGCATTGGTAAATAATGAACGGGAAAGAGAGAAAGAAGATAGGCTTGGTGCCGCTGCGCTAAATAGGACCAGATCAATTAATAGGCAACGGCTTGTAGCACATTCCACTGCAATGGAAAGTATTCAAGCTGAATCTGAACCAATTGATGAAGAAGATGATGTACCGTAAGTATTTATCGTTTCAATGCATTTTTTTAAGGGCTATTCAAAAGATTTGAGTCCTGACTTAAGGCTGTATGGCACTATGCATTCTCTTACATGATATTATTCTGTTGGCTTGTATCGTTTCTTGCAAATTGTATCAAACTTGGCACGTGATTGAGGTCACGTTTTACGCTTTTGTGCAGAAACAGTTTTTAAAAGATTTACAGAATCACTTTAGAAATAGTATAAGAAAAATCACCGAAAAGAGTAATGTCCTGTTTCATATTATTAACCAAGTGGGAACTTCTGTCCCATTCAAGAAATCGAGATTTTCCAACTGCGGTACGAAGTTCGCGGGGTCTACTAGTCGTATACTATCAGAAAGTTTCAAATTAACAGGGGCAAAGTTTTGCACTTTTATGTGCTGATTAAAATTCGGTTTAGAAAATTTGCGCCTGATTAAAAGCTATTTAACGAAAACTGAAAACCGCCATTTTGTGGAAATCTGCGTCTTACATTTTTAGCGCATTTTTGAAAAAAATACGCTATTATATTCGTCATTGCTGGCAGGCCGGCTGTCCGCGTTAGATCTCCACAACTACAATAGCTAGAGACTTCAAATTTTCACTAAAAGCTTTCTGCTATAGTGTAGATGTGCAGGCACTAGTCTATTTTGAGTTAGATTACTGGTGAGATCGATAATTGAAGAAAATAATTTCGATATGGGTTTCGGAGGTGCTATAATTTTACCGTTAGATAGCGCTACCAGTATAAAAACTTATTATTTACTTTGTGATTTGTTTTACAAAATGAAGACGTACCGTCAATTGAAATTAAATAAAATTAATTATTTAACGCAGCCAAAATTACTCGTGAGATCGATAATTTTAAACTTCGCTAATAAAATACTGACCTGCATTACCAAAAATGCGCTTTAATCATCCATATGCTGATTTACAACTTGTTTTGTAAATATTATAATTGTAGGATGTATTGTTCCATTTGTGAAACGTGTTGTATAATGACAGGGATTAATAAGATTTTTTATGTATTACATAACCTTCTTGTTTAAATACTACTATTTATTCTTTCCTGTCCACATTTATTATAACGACATTAAATCGCTTCAATTCTTTCACTACATCAATGACGCTCGGCCTGAAAATGACCACTGGTCGAAATCGATAGCCGCGATAAAAAAATCATAAATAAATGTGTTTCTTAAAAATGCTATTAATCCCTGTTAATATAATTGTGTTCACATTTTTAAGTTTTCTGAATAGAATCTCAATCAACGTATAAAACTGCAAAACTTCGACTATTCCACTAATCTCTATCTTTAAAAATTATACTTAAGTATGAGGTCCCGCTCGGTCTGGAACGACATGTAATGCTACAGGGGAAACGGGCCATAACTGAATTACAATTTTCGACCGGATGCTCATTTATGAGGGTCATGCGATTTTTGTTTTTCTTTTTATTTTTATTGTAATTGTTTTGCAGGCCTGGTGGAATTCCAGCTAGAAATGCAAAGGGAGAACGGTTGTTACTTTTTGTGGGAATTATAGACATTTTACAAAGCTACAGACTAAAAAAGAAGCTAGAACACACTTGGAAATCAATGATTCATGACGGTGTAAGTTTTCAGAGGTTGCACAATCAGTTGTTAAATTTATTCAATTTTCAGGATACTGTTTCTGTCCACCGGCCTAGTTTCTATGCTCAAAGATTTCAAGAGTTTATGGCTAAACAAGTTTTTAAAAAAATACCATCACGTGAGTTATTAATATTACTTATGTGCCATTCGTGGGATGCATTGGTGAATTAAGCAGCTGCAGTGTTGATCACCTTGTAGTGTAGTGTATTTGTAAATGGGGTGTTACTATTTGTGATTGGCATTTTAAATTAAGATATAAATCAATATGACTTATGTTTTGAGGTGCTTTATCTAAACATAACTGTGTATCAGAATGTTCGTGTTGTGTATGCATGGATGAGATGTAGACACAAATGTTCTCGTGCTATTACCACGTCACCTTGTTCTTAATTTGCAAATGAAAACGCCCACATTAATTATGTTATACCAAATTCTGTTGTAACATTTTGTTTATGTCACATTCTGCGTGGCTTATTTTCGAATTTAATTACAAGATTCCAGATGTAGGCAATGGTGTGTTGGCTTGGCTGCATTGGGATTAAGGTTCCCCATTATTTGAAACAATTTGTTTAATCGAGTGTGAAAAGTTTGGTTTGGGGAAAAGTATGAGATTTTGTAACCAAGTAGGCATGCAACAAATTGTGGAAACTGTGAGAGAATTGCGTGCTGTTGTTTACTTGAAAAATATGCATCATCCAACGAATAAATTCTTATTAATTATTACGAATTTTAAAAAAAGATGAACTATATTAGAATTCGATTAGGGCTGTGAAAGATGAATGCAAAATTTAATGAAATGGTGTTTGATGAATTGATGCAAAGTGTCTTGTGATTATCAAACAAAATGATAGGTGGCATTTCGGCTGAAAAGAGACCTACAAAATCTTGATTGGATGGTAGGAGTATGATACCGAGAAAAGAACTTTTACGAACTTACGAACAAAAGAAAATGCATGAACCAGTGCCTGCTTGCAAATGACGCAAAAGTGCTATGATTGTCATATATGTCACCAAAAACCACATATTGTCATTTCCTTAACCTAATTTTGTGGTTTTTTTGTGATTGTTACAAAAGCAATTCTTTGCACAGTTATGTTTTATTCTAATGAGGAATAAACACTATTTCCTGTTTTTAAAATGTATTGTTAAGCAAAGGTCAGCTCTTTTAATTTATGTTCACTTTCTGTATTTCAACGAGAATACCTTTGCAATAGTAGCTAGACGAGTAGTTATTTGTACTATGCTCTGACTTTATTGTTTTTCAACGCTTCATGTAGTGGATTTGCCAGAGGTAAAGGGCAATCATCGCAAGTTTCGTACTCTGGTTACCAGCTATATAGGTAAAGTTTATAATTACCACATATTGCTTTAACTTGGCCTGTGGAATTGTTTTACTTATTTATTATTCTTTATTTAGTTGTTAATACATAGGACCACAATTTGAAAGAAAAAGTGCTACTAATTTTACATTACACACGTCTATCATTTTTAACTACATTATTAGCAACTCATTTGCAATGTTTTGTTCTTTTCTTACTTAAAACACTAGCCATCATTTATAAAAAGGTAATGTTATGTGGTGATTGTTTTTGTTATATGTTTGATGTTGATTTTTATGTCTTACATATAGGTATAACTTAATGTACATTTTTTCAGCTTTTGCGATAGTTTTTAATTTAGGTACATAAGTACTAATTCTTTATGTTACTTATTACAAAGTATCATAAACAAAGCATAAAGTCATTTATTAACTATTAACAATATTAATTATGTTTTTGTTGCAGCTTTAAAGCATTCTCCTTCCAAGCGGAAATCATTGTCCAGGCCACTAAGGTCTTACGAGGAAGCAGACAATAATAGTAAGATTAAGATATTTATTCTAGATATGGCTGCAATGTATTTGTGGTGTGAGTTTATATGTTTTCCCCTCACTTTCTCGAGTTCACTTATGTTATATTTGTTAGATAGGCACCGATCAAAATTGAGAACAGTGCAAAAATGTTAAATAGATGCAAATATGTTGTTGATTTACTGTCCAGTGATTCTTTTTCCGTAGTATATCTAAATGCGCTATGGAAAGTTAACAGGAGTTCAATAGTTTTTCTAGTGAGATCGCCTGTGTTTGGCAGTGATCACAAAAAACGTATCGCTTGTCTTAACGTTGAAAATATTATTACGACAGCTACCAGGCTTCCACGTTTTAACTTAATGCGTTTTCAAAAATTCCATTGTTTTAATTAAAAGCCCCTGCATTTAATAATCGATAATTGGTCTCTGATTATTACGGCCAGTCCAGACTTGTTGCATATCCTCGTATCGATACGATACGGTGCAACAGCTACGTAACTCCAGACAGCACAAAGTATCCGTATCAAAAAAAGACACGGAGAGTCAATTGGGCTAATTCGTTGTATCGCAGCTCTGAAGGTTGTGGTCTTATTAAAAAATGAAAATGTCTTCGCCGCATATATTTACATTCATTATGCATTAACGAACAAGAAGAAAAGAAAACCATAGAGTTCATTGGCAGACTTAAATTTTGAGTCTATATAAAAACTTTACTAGGTAACATCGAACAGATTTTGAATACTTGATTAACATTTCGGCCAACAATTTCAAAAAAGGATAACACATTCACAGATATTTAAAAACAACGTTGTTGCAACATGTAAATTTATATCCGTCCAAACTAGTGCCGTGTCATCCCTTTGATGTCTCGGCGAAAAACCGACATACGGTTCTGTGCAACATCTCCCTCTCTACACTGATACGATATGGAGATACGATACCAGGATACGCAACAAGTCTGGACCGGCCTTAAATACTTTTCCTTCAAGATCAAGGTTACAAGCGCCATGTCTGTTTTTCTACTGCTTAAAATCCAATGAATTCAATGTATTATACCTAACCTAGTAACATAACATTTTTGTTGCATTTTTATTCGTACATGCGGTTTTTTTCCATACCAACTTATTAGCGATCTTATGTTTATGTTCGAAAGACAAAGTCACAGTGAACTTACCAGAACATTGTTGAACGCCCGTTACTAGGTATACCATTTATTGTAAGAATAGAAATATGTAGATTCAAAAATGATGTCAAAACAGAATTCTTGACCATTTAACCCAATCACTTCCTTCATTAGTAACAAAGCTGCTCATACAATCCTACTCGATTCGGAGCATCCTGTACATATTCGAGAATTTCCTTATTAAGGTGGGTTCATAGTTCTCCGTTAATCCGTTGCGTTGATCCGTCAAACGGATAGAAAATTTTGTTAAGGTTCATAGCAATCCGTCCACATTGTACATTTGCAACGTATAACCATAACCTAAATTTTATTTTGTACTGCACCCTCCGTGATTTTCAGTATGTAAAAATGGTACGAAAGTAAGAATACGTTGCTATCTGATTATTACCGTGAAGAACGAATAGGCGAACGCTGTTAACGTACCAAACATAACCTCACTCTTGTTAAAAACGGACCAACGGAAACGTAAATGTTCAACTTCAACCAACCTTTCCATCGTAAACGGACGACGTATAATTTAAAAATTTGCTGTCTTCTGATTGGCTAACGGACAAACGGAAACGTGTGAACGGAGAGCTATGAACTTACCTTTAGACTATAATTAGTAATCGGCCTATACTGTAAAACAGGCTTTATTGCGGAAGTTTGAGGAACAACAAAAATCAGCCATTTGTGACCAAAACGAAAACAGGGAAGCCCTTTGGTTGTAAATTTTAAGTTGATGCATGCAGAATGATTCAACATCATTGATAATTTCTTTATTTTTATTGCTAGAGAAGTAACCAATTTCCTGACATTGTATAATTATTTATGATCTTTGTATTGGTGTTGAGATTCGCAGTTCAAAACCTTTACAACCAACATATTTTCAAATGTGGTTCATTTTGTTTTTCGATATCAGTGGATCAATTGGATACTTCTCTGCAGTTTGGTCAGTTTAAGAACCATTGCATGTCATTGACAGAAAAAGTCATACCTCGGTTAGTAGTGACTTAATGGAAAAAGCAATGATGCCAAACCTTTCTTGTTGGGTTGGCATGTGACAGTCGTCAGTGTTGTAGGACCTTATTACTGATTGACGTACAACAGTTCTTAAAGAGATTAAGCTGTAGCTTAAAAAATATAAAGTTGGCAATGGTGCCACTGTATGTTGCACCAACCTGTACCATATCCTCGTACTAATCTTTGTATAATGTGGGTTGTGTAGCTAACATGCAAACACAAACCACCTCTAACCATCAAAATGGAAATAAAATTGGTGAGTGACTTTCATATAGTAGGTGAGTTACTCTTTGCTCTAGTCAAATTTCTATATCCTATGCCAATTCAGGTAAACCAAAAAGTACTTGAGCGCTGTTATTTTGTTATGAATAGTTGCACGGTAGATACGGCACGAAGGTAAACAAAGAGGCATTATTCTGTCCTTACAAAATCATCCTTTATTTGTTACTTTGTTGTTTACATATGTTTATGGTGATTAATGTTTTCATCATGAAACTTTTCACGGCTCTACCTACCTACTAGAAATTTGCCAATGCGTATCCCACTGTTTATAACAAAATAACAGGCCTCTAAATATAAATAGGTTCAATGCTATACAAATATGTTTGCTTTTTGATATTATGAAGCCAGCCAATGTGGACACTACTGACGAAATTAAAGATTTCTACAGACGATTTTGTAGTTACACAGCATGATGTTTTATCGATGTTCAAAACGAGTAATTTTCTTCAGTTAATTCGCCAATTTAAGAATACCGAAAAAAGTGTTGTGTTAAACGTCAAGTTTTTATTCTGCGTGATTCATTTAAAATCTGTGACTGTCAAGTAAACTTTTGAATATCTCTGGTTTAATTCTTATAGCGAATATTAACTGGATATTTATCAATGTGGCTTATTGTTTGTTTTTTTTCATGCTTTCTTCGCTTGGATCAAAATCTGTTCGTCTCTGTGTCTGCTGTTGAATACACTAAAAACTACTCAGCTTCTCCCATTGAAATATCGTTACCCACGAATATAAACTCTCCAACTATAGTTCCACCAATCGTTACTTCCGTGCCTGTTTCAATAAGTTCACCTCCTGTATCCTCATATCCTTCTATTCTTGTTGGTAGACACACTACAAATAATATTGACCATAAGCATAAAGTGCCCCCTCCTGTTCCTCCTCGAGGAACACCAAAGACCAAAAAGGCTGAAAGCGGCGGCAAAGGTGATCGTGAGAATGTATCTGCTTATACGCATGGCATTGAAATGCACGTATTGCATGATCATTCCCTTAACGATTTCAAGAAGCAATATCTTTGTAAAAATCAATTAAGCTCGAAATTGCACAGTTTTTCGGCTAGAAATGAATCGTTAAATTCTTCATTTGTTGCAAAACCTAGCTTCTCCAGGTGGTTAAAAAATATGTCTAAACGAAGTACCAAAACCTTTCCGTGTACTTCCAAATATGTTATCACAAATAACACTGTCCTTTTCTACAACCCAAAGTATTCTGAAAGGTGTACCATAAATTACCAATTTAATAATACAATACCATCGCACGAATCAAGCATACCCAATGATATAGATGCTAATAAAACTTGTGCTGACGACTCTTTGTTAAACGGTCCAAAACTTGCAGCACATTATGGCTCGAATGCACAGTTCACTACTAATCGTCCACCTACCATTACTTTGTGTGAATGTGAATCGATTGATTACGTTATTGATGATTTAGTCTAATTTTATGTTAGCTTTATGTTGATTTAATAGAACGGCCGGAGTGGTTAATTTTTGCTATGAGCGTTTACCGTTATGTATACTTTGGCAAATGACCTTACTGAAAACTTGGCAAGCTACATTTAATATAATTTAAAAAATGGATCCAGTCATTTTTTCGTGTACCTGTAAAGTCTGAAACGTCATATCCCAGATTCATTCTGCCATGTGCGCTTCATTGTACGGTCTAAGTTAGTAGTTTTCTTTCTCCTACTCTTATTTAGCATTTTTTTTATACATTCCAGTGCAATTTATAGTGGAATGCCAGTGACAACGTAATCGATACTACAAAGTAAGGAATTCAAGTCTAGTAGCGATCCGGCTATACATTCACATAGAAAAAAACGCCTCCACAAAAATGAGCAAATATTATTGAACTGACCATTATTAGACTTCCGCCCAAAATTAAATAACTCCCCATAAATCAGTCTTAAGATGATAGTGAGTTTATACAACGCTATTCAATTTGATTAATCTTCATTTACCATATGATTTTATGAAGCTTATATAGTGTGTACTGCAAATCAAAAGCATTGAACCATGGTCGCGGTTGTGGTTACTTGCGGTTACTTTTGGTTTGCGGTTAATTGTGGAACGCATTCCCCCAAACGTTTATCTAACTTAAAAACGTAAAAAATCGTTTATACCAAATGCACAGTGCCAAAACTCATATTAATTTCCTGATATTTGTATGTACCGCTTTATTAAGGATCCTCGAGATCGTTTATAATTTTGTATTGTCTGTCTGTCCCTGTTCACGATAACTTTGTGTAGAAACGTCCGATCGCTTTAAAAATTGATACACCTGTTCTTAAGGATATAAGAAAGGTCGGTATTGTTTTTCGGCTATGTGAACTGAGGGGCCAAAAAGTTACATCCCAAAAACTGCTCAAAGCTCCAAAAAAGAGTCTCTTTTATAATTCTTGTTGCAAAGAACATATGAATGTCCCGTTTTCTCAATTAGTAAATATTCGTTAAACCTCGGGCAACTATGCAGATAAATTAAAAATAGCGCATGCGCAACCCAACTTCTGTATTTGCGCAATCCCAATTTGTTTACCCAGTATTACAGTCTTAATAATTCATGCATTAAAATCCCTTGCAGTTACATTACAAATACCTTATGGAGGACCTTAAAAAGTCAGTGTCTGGTTAAAATTTGTTGGCAACTAAATTAAAACTGTCAGGAAAATATCGACTGCCGTTGGCCGTTCTAGGTATATCGACATGGCCAGATGTAGTGTGTTAATTAAAATTTTTTGTGTAGATTCGATATAGGCATGAAGTTAATATTAGCATGTGAATTGTTTTTATATCTGCATCGCTTTTATGTTTTATCTGGCTAGCCCTGCAGTTGCTTTGTATCTGCAGGTGTAGTTCCAAGCTGCTGCAGTACTCCTCCTCCTGCCTTTGATGAGGTGATAGAGCAAACTGCCACAGTCTCTTCAGCAACAACTTTACCGTCATCTACGCCGGCAAGGTCGCGATTGGGATCTCATACTTCTCATCATTCCTCGCATCATGCTACTAGTAACAGAGGTTATCACGAGGACACTGTCAGGTTGGTTATTGCTGTGTATAATTAAAATGATATGAAAGGAAATGTTAGTATAACAGATATACGATTGGAGTCTCGTGCTGAAAATAAATCATCTTTAAGTGTAGAATCTGGTAGTTCGGGTGCTGGACATTCGAGTCATTCGCGTGGTTTGGCTTGGACACCGCCGGCATCTGTGGAAGGTTCAACACCTACTTGGACAGAAGGTACACCTTCATTTACGGAATCATCTAGTAGCGGCGATATTGGTAAATACACATTCTGAGCATATTAATATCATTATTGATTACATTCGATATCCATTTATCTATCATACTACCTATCAACATCTTCTGACAAACACTAAATTGAATGTATCTGTAAAGGGAGACGACTTATTTATAAAGAATATCACTTTTTGAAGGTATTGGTGTTGTACACAATCTAAGGTATTGAAATCCTACGGTAATATTGAAGCTTTCACTGTGAAACAATTGGCAAATTTTTAAATGAAATGTCAACACACTAAAGTTATTTGCAGGATATAATCAATTACTGTAAGATATGAATATAACAGTAGGTACATAACTTGTCACTTTATTTGTCACAAATGTCTTACGCCTTGTCTGCAGTTTCATGTTACATATTTGGATTTAAACGTCTTTAGTCCGAGAGCTGGTAGGCATTTTTGGGTAGATATTTGAGGCACGCTGAAAACTATTTGTACATTTTTATTCCGAATATTGGTCGGTATTAGAAAAAAAAAACAGTATAATGTACCACCACTGCTCCGTTGTCACACAATATACTATTAATTGTTCATAATGTTGTATGCTTATTCCATATATGAGACATTTTATTTAGAGTGTATCTGAAGTAATACTCTGAAATTGGTGCACAATAACAGGGCGTGAGGACAACTGGTCGTTGCAAATTATTTTACTTATCTCTTCCATTTTAGTTACAGTAAAATTCAGTTTTCTGCACACAATTTGTTTTACGTAAATGACAAATACTGTGCTTTGTTAAGTAATGTCAGCATTGTGAACAGCTACTTTCTTAAAAAAATCTAGACGTTCTTCCAGCCCAACGGTACCTCAAAAATGCTTTAAAAAAATTTAAAAATTGGGTGGGTAAGGACACCAAAACAAAATATTATCAAAAAAAACTGGAGATTCAAAAGTTTCCATTTGCGACAAACGATAACCATATAATAAATACACATGGGATTTGCTACCAAAGGACCTTCGGTTTATTTGTAAAAGATGCTAGTTTTGCTAGTTCTATTCAACTCATTTTTTAGATAGCTGTATGTAATGTAATTGTTACATTTTGTATGGTATTTGCAAGTTAATTACAAATCGTTTGTGCAATAAAAGTACTTACATTATTCAAAGTTGTTTCCACTCACACTTGTCGGAATCCGGTTGAAAGTATCTCCATAGAGCTAATGCCAGCAAATACTAATTAGGATTTTTAGACACCTATAAATACCCTACAATTTGATTTTATTGCAATGGTGAAACATTTTTGGGCAGAGATATAGTGCACTTCGTGTTCATCTAAGAATATTGCCTTTTCCTTCTGTATTATTATTAATTCATGTGGCTTGTGTTTTTTTTTTACCTTTAAAATAGTGATAAATTTTTAACGAATGCATCACCGGCATGTCTTTCATCCTGCAAGAGCAAAAGGGTGATACAAGTGAAATGGTAGGAAACAAACACATTTTAATGTGCACTAATTCACCAAACAGTTTTAATACAGTTTAGCAAAGAAGTCAAACCACATTCTTATACTACAAATGAAAGCTTACTTGTTTTGCAACTTGGAAATAATTCTATTTTTTAACATGTTTGATTTTGGTGTCTTAATCCATGGTCGTCTTTATTGTTTGGATTACTGAAATAGGTATTCATACCAGTTATGCCAATAGTTATCGAAATATCGATATACAGTAGAACCCCGATTATCCGTGCGCCACAATATAAACGACTTTTTAAATTATAAGTTTAACTGTCTTCACTGGTAGATTAACTTTGCAAAAAAATTGCTATGCTTTTGAAAAAAAAGGTCAGTCACTTTGACTTGTGTTAAAAGTTTTTATCTTCTGGCGCATGCGACTTAAATTATATAAAGTTTGGAAAATTCGCGCAGTAATAATCGGGGTTCTACTGTACATCGGAAAAAATTCACATCCCTATTAATACTATTATAGATTGCAGTCTGCACCAGTAAATAGCAGCCATACGGGCTTCAATTTTTGCGCGGGACTTGCATTCAGATACACTCTAGCATTTTATCTAGAACAAAAATGAATGTATACAATTCTTTGTAAAACCAAAGGATAAATTAATGCTTTATCTCCAGTTAAGTCGATCAAGCAAGAAATGAATGAACAGTAACATTTGGTTGGATTTCCCACATAATTTTTTCTTACTATAGTTACAAGAGTGATTCTTTTAAGCGAAATACATGTATGTAGAAGTTAGAGGATAAAAAGACTGAGGGGTAGTGTACACCCCCTCATTACTCTGATTTTCGACCGTCTTGCTTACGCACGTACGAAATTCCGTATGTGTGAGTCGCGTGTCATTGCGCACCCCTGGTATGCCTTAGCGAGCCATAATAAAACGAGATGTTTTTATGTTTAATGAAATCCTGTTTACAATATTACAATTTTCCTATGTATCCTAAATGGATCACATCAAAGCATTAGAAATTTTAGCTTTAAGGTGGACACAACTTTCAGAGTTACGTTTGCAAATTTTTCTTTTGAAAACAGTAAAGGAGCTTAAAACGATTAGCTAATTCACTATCAATTTTTCTTCATTTGTGAATTTAGCACTTATGCATAATATCGTACTAGAGATGTGAAACTACAAACAGTATTCTTTATTTATTTATTTATTGCCCCTCTTTTGTTCTGGACCCTCAACAGGCTTACCCCCAATTACAGTGTGGCCCGCATAATGCTTTTTAGAGGTGCCGCCTCTTCAGAAGGCCTAAGTTGTTCTATACTACTCCAGTATTTACCTTACAAACTAGGAAAACTGTAGGAAAACCTAATTTGAAGTAGCCGGTAGAATGCTCAAAACTGGTCGAAGGAAATTATCAAATCACCATCTCTGTCACAGATGAAAAATTCTTACCTCAGCCCAGGTTCGAACACCCGACCTCGAGCTTTATAGCCCAACGCTCTGCCATTGTACCACAAAGTCGGTTGTGATTTGTTTACATATGTCAGGGGTGGCCAAACTTTTTACAACAAGAGCCATTTCTTTTTGTATGAAGTTTGCGAGAGCCACACTTCCCATGATTGAGGAGAGGGCAGGGAGGGGTCTAGGGTTTAACAAATGATTTATTTATCACTATTTGTGGTTAGGTGGGAATAGCACTTTCAGGTGCTGATTTGATAATTTCGACCGTTTTAATACAATTTAATCAATCAATCGCTTCAATATCATAACCTGATTCACACATTGATTATTAACTCCAGATCAAAGAGCTCTGTTTCTTTTAATAGTGAAATATAGAGTAGAGTGGAAAACTGTTGTTAATTAGGTACACCAACTTCTAATGGATTTCATAGAAAAGCAATGGTGGGTTCCAATTGTTTTGTGAGTGAGCCACAGTACAGACTTAAAAGAGCCGCCACCGTTGACATATGTTATTGAAGTGGGCTAAATCCCCTAGTGTTTTGATGTGATCCATTTAAAAGGATGCATGTATGTATATGTACATATATTCTCTTAAAGGAATTTGTTCCAATCATGAATATAGTATACTTCCTCAACTGGAAAGTATGTTTTGAAATTGGTCCCAAAATCTCGTGTAACATGTGGTTATGCAGTAACACTCACTAGATAGAAAAGTACTATTTTCACCACTGATTTTGGTGAAAATGGTAGATAAGGTAGTCTTAGAAAAAAATTATTTATCATCCTGAGTTATTAATCTCTTTACTTGAGTACAATTTTTATTAACTTAACCACGCTATATTAACAAAGGATAAATAATTATAGTAAAAATTGTACTATGTAAGGAACCTCTACTTATAATGGAAAATTAGTTAATGGGTGTGCAGGCTGTCCAACAACACCTGTCAGGCAGGTTTCTTTAGCGGCGGCCACTACATCGGTTCATCGTAAAGAGACAGTGGAACAAGCACTAAATTGCCTTACTTCTGAAATGGTAAGTCAGAACCCATAGTTTATTTACATATCAATTAATCTTTTTAAATAGTATTGGTAGCGAATTTTTGTGGCATTTTTAATTTTAAATAGATCCATTACCAAAAACTTATTGATGCTATTTAAAAACCTGGTGATGCACATTGTGTTGTGAATTTACAAATGCACATTGTAAATCAGTTGCTATTACACTGTAAGGAAACATATTGAAGCTCGACTCAAAATTTCAATATATTTCCAACATTTTAAAGCACTAGAAATTTTACAGCTCGTCTGTGTACACAGTTTAATTAGAACAATGTGATGTGTCTCTTATTTGCTAATTAACGGCGCTTCGTCTTTTTACTAACTGTCTCCAATCGTTGTATTGGCTTTTGTTTTAATTGAGGTATGTAGTGTCTGACCATGCTATAAAAAGTAACCACATTAATAATGACTAGTTTTTAGTTCAATGTGATAATTTTTAATTTTAGTTACCTTTTGAGCAATATTTTCTCGTTTAATTTAGTAAGTAAGGTAGTTTCATTAACAATTTTAGCTGTGTACACTGACGTTTTCCCTTGTAATTCATGCTTGCTCTCCCATTGGACCATTAGGAACAACTGAAGCATCGAGTGGATAGTGATTACCACTGAAAAATGTGTTGGTGTAATAACACACTGATAATCATCTAAGTTTTTTCTTGTTTGTATTAACTAAAAAAAATGGTTTTAATGAATGGCATGGTGTGGCTAACTAACCTCTTTATTTAATTTTACACTTTATGATAATTTTTTTTAGACAGTTTCAAAACACCATTTTTATATGTGGAAAAACTGGTGACCATCGCCTTCCGCTTAAAAGCATTTTTTAGTATACCAATTGATTACTAGTATAATAAAAAGAAGTATTTATTAGTTTGCGTTTTGTAAAGTGTATCGAACCTTAACGCGGTAGTTGTTACTACAAGTCTGTGTTAATTCCCCATTTGAAACTTTGTGTAACAAAATGTTATTTTTCATTTTTTTTATATGATAGAAAACACATAATTATAAATACAATTTTAACGCTCTACTTAAATGGACACTAATAAGTGATAATGAGATTGTGAACCATGTACAACTCCTTGACTTATTGTGGCCCTAACCTTTTGCTTCTGAATTTCATATGTGATCACTTATTTCTCATATTCGTATCAACAATTTTTTTTTGTAAATTGTACAGTAAAGCAATAGTGTCTGTTGTTTATATATTTAGAGATAGTTGGCGGATTGGCAAGTTGGTTTAAACTTTAAACAATTAACTATTTGGTTTGTTGTCACCTAAGGCTAGACAACAAAGCATTGCGAACCAAGTAGTTATCTAATTTTCTAAACCCAACTGCAAACTCGATCTCTAAATTGTACAATAATTGTCTGTTACACTATACTTAATTAAGGTATGAATCATTATAAAGGTAATGAACTGTGGCAAGTTAGTTTTCATAATTTATTTATTTTCTAAAGTGGAAGAAAATGAAAACGTAATTAAATTTATCATTTAAAAGTTATAGTGATTTGTACAGCAGACAAAGTCATTCAATGTAATTTTACATGGAATCTCGTCTAACTACTCTAGTGTAAGATAATTGCATTGTTTACAATTTTCATACCCTAACTGAAGCATACCAAAACAACTTGAAATATTACAACTGGCATATAAACGCTTATCTCTATGTAAACTGGAACAGCATTTTGTAGATGGAATATGTGTTTATTATATTGAGCATTACTCCATTTTTGTGGCATCCCTCACCTGTATTTTTTAGTACCTCTAAAAAAGGTGCCATTCTCAAATCTTACTGAATAGAAAAGTGGACAATGTTATGCATTTTTGGATGGAAGAAACGTGTACACTATTAACACTCCACGCTGTTGTCTGTTTTTCTAGAAACAACCTTTATAATTAAAGTCTCTTCTACCTAAGCTTCAAATTATCGCAAACAAACATACCATACTTGGCAATAAAAAAACAATATCATGTTAGTTGTAGTCTTCTATACCTAAGCGCTACTTTTTTTACATTATAGTGTATAGAATTATAGATGATTATAGTTGCGAGAGACAAGATTTTCTTGCTTTGTCAACTCCTGTCTTGGTCCTTAGTTAGTTCCCGCCGATACTATGCACAGCGGCGCCACTTGCTACACTCAAATTGTTGATTTACCGCCCGTCAAGATACAGACTTTATTTACAAAAAATATGATTTCATTTTTTGGGGTAATGTTTAGAGGCAACTTATCTAGAAAACTGCGGGTTACTTTTTCCGTTAATTGTCTTGATCGGGAGTAAAAAAAAATAAAACAGATTAGCGCAATAATCAGTGCAAAACATCTAATGTTTAAACAATCTGTATTCAGTTGCTATAAACTTAAAAAAAAAATAGTCTGACATTTTGTAGATAACGGTTTAAATGTACAAAGTAGTTCTTAAACAATTTTTTTTTAAAAACAACTTGAGTTTTTATAGTCGGCGCTCTTATGGAAATTTACATTGGGTACGGAAGACTCCACGATGATATTTGTTACATAAAATTTTACTTAAATAGTTTATGGCGATATACTTCGAAAACTTCAATATGACCATAGCATAAGCGTGTTGCTGTACTATGACTGTCTTAACATATATGAGTTACTTGGATTACATTTTCACACCGACATGTATTGAATTTTGAATGGAATCCCAGGAAAAAATTGTCTAATTTTAGTAAATAATAAAAATTTGTTATAATGCATTTACTAGTTCTAACATATCTAGTAGTTGTATGTTACAGTTACTTTGACTTTTTTGCAACCATTTGTACAATATTTTCCACTTTCTAACCAGTTAGATTCGATAAAATGTGCCCGAACGTAAATCAGCTTCAATTATTTTTATGCCAAAATTAGGCAAAGGTATGCTTTTTATTAAAAGTGAATTGTAATACTCCTCTATACTGCTTACATATTCGTGATAGAAAGCACCTAATTTCTTCCTAATGTAATAATATAGAAATAGAAGTTAGGCGAGCATAATAGTATGTATCACACTAAAAGAATAACAATCCATTGTATGACTTAATCTGTTTACTATGGTGTAATTGAGACTGGTTTTTTTATAGTTATACTGAATTTATTGTTTATATTATATGTTAATCACAGGCTTACCCAAACTATGTGTATAATTAACATATTGTTACAGTATGATTGTAATGTGATATAATCATGTTACTTAATCATATTTTTCATTAGACATATCGAGTGAATATTTTAAAACCGAACATAGGCAATTAACATGGGAAAAACGTTTTTTGCAGATCGTTGCTCCCCATGTTCACTTAGAGGGATTATTATAATGACACCAATCAAAAGAAAATTTTTTCCTTCGTCTAATGACACACGAATTAGTTCATTTTCAGGTGTATTTCTCACTATTTTATCAAAATTTCGGCAAGAAATCCAATTAGTAAAATCATGTTAAGCCATGGAAATTTCGTAAAGAATTGAAATAGGTTTTCACACAGACGGAATGGGACGCTCATTAAAATGCACAGAAAACAACGTACGAGAGTAAATATTTCCGCTGTAAATGTTGCTTATTATAAATACTTTTTCCTCAGTGAACCGCATTTTACAAAAAAATTAATGCCAGTTGTCATTAACTGATATTTTGAAATCTGATGTTTGAATCTATTTTTTGTCTTACTAGTCATGGCTTAACGTGATTTTGGTAAGCGGATTTATTGCCGAATTTTTGATAAAATAGTGAGAAATACACCTGAAAATGAACTAATTCGTGTATCATTAGACGAGGAAAAAAATCTTCTTTCGATGGTGTCATTATAAACCGTGTAAGTTAACATGGGGAGCAACTATCTACAAAAAACCTTTTTCCCATGTTAATTCCCTAGTTCGGTTTGGGAATATTCAGCCGGTATAAAAAACACATGTCTTGTCAGTATTATTGTGTAAACATATGTTTACTACATGTACAATCATGTTTGAGACTCATAAATGTGCATAAAGATAAATGTTGCTGTCGCTAAATGTGTTAAATAGGTTTAAATTAACTTTACTCCTTTTGTACTTGTGACTTTTTATATTATATTCTCAAACTTTGGAATTGATTAGTACAATATTTTAAGTTGTTTATACATGGAAAGTTAATTAAGCAAAATTTAATGTTTTTCATTCAAGACTGAACTCGTCAATAAAGTTTCTTCGTTTTGGCGGCATATGAAGTGGATAACATTCCATTACTTATATTTATCTAAAAAATTCCTTAAAGACCATGTAGAAACTTCTTACAAAATACTCCTTTTATACTTTTTTAATGTATTAGATACAAGCTATAATTTATTATATTCTATTGCTGAGCGTAATTTGTATATTAATAATGCAAGCTTGTGTAAAAATTGTAAAGTTGGCTCAGGTATATATACACATTTAGAAGCACAGGATCGCTTAGTTGAAAAAGTTTTATATTGTATATTGTTTACAATTGAAGCTTATTAAGTAAAGTTGTATAGCTTCATGTATATTGCATTAATATATATAGATATATATTACCAATATTCTTGTAATTATTATCAAACATGGTTACTTTTTATTAAAGCATGGAATTAAGTGAGTGCCATAATTAACGCAGTGTTTTATAATTGAATCATTGCTTACAGTTCACAATTAAAATAAGGCATATGAGGTAAATAAACATAACATAGGGTTGGGTTTGGCTAAAGATACCCACCAAACATTATGTATGTGGCATATGCTGTGATGGGATATTGCAATTTTTACTATAAAAATCACACATTTTACGTCCAGCGCTGTAGCAACGTAATTAAGAGCAAACATATAAGGGAGCTCTACTTGCAGGAGTGCGGGAGATGTCAAAGCCACCTATTTTTTTTTATACGAACAAAATGTGAAGGTAATGTTAAAAACGCAAATAAATCATAAACTATAAGAGATACGTATAGGAACACCTCATATGAAAAGAAGCAAAATTTGACGGCCTTTCAAGTGACATAATAAAAATTGGCATTCTATTTAGAAGGATTAAGTTTTTGTAATTGGACAAACACCACTGAATAGCGATACTCCTCAACCTCTTTTCTAACATTCAAACATTAGAGCAGATACACAAAGGCAGAACTTTGTTATGAAAAAATATGAATGCGTGAATAGTTTTACAATCAAACAGTATGCTTATAAGTTCAAGCATTTTTTCCAGTCAAAAAACCAAAATTTTAATGGCAGTGGACATATTGCATCTATTACAGGGGTTTTTGGGCACAGTCTAATTTTCTACTGAATACACAGAACACTTGTTAGCTACGGCGCTGTTCAGGTTGCAGTTCTGTTTCTGAAGGTGCATTGTTTTGTCTCCCAAGTTGAAAGTCCTGAGATTTGTGTGACCACGCAAACCTCAAAACCTTTCTTACCTTAACTGTCACATGCTCAGCCATATCGCAATTCATAAATTCCAATATATCTGAAATGAGAATAAATACACGATTCTTTTTCATGAACTCTATGCATTGAAGTTATGCAAAGAACTAGCCAACTCTCTCGTCTTTTTACATGTTTATGTGAAAATTAACCAAGAGTTTGTGTCATTATCTTAAGTAAGAATGAATTGTTTTGTAATAAGGACTTGAAAACAGTTTTTAACTCCTTTTTATAATTAGGAAAAAATCTTTTTGCAACAACGATTTTGAAATAATACAACAACTTACACATCAAAGTTGTGTAAAATATACACATATTTCGAAAACGGGTCCATGAAACATTGACCATTACTGTCAACTATTTCAAATACTAAAAATTACAACTAAACCAGACGTGTATGAGTAGGTTTCTTGTCACTGCACTCATATGCCACAGAATCAAGGTATCACATATTATGTGAGTGAATGAATGGGCCTGAAATCGTATTGAGAAACCACAATGGATGAAACTAAGACGAGGTTTTGTTTATTTTTTGAATTATTTTAACCTACCTATAATCACCTTTTGTTGTTATATTATGTTTTAGACCCATCTTTAAAAAATGATGCGATAGAAGACGGCAAGGTTGATACCAAAAATAGAATACCAAAGTAAATTCTTGGAGGAAGATATGATACTGCCAATTGTGAAGTAACTAGGAAAATTAATATGTCACGTAAATGTATACATGTTCAAAACTTTATTTTGACACATTATCGTTAGGCAATTATAAATTCCTTTCATGTGTAAATAACGTAATCACTCAGTTCGTCTATGTTATTGGTTTTTGTTCAGGATTACAAAATACTCCACCTTAACAAGGTTTGATTTTGGCTAATTTATTACATAAATTAATTCCAAAGCGTATTCATTATTGCTAAAAATATTACTCAAGTTTGTTAATATGGTATAACAATTAAAAGAGTATATTCAAAATTTATACAGAAGGTGACATACAACAAGTGTTTTGTTAATGTAAGTGCCACTAAATTCTTACACATTCCAAATAATTTCTGTGCTTGTTATATGTATGTTAATTATTTTATGTAAAACATTCTGTCAATAAATTATTAGTATTTTTTTGGTTATTTGATCTTATCACACATTGTCACCCTCACCTTACATTTGGTTGCTTTTGAGAGCATTGCACATATTTTTAGGTGTCTAGATTCTCATAACCAGATGGTTGTATTAAATGGAATACTTTACACCGCATCAATTAGAAATTGTAGATTCTCAGCAACCATAAGAGTTACAAAGACTGGTGGCACGTCTTTGAGTAGGTTTTGGAGTATGATTATATAAAAAATGTTTCAAAATTCCTACCACCAAAGGGCGCACCCCTACATGGGGGTGCGGAAAAATTCTGAGTTCGATGAAATTTGGTTTTTGAACATGAAAATCACGAATCTGAAGGTAGTTTTTGAAAATTCGAAAAAAATCCACTACAATTCTTGGGCGGACAACAAAAATGGAGACAATTCCGCAAAATTTAATGAGTTAAGGAACAAAATTGTCCACAGTTCTTTAAAATTACGAAGAAGAAATGCAAATTTGATCATTTTTTTGAGGGTGGCTCGCAAACGAAACATGTTTATTTGGAACAAGTGTTCGTTTTGATCGCCTCTACCATCCAATTTTTTTATATACATATATTGATCATTTAGAATAAACTTAACAATAAATACATTTTATGTATTTTCACAGTTAGAGAAAAATTGAACGAACTACACTTTAACAATTATAATCAACAAGTAATCATAGAACTAAAACCTACAGGTAGATATATTGAATTAATTACACCTAATAAACAAAATGGGCAGAATGTGTCAAACAATTAACAGTGGAAATGACAATTCCAATCACAAGTTCACACATAATGCATTCTACGTTGGTTTGCTTTAAAAAAAATCACAGCATATGAAGTAAATTAGTCCAAAGTTAAGAATTTTTAAAGCAAATCGAAGTAGATACAGTCAGTTTACTCCAAAAAGATGTAAGCACATAAATGCAATATAACTTATATTTTACCTTTCTCACTCCTGCACATTAATATAAATAATTTAGAGGTAGACGAGCTGGCAACTACATTTTTATAAATTAAAAGTCCGAGAGCGAAACGTTTCTTCATAGTACAACTTAAATAAAGTTCCATTCAACTACTAAGTTGGGTGTTAGGTGATCATGATCACTAATGTGCTTGTTTCATTTTGGAAATTTTTATGTAGTCAAATTGCTACTATTGAAGTAGAGTGTTATTATGTATCTATAACTGTATTCGGTATTAAACAAATAGTAACAGTTCAATAATACAGATAGCTTGTACCACGTTCATAAATGGAATCGCTGGGGCGACAGGGACCAACGTTTTAATCTTGCCTGATTCTGGTAGAGGAGTCGGCTCTATGTGGCGGAATTGAGCGTGCGTTGTGGTCGGAACAACGTGGGGGATCTGCCTACAGAGGACCTCCTTAAAGTCCCACTAAGGAGGCAGTGTTACTTCGATCCTTAGTGGTCAATTAGCAAATAAGCAACGTGTGGAATGTGAAGAACGGTGTTGAAATCTTTGCAATTAAGATGTGGATCAGGAATAAGATGGTAATTGAGGACTGTATATCTTTAACACATTTCTGATTTTTTGAAAATAAACAAGGACCATCTCCCAAGTTTTGACATACTTATCTTTTTTTGTATCCTGGTCATTTTCGATGAAAGATGAACTTAATAAATTATAGAAATTTCCAAAATATTCACAGAATCCAAACTAGCTGAAATAACATCATTCTGTTAGGACTAATAGTTTCAGTTACTGTGGTTTGTGGTTTTAGGACAGTGAATGTAACATTTTTTTAGAAAGGGGCTACTGTCAAATACGCGAGTTGCTCCAGAATTTCGATTGTGTTATCCTATCACTATACTAACAATAATTACAAATCATTTAATATAAGGCTTCAGCACAAAAATATAGTTGCCATTATCTTGAAGAATTTCTAAACTAAACATTGTTTCTTCTTTGATATGTCTTATAACGTCATTACTTAACTGAACGTGAATTGCCTGTGGACCATTCATGTAAATGTCGCTAACCTTATCTCCAGGTACACCGGTTAGTGCTGCCAATTTTTGCATAAGTTCAACACTGGTGTAGGATGATAAAAATATGGCATTGAATACTGGTGTATTTTCACGGCCAATATATATAGTTAATTTTGGTGTAATTGCCCTTGATAAACAAACAATGTATTATTCAATTTTAACTTAAAAACATACTTACTTAGCGTGCAATACATTATACAATCGTATTCCATCTGCTTGTCCACAAATTTGAATCAGATCATCTCTGGACATTCTCAACATGTCTGCTCCACCAAAATTTGCAAATATCGGTACATATTTGTCAAAACGATTTGTATTTAGCCAATGAGCCGTTAATTGTGGATTCGATCCTGGAAGTAGATGCTCAGAAATATAAACCTGCAATAATTTTCTGATTAACCGATACATTCCATAAAGGCGCATAAATTTTACATACGTTATTATTATTATTATTGACGGAATAACTATTTTCATTGGAGTGAGCTGGTGAAAGTTTTTGCTGATTGTATTTCACTAGAGCTGCTTCATCATTTTGGATTTGCATTTGATTCGCTTGCCTATTATGAATATTCGTCGTTTCACTGTAAAAGATAATTCACATCAAATTTTAAAGGTTGTTATTACCAATTTAAACATGATACCATAATAATAATAGTCACAATACAGGATGGTTCAAATTCGTGACTCACCATTGGGATCTTCGCAACGATGAGAGATACTGTGTAGGGTTAAATGGGAGCAAAGTTGCCCCTTTTGTGACTAAAGGTTTCCATTGCCACTTTTTTTTCGAAGAATCTGTTATCAGAATTACTATAGCATGCTAGATCTAGAAGCTACAGGCTGCTACTTTCTTATTTCTTATGAGGACAAAATAAGAAAAATAATGACATGTCACTATATACTTTTTACATAAATACAATGTGGCGCCCATACACACCTAAGAAAGTAGGAACCTGTAGCTTATTCTAAATTCTGATAACAGATTCAAATTCTCTGAAAAAAAGTGCTCACAGAATTGCTAGGGGAAACCGTCCATTTCCGACCGTTTAAGCTAAGGAAAATGAAAACAAAATTGAGGATTTTCAGTTTTTCGCTGACAAAATAATTTAGAACGCGTAGCGTCCGTTTATATTGTCTATCAAGATGCATTTGCTTATCTGCGACTCGTTTAGTACCTATTCATGAACATCTGAACCTCGATTCTGTGCTAGAAACCAATAACTTTGTAAGACCGTGGATCGGTTCTTCGATGTAGCCCATTACATATCGAGTATTTTTAAACATTTTTCAAAAATTTCAAAAGCGGTTTTTAGTCACAAAAAGGGGCAACTTTTCCCCAACGTAAGTTACACTGTATCTCTCACTGTTACAGAGATTCCAATGATGAGCCACGAATTTGAACCACCTGTACAGAGGAGGCATTTAAAGGAGTAGTAACTAATTTGATATGAATGGCACTACAGTCGAAATAAACAATATAGGTAGTAAATCTCGCCATTGTCGTTGTTAACGTTTACGCCCGCAATCAAAAGAGGTTTTCGAGATTATATTTATGAGCTTGACAAAAGTAGGTATTTCTTAAACATCAAGCATTGTTGTCTATGTTCTACTTGATATTATGGGACTGTCCGTTGATTTCATGGGGTTAAAGTTGTAGGAGAAATGTAATTGAACTAAGTTTATTTATTAAAAAATATTCCTATTGCGATCAATTTCGGGCCATATGTCCCACTGTCAGGCTTAGCTGAAATAGTTTTTAATAAATAACCTTAGATCAATTAGGTACGTTTCTCCTACAACTTTAACCCTATTGAACTAAACAATGGAGCAGTTTATTAACCCCATTTCATGGGACTTGCTCCAACTGTAAAATCTAAGCACTACAGTTACTCGGAGTAATAACTCCAAGGCATTTATAATAGGCGTGGCATTTGTTATTTTAGCAAATTTGCTACGTTTACGAATTTGTTAAGTCGCGTTTAACAAATTGTTAAGTAGTTTTGTTCGTTTGCAATTCTGGTGGCACTTTGCTAGAAGCGAGTTAACAAGTAAGGGCGTGGCTACGGTTTTGCTACGCCATACCGCATGAATGTAGCCGTTTCTTGTCCGTATTCCGAAAAGACGCACAAATAGTTCGAAAAACATTTTCTTTTTGAAAGAACTCCAAGAAATTGCAGCAGCTCTGAATAAATTAACTAACTGCTGTTCTCCACGACATAGTAGCTGCGATTTGGAGCCGAAATAGTTGAATTCGCCTAAAATATTTTTATATTTTTTAGTTATCGTTACTATTATTCTTCACGCTTACCTACTCTTATCTCGTTTGATATATTTTATGAGTTTATTTTAGTTTATTAACTTGTTCTTTTCTGGACTTTCATTTTTTAATTCAAGATAAAACAACTCGCCTGCAATATCAGGAATATCTACATTTCTGCAGGAAAAAAGCGGCTGTTTGAGGCAAATATTAAGAAAGATGTTCCTTTCCTTCCAAAAATGATTTGTAGGAAGCACTCGCCTTGGCCCTCAATAATCTCGATGGTACATAGAGATTGGTGCTTACCTTCGTCCCTATCCATGACTCATGACTCATGAGCATTTGAATCAGCAGTAATATCCTAAAATTTAATCAGCCATTTTTAAGCACACGGGATATTCGGCATGGATATTTCCCAGAATAAATACCTATTCACAGCGGTTTTAGTATTCGCGAAGCAATTTGCACCAAAACTGGACATCGCGGAAGAGAAGTGCATTCGAAATTAGCACATTAGGAGACATTTTCGATTCTCGTATCTAAGCAACCGCAAGTTTGTGGTCGTCTAATAGGCAAAATCCCTGGTAAAATCAGAAGCGATACAATTTTAACACATTTTTAACCGCGGCAAAATTTTGACGTTTGCGAATTAATTGTTGAAGTATAGACATGTAACCAAATCAATTCTAATTCTTTTACTACATGCAGGAAATAATATGTAAAATATCGTGATCTGTAGCCGTTGCGAGGCCCCGCTCCCTGCGTTAATCCGTACAAGAGTGAGTTATTTCACGTTAACAAAGTGCCAACGCCAATTCAGAAATGGCGTAAGAATCGTAGCAATTTTGCTAGGCATCTTGTTACGCTAACCAAACAAAACGGCTACCAGAATACCAATTTTTGTTAGACGTAGCAAATTTGCTCAGTTAACAAACAAAACGCTTAACAAGTGGCACGAGAACTAGCAGACATTACCTGTGCTATTTCCTGACCGGCCTACAGAAATTGACAGCAAGTTAATTATTGAATTGGGTTTTAGATCAAACAATAAATTAAATAAAGCCGAATCAATAAATCTTATATAGAACTGTTTTGAATTTAATTATTGAGGATTTCTTATTTAGGGGGATAATTAAACGGAATAATAACACAAATTTTTTTAAAAAAAAAGAAGAAGAAATGAGACTTAGTTAAAAACAAAAATCAACATATGCAAACATAGCTGCACGCAATATTAATGAAAAGAAAATCATTTTAATACTACGATAAAAGTTGAATGGGAACCAAATACTGTAATTATTATTAACGGGTCTGCAAAAAAAGGTACAAAAATAAATAATAGATTAGGAGTTTAAAATTCCACATCTCATGATGATCCAACGCAAAATAGACCAGAGCCTGCATATCTACACTATAGCAGAAAGCTTTTAGTGTAAATTTGAAGTCTCTAGCTATTGTAATTGCTGAGATCTCAGCCGGATAGCCAGCCAGCCGGCCATACCGAATATAATAGCGTGTTTTTCTCAAAAAATGCGCTAAAAAACTAGTAGTTATATTTCTTTAAATCGGTTACGAAAATGTAGAGAAAGGGGGTTCTTACGGGGATGTACTGATGTGCGTACTAAACTATTACAATACAATGCTACTACGTACATATGAATCGTCCGCATGTGATGTTTAATATTGGAGACGTTTCTCTTCATTAATAATCTCAAATTGGACGCGTCCATGCGGTTTAAATAAAATTTCTGTCGATTTGAGCCTAAATTCTTGTGAATTTTTAATCTTAATCTTCTGCCCAGCAATCTGAAGCATTCCTTTCCCATGGGGTTATTGTCATCGAGGGTGTGAAAAATTTGGGCTTCGATAATGCAATCACTTTCAGTAATTGTTACTGTATGTATAAATAAATACATTTTGCGGTTTTTAATTAAAAATTTTCAGCCCTCTGACTGGTCACCTAATATAAAAGTAATGCAAAATCCAAACCAGTTTATTGGGAAGATCAATGCGATGTACAAACAATATCCATACTTTTTTAACCATTCCTAATGGCACTTGGTCACACCGTTTCAAAATTAAGCAACGCGTTGCATGGTGTATCATGCTCCGTTATAACGTTACGTCGTTATTTCACACAAACTATTAGTCTTGTCATTTAATTTATACGATCATGTACGATGATATCAAATACAGTACGCGAAAAAAATAGGATATCCTCATTGTATCTACGCGCATCAATTTAATTTTTCGTATATTAGATACAATAACTGATGGTTACTTCCGCATTAGACGATGCTTGAAAACGAACTTCGCTTCGTGTAACAAGTCGTTCCCTTTCACTTACAATCACAAGGTAACTTGCAATCAACGTACGAGGAGGTTTGCGCTATAATAGATTACACCGCAACCAGATGTAACCAGTTACGCCAGGAAAGAGCGGTTTAATTCGGTAGCGGAGTACAGTTTTGATAGGGTAAGCTGGCAAGTTTTGCTCAAAGAAAATAAATGTAAAATGATGCCATTTACAGCTATTATTGCTCTATTCCTCTTTGAACCAGTTTGTTCTTACTTACGATCTGTTATTAATTACCCATACGCTTGACCTTTATTAACGTACACCTACGCAATGAAGGGTAAATCCTAATTAAGTAGTAAATGCTAACCGAAAAGGGGCTATTATCATGTAGGCCTTTACAAGAGAAATAAAAGTAAACACAGACTTTTGATCCGCAATTCGAAACCAACCCTTAAATAGCGGTAATAGTATTGTTTTACTTTCCGTTTGCTCTCTGTAAACGGGACATACATATCGTTTTACTTACGGCCTCCTCATTAATTGAAGGATATAGGTAATTAGCGGTAGCGCCATACTTAATTAGCACGTAATCGTATGGCATAGAAGATCTTAATAGCCTAGTCTTGCGTAATTAATGCAAGTGTACCTTCACTTTTGATACAACAAGGTAATTAGCTTAATTAAAAACTAAACCGGAAGGCTATAAATCAAACTAACGTACTCAATCACAGAGGTTTTGAAAAAGTAGAGTACATACACGATTTAAACAAAATCAACGTGTTTTCATTCCCACTGTGAATGATGAATGCAATTTTTTTGAGTTTCTAGCATCTTTCACGTGTGATAAAACTTTGAGCATTTGAATTGTGCTGATAACATTCACCCATATCAATTTTTACAGTAAAAAAATCACTGCAAATGGTTACCCTCGAAATAAATGCGTAAACAATAACTTGGTAACAGCCTTTTTTGAAAAAACCGTGTGGGGCCTAATTCAAAAATGCTCTTCACGACCTCTATCACCGTGTACAAGTTCATTTTCTTTAAGTGTACAAGTAAGCATTGGGGAAAGAATGGCGGTTTTACGGACTAAACGTGGCAGTTAACTAGACGTCTCATAAAAAGCCTTTCAAAAATGAAAATACGCTATTACTAGAGCGTTTTTTATGTGTATAGCACTCCTCCCAAAGAAAAATTCGTATCGGGTCGTATGTATACCGTCCCGATTAATGCAATAAGAGAGGATTTTGGTAAAATATACGAAAATTAGTGTCAGAGGGGAGAACGCAAATCACAGAACGGTCCTTGATATTTTGTTTAACGATCCGATCAATGCATTTTTCCGAATGAATTTGAGATTATGACCAAATTTGAACAAAATTTATTGATTATGTGGTCTCCCAATCTCGCTCTTCGTTGTGACTCCAGTGCTCATCCCGTACACGAAGACAGGGCATTTTAATTTTTTTTAAATACGCTAAATCTATAGGAAATGCACGTCATGATAATCATGGAATCAGACAATCAACTAGGTATGCATGAAAGAAATGATGAACTAACCTTCCCTCAACTTACCTTTGAAAATGAATAAAAAATATAGGCTAGGTAAACGTAACGCTGATAACAAAATGACTTGAACAACGTGTAGCATTTCCTCAACTTATTTGCGATGCAATTTATTTCTAAAACGCCATTTTTTTAAGGACGTCATACCTGTTTCCTCACAAACAATGTCATAACATTAATATAGATCCGAGGGTATTTGTAGCTTATTGTTAGGAATTTAGAATAAAATTATAATTTTTTTTACTTCAAAGTTCAAACTGGTAAACGCTAGTATTGTTATCATTATCAGTGATAGGTTTCAAGGTTCATTTGACATAATCTTGTATACACAAACGAGTTACAAAAGTATAACTGAGCGGAAAGCTGAAATATCCTTCACCACATTCTTATTTTGCATTCCTAAAACACCATAGTCTAGTCAATGGCCCATTTTTGGAAGTGGTAATTTTGAAATTATTAACTCATAGTATAGGTAGAAATCCAACTGCAGTGTTGCATTTGATGTGAATGTAGTTTTTAACAAAGGGCCTGAATCACCAAACGCAATTAATATTTTTCACTTGCTTTGAGAAGCAGCTAATAAACAAATATTTACTGGAATCTTTCAATTTTCAAGAAGGTATGTAACAAAGTACGCCTTTGATAAGATATTGTTGGAACACTAGGTCCATTTTAGTTCTTGCAGCCTAATTTTGGTACTCGCTATTGCGACTGTATCCTTGTCCTACAGACTTTTACTTCGTAAACCCAATATGGAACCAACCAAGTTGCATTACTAGTACTAGAGTTTATAGGTTTTTTCAACTGCTAATAATCAACATAACCTCAAAGTGGTTTGTTTTGTGCGGCATGCGTATTATAAGCTTACTTACAGCCAAAGAATACCCATAGTAAAAGCAACAGTATAGATAATACCATTGTGGATGTAAGCTGTGTTGCCTAAGCAGATTTTTGAGTTTTTAGTTCAATCGCATATCTAAGAAACTAAACCAGATTATTTATAGCACCTTTTGAAAGTTTCAGTGTTGCCGAGGTATTAACATTTATGTTTATGCAGTTTTAAGTATCTACAACAGCGCACATCCGCAGACTCGCCTGCTGCTCTTGCAGATATCAACGAATAAGCTTATTTCTTCTTCTTATTACTTTGGTGTATGTTGTGCTGTCTATTGCATTTTCACCATAACCAAATTTTAATATGATGGTAATATTAAAAGGCAATTGTTTGTCTGCCTGTCTGTCTGATGTGAGCTATTGGCGCCCACATCTCTGGACCAATCGAGATTAAATTGGGCACATGATGGGTCTGAGACGTGGATCTGAGCAAAGGTTATTATATTATTAATCAACAAATGGACCTCCAACGACCCCATCCTCAAAGTCCTTAAGAAGTGAAAGGAGTGCACCTCGCCAGTAAGCTTAATAAATATTACACATTTGATTGCAGATATGAGTATCTAATATTGAAGACAAACATGCATAATGGCCCATCATGATGCTCTAGCGGGGCGAGATGAGATGGCTGCACCGTCGAAACAAGCTTATATCCCATCCAGGACGAGTTTGGTGATAATTTGTAAAAAAATTTTGATCTCTACAAATATTCGAAAAAATGCTTGCTTACATTAATTTCTACTAATTTTTTGTAAAATAAAAATTAGAAACATGCAAAATTGTTTTTATGAAAACCAAAAAGGTTAATACAAGTGTTTAAAATTCAGCTTTAAATTTAGTAACTCTGCTCCCATGTAACCGACATTGTTCTTAAGGTATGAGAGAACCATATGACTAGAAGCAATAAAATGAGTATGTTGTTCTAATTCATTTGTCGTGAGAACATTCAATGCTTTGGCTGGCTGTGACATGCCGGGAATGTTTGGCGTTACCCTCGTATTCATATATAATATTTTAATTCTTACCTTTCGGGTGAATACGGTCTATTAGCTGCAGAGGACTCGGTAGACGAACAGGTGACAACCGCATCCAATGGAATCTAAATTAATTTTCTATAATCAGTACAATTAGGTACACCAACTAAAGAGAATAGGAATAGTACAGAAAAATTTGTATTGCGCTTAAGAAGTAATTAGTGTAATTGTATAAGCAACGAATAGTGAAAAAAACCACAATGTGTATGGAAGTTTGAAATCTGACCCTCTGTAATTTACATAGCTTTTCTATATTCCCAATTTTTTGCTTGGCACTTTGTTATATATATATATCTATCCTGTACACTAATGTCAATTAGAGGAGTTACAACGGAAGTTAACTCTATATACATTAACCGTTTTTAACATATTTTAATTTTTATGTCAAAAATGTTCATTTTTGAATACCTTGTATTGATATATTTATAATCCAAGTATCATAACAATTAACACAGTCGACTCGAACGAAATCTAATAGGAAACCTCGATTTTAAATAATTTTACACAAAAATTTCAATTATGATTTGGGCTGCAAACATCATTTTTGACGTAAAAAAACGCAAAATTTAGATATAGGACATTATACCTGAAATGTTACATAGAATTTTACGTTTAATCTAAAAATAAAATAATATATAGCCAACTCTACTTCAAATTAGCATTATAGTACAATGTCGAATTTTCCAAATGCTCTGAGGTCTCCTTTTCGAGATTCGGCCTTCATCGTGAGACACCCTGTATATTTTTATAATTTGGAATGCGTTATTTTCATGTTCAAAAACCCAAGATACCAAATTCCTCAGAGATTGGATTTTTTGCACTCATCTGAAGTGAAAATCTAGCAAAAATGTTAACAAAATGTAATTGTGCGTTTCATGGCTGCTGACAAATTTAAGGAGTTACAAAATTTTTGTAGGAGTTTAGTTCTGAAATTAAAAACCCTTGGTTTATTTTGGAAAGATTTTTATTCTGATTGGCTCTATTGCCCCTTACATTTACGATGTAAGTTCCATCATACTTAGATCATGTACAAAGCACTTCTACAGCAATATAACCACAGTGATATGAGTTAGAATTCATATTTGAATTTGAATTCCGGAAATTACTCAAGAGTTTTCAATTGGTATTGTGTGCCGCCTATCTCTATTCCATTCATACATATTACAATCTTAAGCAATACAGGAAATAGCATTGTATTTATATAATTACGGTGGTAATAGTCGTTATTTGTGAATGGACACTTTGGAAGATAATCAAAGATTTTGTTTATTATTAATCGGTCCCAGAAAGTTTCCAAAGATGACAATCTACCGAAAGAACAATTTATCGACTGAAAAGCAGTTTTACCAAAGCACACTTTACCTAAAGGAAAAGTTCGTTGAAAATTTTCCGCCGCTTTGAATACAATGAAATATACAAAGAACGAGCTTTAATAATGCTTTGTTGTATTCATGTAATAACATCTTGGAGAATTATTTGTAATTTAAATTGTAAGGGATATCCCTAAAAAGGAATGTGAGGAGACGAAATTAAGTAGGGAGAAATAATCTGCAGCCTGGTAAATATTTCCCCCAGATATTTCGTGTTAATTTCGCCCCCTCCGAAACTTACAGACGTTTTCCTGTATCACCTTGACCTGTTCATTTTCCCTGATAAATCAGTTCCTATATATGTGTATTCCCTACTGAACGGGTAATTACAACAATCAACACTATTCACATTCATACACATTCGCTAAATAACTACCTGTCCCGGTACCCATCATAAAACTGATGCGTGCTCTTCGATTTAAAGTATGTATCCTACATGAACTCCTACCAACTCCCGGCATCACCTTGGGCTACTGCCAGGCCCAATGGACATTAGATAATTACACCCTGTTAACCATAAGTGGTTGAAAGAGTTTGTTTTTGTTCAATTTTATTATCGTTTACAGTAATTGCAGCATAAGCAACCAACACGATATCATATTGAGCTTCGTCGGTTTCTTCAAGGAGGAGATAAATTTGTTGGTTCACATTTACAAGTTGCACATTAATGGTTGCGTATGCTGCAGGATTTACCTATTTGGCGATCATTACTTTTGTCAATGACTGTACATATTGACTGAGGCGGTTTTGCTGTCGCGGTAACGGGTGCGGGGTGACACAGTCTTACTACAATACACTAGACTTCTCCTTATTGTTGAATAGCACCTCAGTTACCAATTAATCCTTGTAATTACAGTTTAAGTCGGAGTTAAACTTCCACGTGCAAGCACCCATAATTTAATAGCCTTCTGGTTATCACAGCTAAAACGCCGACCGTTTAAAAATAAAGTGAAGCTGGAGGGAAGTACTGATCCATCCATCCAATACGAGGGCTGTATGCGAAACCTTGGTCCGCATTATTATTATGAAAAAGATTTTTTAAATATTTAAGTAACTTTTGTTTAATAAAAACGTAATGTGTTATGCTTGGTTTTAGCGAATATAAAAGGAAACAATGAATTGATTGGCTTCTAGGTTTGGTAAGTAGGTGTATGAATTTTCTAGGAAAAGAAAACAAATACATTTTGTTACTATAAATGCAGCCTAAAAAAATCAACCATAGGGGAAAATAGTCTAATTTACGTTAATGGATTATCAAACTGATAAACTTTAACACAGACCACACAAGCACGAAAGTATTAAAGGAAATGTAATAGGATAAAAATAATTGCAATGTGTCATAATTATTTAGTTATTAGTGTAATAAAGACGCAAATTGTAGCTATTTGCTGACCACCTCACCTTATGGTGTATGCAGAAAAAGATACTCACATCATTTAAAACAGTACATTCGTAACTGGGTTGATATTTCTCTTGCTCGGAGACAGGCCGTTTTAAAATTTTCTCTCTATCTTGCTTATGTTTTCTATCAGCGCCTTTAAGCTTAAATACTTTTATTTGACACACGCCTGCATGTAGTCGTTTAGAAGAATCACAAGGCTCGGATGCTTGATATGTTTCAACTTGAATACGGAAGGGCACCCCCTTTTCCCCTCCATGTTTTTTTGGAGTAAACTCGGTGCTTATGCAATTTACCTAAAAGGACACCATGAACAAAATAATCCTCACAGACTTGCTGTTTAAACAGCATCATCTGTAGTATGATTTATTTGTTCCTTACTTTAATATACACTCCAACTTCTTTTGTTGGATCCCAAGTAAAGGCAATCAGATTTAAGGCGTTTGAAGGTTGCAATACATCACAAAGGCCATAAGATAAAGGCACATCAACCTCTAATATTCTATCACCAGGTCGAGATTGCTGCCATAATGACATTTGTTCCCTTTCCATATATTGTAATCGTCGTTCGTGGAAACAAATCCGAATTACAGTCTACAAAATAAGAATTACATATTCATTCAAAAACCAATATACTTACCTTTAGTAATTTTCCTCGATATGCTGACAGATCTCCTAGTTTCTTTAATTTAATTTCGTAACTTTGCCCTTGGTTTAAATATGTTAATGTATCTTCATTCACTTTAGTGGCAATACTGGTTGCTGCAGCAAGGACATATTGAAAACGGCAATCTTCACCAAAAGTATTACTGCTTGATGTAACATGATATCCATCTTGGGAAAGAGAGGATGGGGAAGAGGCTATATTGTTACCTACAATAATTTTACATTTGAGAAATGCACTAATAGTTTGTATTACTCTTACCATCAATATTTGTTTGCAGAGATGAATAAGTGGAACCACCCAGTAAGTGCTGAAGGGTGTTATTAAACATATTTTGATTACTATTGCCATCGTTAACTGCTGAATTTGTAGTTGTATGTGATGAGGTAACGGGAATACATGACGGATGAGAAAGCGTTTTTGCTTCATTTGATGTGGGAGAGGGCGCTTCTTGTTTAAAAACTGGAAGACCGGGAAGAGAAAGAATAGCTTCACTAAAAAAAAAAGTTAATAATAATTGTAAGTAGAGTCCTGTTGTTTTGTAATGAATAGTGAGATACATGTGGGCAAATTTTGAGTAACCGTGAAGTTTCAAGCCTCTTGGTTTACCTTGGCGCGGCAATAGTCCACTGCGCAACTGTTCATCACAAAATAACAGCACTCTAATTAAAACAATAGTAATAGCATTGGGATGTGAACACCCTCAGCAATCGTTCAGTGCAGCATGTGCCAGTGGTACCATGATAGTTCAACTTCAGTTTATTTGACTGACAATGAAGAAATTTAAATGGTTATGATTCAAAAATTGCCCAATTAGGTAATTTGGCAATTGTATCAAGCAACTAAGTAGAAGTTGAACAATTGTCGTATCCCTTTCCTGAATATTTCGTATACCTTAATGATGGATTCATGATACCACAAATCAACAGGGATAATACCACATAACAATTTTGATCTAATCCAAAGGGCATCTGAATATTTGCTAGGACTTCATTCAAGCCTTTGAAAAATTGTAAAATAAACATTTAAGTTATAGAAATAAAATATAATAGCAACGCAGATTTAAAATACAAAAATAGAAATTTTACAGATCATCGTAAAACCTTCACACATATTCATTCAGACATGCAAAAAGTAATTATTCTGAAAACATCATCCATGGCCCAAAAATTCGTACTTGACTTGGTAAGTAAACATTTTTAATCAGATATATGACAATTTTCCATACTAATAATGGTTTATCCAGTTTTATAAGAGTAAGTCAGAAAGTAAATACTAGGTACTTATAAAAATTGTTGCGACTTTCCACAATAGTTATTTATGTATTAAGGGCATAATAGTGATATTTATATTTTTGAGGGCAACGAGTTAAAAAAACGAGTTTTAGTCGCCCGAGAGTATAAACATCAGTTTATGCCAGTGGTACATACAAAATTTTATGTCTTACAAATAGTTTTCTTCGTCAAAGTAAATATTCGTTTACAAAATAATTCATTATGTTTGATCAAGTATGCGTGGTTCGAATTTGTTAATATGATTGAAACCATCCAAACGTCAAACGTAATTTTAAATAATTCAATTCATCGTGAATGAGCAAGAAGTTCCAGAAACTATACGAAATAGGGCCAATCTTGTGATTTAGTAGGTATTGACAATTAATAATTGACGTTTCTAATTTTCAATGACCTGCAAATATTTGTTTGTTTTGTCATTAAGTATAAATGAGTTACTATGGTGATACTTAATGCCCTAGGGCATAAAGTGGTACTTTATGCCCGCGTATCACAGATATAAAATGTGCTGTGATAGGTTAGTAAGACATAAAAATCAATATATTCGTACTTACCTCATATTATATGAGTTGCTACTTAAATCTGCTCCTAACCCCGCAAGTGAGCCTTCTAAATCTGCATTCAGATCTGAAATATCGTCTACCTGCCATGGTGGCATTCGAGAAGTACCTAGAAATTTGATTAACCATTTATTTACTTGTGTGTTTAATTCTAGTAGAAATTAGGTATAAAATAGTGTAAACTAAAGTAGGTACCAAGGAAGGTATTGTCAAAGCTCCATTTTTCAGGTTGGAAGTGCTAATTCAAATGTGCTTGTCATTACCTAAGTATCCGTAGCCAGAATGTAGTAGTACGGGTGGCCAGTATTTTTCTAGGTGGGGCTAAGAAGTTTTGGATAGACTTTTGCAAAGTAACCATCAACCGTAATTTCCACTGGGGGCAAGACCACGTTCTAGGTGGGGCTCAGGCCACCCTCTGGCTACGGACCTGAGTATCATCAATTAATCTCATCGAGTATTTACAATACGTATGTTTTGCCATTTTGTAGGACCTGTAAGTAGCTACATAATGTGACGACCATATTGTTGCAATTGAAAATAACTCTTTTCTCGTGTAACTTTTGATATCATTTTCCAAACAATGGATGAATTCTGATAGGATTTATAAATTTAAAAAATAAGTTTTGTGATTGAAAATTAATCCACATGTTCATTATTGTCAGTTATGTAGGAAAAGTAACAACTGTTATTTGGGAAGATGTTTATTTGAAACCAAAAGATCAGCTCTCGTCACTTGATGAAGAACAAAAGGCGAGCAAGTAGATACATCAATGTAAAATATAGTAAACTAAAAGAAAACCTAAGCACTATCTCACTGGGTTTTTGAATGCGGATTGTATGCCTAAAGCTTTTTCTATGTTTGATTTATAAATTTAAATATAGGAGCAATAATAACCGACTATTCCATAATTTAGTTGCAGTAACTTACAGGAATTAATTGACGACTGCGTCACGAATCACTTAGCCGACGTCAACAACATTAAATGATTTTTTCAATTAGATTTTATACACACATAACTGCCCTCATTTAACCTTTGAAATTTATCTGAACTCATTCTTTTTCCGAAACAGTTGTAATTAAAAATATTTTACAAATGACTATACAGTCGCCATTGCTTGAAAAAAAGTGTTTAGTTATTGTTTGGCTTAGGTAGGTACATAATTTCCACAGCGTATGCACGTTGTTGACTTTGATAAGATTACACTAAACTTAAAAATTAAAAACGTACATTTAATTAAGCAGTCCATTTTCAAAAATACAATTTCTTCCTTATTAATGTCTCTATAGTTTCAGAAAACGGCAAACTCTTTTTGCAGAATCTTCATTTTGGTGTAGACGTATTTTAAACCCAAGTAAATACTACATCAAAATACTGTCCTTTATTCAGTTTGATAAATATGAGGCATGTGATAAGAAGTTGATAAGTATGTCTCAATGGTACGTCAAAGATCGGACTTTCATTCTTCTAAATGATCATTTTCTTGTAGATTCTAATTTTCATTGCTAATTTAAGTTAAAATTAATAAATGTATGTTGTAGTACCTAAAATTCTTAATATGGATAAACACAATAATATGTACTCTTTATATTTAACAAAAAGTACATTTGTGGCACCATCGTTTAATTATGCTCTTGCTTCACACTAATACAAAGGTCAGGGCAAAACAGATATACCTAATGACCGAAATTAAGTTCGATATATAGTCTAAAATGGTAATCGCATAAGTAGACATGCCTTAGATTTGTCACCACTTACACCTATTTTGTATATGTACAATAAGAAGGCACCTACTTATTTTGGTGTAAACAATTCTTTTATATTTTTCTCTCTTGTAAGATCTCAACAAACGATCGTCATGTTACGGTATAGAACACCATGTGCTGAATCCAAAATACATCCACTTCCTTTTTGATCGTGAAGGTCAGTATCCCCCCTTGGGAATCGGCGTGAATGATACTGACTACTACTCTGCATTATGCATGTATGAACACTGCCACCTCCCAACCCTTAACATAACTATAATAGTCTAGGATATCTGTATTAAATAAATCCATATACTATTGAAATTTGTATATGCGAGACTGTCAAGTCTTCCCCCTCCATTTTGGACGTATACCCTATACTGGTCACTCACTGACCATATAGGTACATATTCACAAACCAGAATGCAAATGCTCTGTTTTTTGAAATTAAGTTTGTTGTACATTTTTCAAGCGCGTATAGCATCATGTTTGACAATTCTAAATGTCAGCGTAGAATTATCTTACTAAATACCACTGGAACTCGGACTTCGCAACATATTTTTGTGGTATTTATTTTCATGTAAGTAATTTAACTCGATAATCTTTTTATATTTGACAAAAATATGTACAGTCATTGCAGCATACGCAACCAACATTTGAATATATTATGCAACTTGGAAATGCAAGCCAACAAATTAAGGTATCTCCTCCTTGAAGAAACCAACGGAGCCCAATGTCATAGGAATGTTGGTTGCTTATCCTGCAGAGTGTAACTAGTAGGCGATCATTGCTTTTGTCAATGACTATACAAAACAACAGAAAGTATGCATGGTAACGGATAGGCGTCACGTTTTGACTTCCGAATACCGAATTTTGATTTTCGATTTTAATCAAGATAAAGCTCAATTTAGTAAGTATAGTCGCGAGTTTTTGATAAGAAACTTCAGTGCGGGCAAGGTTTTTCAACGCCGTAAAAATTGTTGTTTCAGTTGACATAAATGCCAAAACTGATAATTTCACGTTAAGTCTTCGTTGTTATAATCGCTGTGATAAAAGGATGACTGGTCATTTGTTTTATAGATTTCACCAATTGAGTAGAAGAATAGAGGGTCATTTGATAAATGCATTTTATTCTCTGTTTAAAGGTGCGAATAGACCAAGCAAACATTGTTGTGCAACAGTTGAACAACAGGTAGGCAACTGTTGGCTAACTTGTTTCCGTGGGGAGAAAACATTGCCGACAAACTGTTGGTCAACATCGACCAGCCTGCCAGAGAGAATCAAGACAAGAGAGAATGAATCGCTATTCCTTAGGAAAACGTTCATTTTGGCCCACATTGTCAGCAATGATGAGTAAGAAGTGGTGAGAATATTGTTCCTGCACAACATCAAGGCAGTGCCTTTTGCTGCGCCCCAAAAGTGATCAAAACAGAAAGCGCACAAAATTTATCCTTTACACAAAAGCAATGTTTTTTTGTAAATAAATTCAAATTTTGTTGGGTAATAATAATAGCACATTATTATCATTTGAATAAAAAATGTACTAAAACATTGCCTTTAAAACTATATTTCATAGCCCATACGTACGGTTTATAAGCTTTTCTCTTCATCTTTTGACATAACATTAGCTTCAAAATTTGTCTTTATTTAACTTATAGTTTAGTCGCTCGCAGGATATTAACACAATTTTGAACGCAAATGCGTCAACAATAATCCCAGATATATGGCAATGAAGCGAGGCATAAAACTCAATTGTTCATCAACTTCCCATGCCGATTTTGAACAAGAGATGTTAATACATTATTTAGAGTTGTGAGATACTGTCTAAATCCCCCGAGAGTTATCTGTTTTCATATCGGTTTGACAGTTTTGCTGGGAACATATCACTTCAACGACCGAGAAATGTACCTCACGCGTTATATTGACAATATACTTTTGTGCAAACAGTTTGGCCACGTTTATACATTTTTAGCTTTTTCAAGACTAATATAGGTACCTATTTTTTATTTAAAATATACACATACAAATAATAACACTATTGGTATAAGTAACAAACATTTAAAAAAAAATTCATAGTTTCTTTATCTCGGTTGGTTTCAGAAGACTCATCTCGTTACTCGTATAAACCCAATTTTACGTTGAACTGTGCGCATAGTATGAATTAGCTGCAGTAATTTAAGCAGGTCCGCTTAGACACACTCGCCTGCAGGTACCTATATTACACACTACTAGATTGGTAATTATTACTTGATTGAAAGAATTGCCCACGTTTTGGGTTGATATCGGAACAAAAATAACATTATATCTAAGCTGGTAAGATACCTATCATTCACATTACTCGCCCTGAATTTCGCCTAAAATATAAGTCGAGGAATTTGCACAGGTGTACCTACACCTACGTTTTTACTATGCGTTTGGGTACAATTTTTATCTATTTTAAATCGATGTCATCCAATCTGATAACATAGTACTTACTACACTATCAACTATGACGTTAATCAAATCTCAATGTTTATTTTGTTAGGTACCTACCGTTTTCAGCCATATTTCGCTTAGCATTTGTCGATTTTGCGAAATTTTCTGTTACCATTGAAGGTTCTTTGAGGTTCTCATTGGAAGTTGATTTGGTCTTAAACGGTATAGTTCCTGATGAGGATAATTTTCGTTTTGAGGTAGTTTTAGGTAAAACCGTATTAATGAAATTGTCAATTTTGTGGTCGTTAGTCCAACCTAAACAGTCGTCAGAGTTCATGCTTGGTTCGTTAATAATATTCCACAACTCTCGCGAATTTATACGATCGATAGAAAATATATGTGGATTGTTTTGGCACAACTGAAACTCCATAATAACAAAATTACAGAATGAATACTTTGTAAGAAAAGGCGTTCATTTATAATCTCTTTTCATATGAATTTTTAACTTTTGAATACAAGAGCTAACGCAATCTAGTTAGTACCGAATTAATTCACGATTTGTTTAAAACATAACAAAGAATGAATTGTATAATTTTTTGAGTCCTGTGGTTTCTTGCACACGACGACTTTGCACAAAGGCATTATGAATGTTGAGCATTTTAATTTGTAAATAGTGGCATTCAATATCCATTTAGCACAATCGGTTTAGTTAGCTTGAACAAATAATGAAACTTTTCACGCAACACAAGGTCACGTTACACAGAAGCTCTTCCAGCTAAGTATGGGGCCCTTCAAGGCAAATTTCGTAAATTAGTATAAACTGCATTAGGATTAGTTTTCGCAACACTCGCGTTTGAATGTTATCCGCGTAACTGAGATAACAGTACGATAAATTTGGACTATTATCAGATTTTAAGCCTTAAACCATGCGCGCGCGATTTTTAATTTTGCAACTGATCACAGCAACATCTTTATGATGTCTAAATTAAGCTTAATTTATAAAGTTCCATTACAAGAAACGGTTCGAATTAAGCGTCTGTTTAGAAATACAAATAATTATAGTGCAATTGAAGTTGGCTATGGAATTATTTATTGCCGCCTCGTGAAATTTTTTTAGATTGAATTGAATTAATAGGTCCGCAAAGTCAAGTTTAGTCAAATGAAAATAACCCTCTCCTTCAATTTTTATGTTCTACACACAGATGGCTTCGTGTATGGTGGTCAAAGTCAAACCCTGAAACAAAATTCAATTTTATACCTCATATGTTAAAAATTTATACGGAAAGATAAGAACATATAGTGCTAAACATTGATATATTCAACACGCAAATCACAGTGTGAATGTATTTTGAGTTTGTGGCAAGTAGGTACATACCGGGCGTTTTTGAGAGGAATTGTCATTAGTTTAGGAAAGTAATGGAGTTAACAATAGTAGGTACAGCATCTTTCTACATGATAAACCGCTGCGGCTGCTTTAGAGGCACAGTGTGTGTGTTATTATTAAACTACATTATTTATTTGAAATTGTTTCTTTGAGTCTACTACTACTAATAATTTTTTGGGCCAGAACCTGCAATAAGCATTAAACGCATCATTTCATCATCAGCTCAGTTTAAAGTAAATTTATACTCGGAACGATTAAATAGAAAATAATAAATGACTGAATAAATTTACATTAATTAAGTTTATAGGATGCACCTACCTATCATTAAGAATTAAAAATTTAACACACTAAAGAAGTATGTCGGGTTTGTGTAAAAACCCATGATGAGCGGCCGCGTTTTGAATAAGTTATCCTAAAAATGAATTATTTATTTGTACAAATATGGATACTTATGAATATTTGAAGATATGAGGATGTAGAATTGTAGACCATTTTAGTTTCAGTTTTGTTTGATAGTTATCACATATCAGATATGGTAGGTACGTACCTAACCTATAGGTATACAGATTTCAAATAAATTTTACGCTTGTCATATAATCTATTATTTTTAAACAGCAGAAAATCGAATACACTAAATTAACAATGGATGAATAAAACAACAGTTTTTTACTGTTTGAACAAAATCTACAGACATCCAAGGGAAGGCAAAAATAGAATGGTTAGGTATGTGTTGATATGTTTTACGTTGTTAAGTATATACCTAGTATAATTCCACTGCTGTCATTACTTCAAGAAAAGACTAACATATTTTTGAGCTTTCTAAAATAGATAACACAAACGGAATCAAATATGAAAGATAGCGTAGCACATGTGCAATCCATGTTTGACGTGCTACTTCAATTTCTGTTTATAAGAAAAATTTCATTTCAATGCTTTTCTAAATAAGAAAGTTGGCACTGCGACTGCGCAAAACCAAATTTTGAAACTGTCGTTAGATTTTCCTTTATTCCAAACGCCTATGCATCAAATTTCTTTAAATACTTCCATAAATAAAAAAAGTTGGCACTGCGCATGCGCAAAACCATCTTTTGAAACTGGCGTTAGATATTCATTTATTCCAAGTGCCTATGTATCAAATTTCATTCAAATACTTTTATAAGTAAAAAAGTTTGCAATTCGGTTTATAAATGGTCGAGATGCGAAAAGGGCACTTTGTGATTTTGAATGAATCGATTTGACTCAACTTTTGGCATTGCGTATTATATGGCTGAGGATGCCCATATTGAATTTCATGCAATTCAGTTCATAACTAACGGAGATGGAAAAGCGATCGGACATTTCTAAACAAAGTTATCGTTCACACGGACAAATAGAGGGACAGACAGACAAAGGAACAGACGGATAGACCAACAGACAGACGACAGACAGCAATACAAAATTATAAACAATCTCTAGGATCGTTAATAAACGGCAAAAGTGTAAAATTATGGAATATGTAAAAAACGGTTTTTTGTTTTTTTACTTTTTTAGTAATAAACGCAGAAAAAAATCCTTCCTTGGTGCAAGCCTCGACACCATAACGAACCAAATAGCGAAAAAAGTAGAACATTAACTCTTAAGATAAAGAACTAGTAGCGTCTCAACGAACGAGCGGACGGACAGACTGACGGACGGACATTTTTTTAAATTTTTGTGGAAATGCGCTAAAATCATTTAAGGAAGTCAAAAAGAAAAAACAATACAAAATTTCTACCTTAATGTTAAAATAAACATAAATTAAATTCATTATTCATTAATATTATAAAATGCATTTTTGATAAGAAACTTTTTTCCAGTCTGATTTCAAAGTATTATACGGCAACGATAAAAACCTGGTCTCAGCGCGTAGCAAGATAATTTTTTCTATCTGTAGCAAAGCAATAAATGCGATGAATATGTGTGGCTTTGTTATTGTAGATTTTAGAAATTACGTAAAAAAAATTGTTAATAAGGTTTATTATTAAATTTAAATATGTATTGTGTTTAATAATACAGTGCAATCGATTTTTTTCGTACATTCAAATTATATCCTTTTTCTATTCAAATTGTTAGAACATGAAAATAAGGATAGTGTAATTTATTGACTAGAACTTATACTAGGTAGGTACCTTCTACCTTTTGTAAAACGAACGGTACACAAGATAGGAGATATAAATAAACTGCTATTTAAAACCTAACTACAGTTTTTGGCAGGAGATATTTGAATGCATGCTCCTTTCATAATATATAAATAAATAACATATTTCTTAATATATTTGTAAGATTTATTTTATGTTCGTAATACATTTTCTTCACCTTAGCTTTACTATCCTAACCCAGAAATTTGTGTGAATATGTATGCTACTTAACATTAGATGGTGTAGGTAGCGATCTAGAACTAGAAGACCACAATAACTTTATAAACAGTATGACCATATAATGAGGCTTTACGATAATTCAACTAGTTAAAACAAGTTGGCAAAAATTACCATTACCAATGTGACAATTTTTATAAACATCAACCAACGAGTAACATGGCCCTAAATGTTTTAAGTGGGAGTGACTGTGAGTGACTTTTTACTATCCATTGAAAGTTCCAATTATTTAAAACTACAGTAAATCATAGAAGAAATAAAAAGCATTGTCTTTCTTATCAGTGATGATCATTACACATTGGCGGTTGGATGTGTTTAATAGTTTCAGATAAAGAAACCCACAATCCATACACACATATCTCTCGTTAGCTACAAACAGTTACCAAACTAGAACACTCATGTTCAAGTAATCCCCCAAAAACCTCATAATGATGGTTTAAATGTTTGACAGTGTGTATTTGGCATAAGCTACCAAGACCGCCACTATTATTCTTAGCCCCAAAGAAAACTCTTTTAATACGGCTGTGAACTAATGCCATGGAGCACATAATGCAAGGTTCTCGTGTCACATACAGTACATATCCAGTGCATAAGTATGGTCCATCAGACGGCGTTTCAGCGTCAGGTTTTGCTTTAAACTTCTTCGCACCAAATTCGATGCAGGTATATTTCTCTTGTAAAAACTTCAATGCTTCAGAAGGTAAACCGCTTACAATTTTATTGTTACATGCAACAGTATCGCCTCTTGTAGGGTTCCATGCGCCGCCATTCTGAGTGACAGCTACATGGTCGATGGCAACCATGACAGCATGCTGACATGGGTTATTATGTTGTGTATCAAAGCCTACTGCAACAATAGAATTTATTGACGGATCAATTACCGTAACACCCGAGTGACTGTTATAAAACTTAGCAATGTCCACTGCTATGTGCATGTATTTGATGTGATCATTTATCTCAGACGCGCCAAATAAAGAATTGTCATGTAATTGTTCTATATACTTGTCACTGTGAAAGTTACACGGCCACAGCTTATTCACTGTTTGATACTGCTTCTTTGTTTTGGGTGCAATTTCGGCGACCAATATTTTTTTAATGTTGCCTTCAAGTTGGGATACATCAAACTTTTTCTCCTTTAAAATTTGATGTACATCTTCCGATTGAAGGTCCCCACTACACTGGCATACTAAAATGTCTCGACCCCTTGCCCGTTTTAAATGGCACAATTCTGATATCGGAAGAACTGAGTTTAATTCCACCAACACCTTCGAGATTAATTTTATATTTTTAATAGTATCCACATAAACCTGAGTTAAAGGTGTTTCGTCTGTAAATTCTGGCGACAATACTGGATAAAATGGTGTTTGGAGTTTTCTACGCTTCGAATCACTCATATTTTTAGCAGAAAGGTTAATCCAGCTGTGCATCAATGGTTTATCTTCGGAACCTAACAAATTATTCATATAAGTAAATGAAATCAAATATGCATATATGTACCCGGAAATTTGTTGTATTAATATTATAGACGAATGCAGTAAGGGCAGGAAAATGCACACGTGACATGTCCAGATGTACCGACCTACTGTAAAATAAATATTGTAGAGATCTTAATTATCAGCAAGATGTAAGTATCTATTATACTTCAAAAGTTATTATTAATAATAGTAATAACAATAACTTGCTATCGTAAGTTAAATCCTAAGTGTCCCTGGTCGCGGGACAGGATGCAGTGCAGCGCTACTAAACAGCCAGCAGCACGATTTGACCCGCGACACAGTCGTGCATATTTTATTACCACCTTTTAATGTGGTGCATATTTACTGATTTATGCAATGTTCAACTGCATACGTATACGGTTTATATTGAATATTATGAATAACTGAAAACTCCTCTCTAGAACTGTACTTGTTCAGAACGTGCAACTGTGTCGCGGGTTAAGGCGACTCAGTCGCGCTGCACTGCATCCTGTTCCGCTGCTCGGTGTGAAGAGGCACTAAATCGTGCACTGTCATTAGTAATGAGATGACCTCTGAAAATAGGTATATCCAAATAAAAGAGATCGTACTACACTGAACAATTATAAATGCTTTTACAAGGTAAACATCATTCACAATCCTCATATGACAATTAATGGTCGTACAAATGATTCTATTTTAGGATTCGTTTTGACCATTCGAATATAGTTTCTTGGTTTAGATAATTCCAATAGCACATTATAAAACAACGTTTTAGTCCAGTTAGCATGTAGAGCGTTTCTTTCAGGTTTTAGTTAACTCGCCCTGTTGTGTTTACCGTCAGGTGTTAAATCTGGCCTTTTATTATGTTAGTTACGCCACTGGCTATGTTGCTTGCTCGCAGGCCCGAAGAATTTTGATGTAGGTATGTAACCATGTTTGCATATTCAAGTATTTGATTCTATCCCTCTCCACCCACTGTTTATGATATGCTTTCGTTTGCCAGCTGCCTCAAGTTGCTAATGCACTCCCAGACAAGTGTAACCTGTTATAGACGTCAATGCAGCCTGACTATCTGAAAGAAGATCAATTGTCACTCTTTCTTTCCCTGACTGATCATTTTCTAAGCCTGTTCTCTTGACTGTGATTTCTGTAGATGGCGGGTAGGCGTAGGAATAACTGCGAAATTCGTTATGTGCTTTAGAATGGTTTATTAAGGATCCTCAGATTCTTTGTATTGTATTGTCGTCCGTCTGTGTGCAACTCTTTTTAAATGTTGCCGATTATGTTGAAATTTGGTGCTTACTTTATACCTTAAGAACGGACGCTATTGATTTTCAGGAAGCTGGTTCAACAGGAACAAAGTTATAGGACTTCGAGTGAATCGGGAACGGGAATAACTGCGCGCTCAATATAATAGAAATCAACATTTTTCATTCCCTAGGTCATGAATCGAGTTCGGACTTTCGCTAGATTATACCCTATGACTCTTAGATGTGTAACAAGTCAATATAACTCCTCTGTGTGCTCTAGGTCAAAAGTTTTAGACTAAAATGTTCCCAAAATTATTCATTACACATGAATTTGGAGTTGTAAAAGCTTTCAAACGCATTATCGTGATTCTGAAAGAGTACATCACATGCATATATGAGAACCGAGTGTGTGTGATTCAAAAAGGTTAAATTATTTTTCTGAGGCCACATGTGCTTGGATCAAAACATGTCAAAATCGTTATTTATGCACCAAGATCGTTGGAAAAAAAAGACCAAGAGCATTATGTCAATGACTAAAACATGAATTTGATGCATTTTTGTTGACTATGTATTTTTCAAGGTAATATTAAGGATTCTTCGATATTTCGTTGTATTGGTTTATTGATTATAAAATTACATCGCGTGACTGTTAACTTGTTATGCCGCAATGAGAATTACAAGATAATGAGAAAAATATTTCAATATTAGTATCTAATTGTATACAGGGTGTTCCTAAATATGATGTAAATACGGAAGGAGCTTATTTATCATTAAAAGTTCGTATAAGTATAGGCCCGCAGCCGATTCGTTACTGGTAGATTGTAAAATATGAATTTGATTTCTGATTTGTTTGGAAACTTTTTTGTTCTTGTAAAGATGGAAAATCACAGCAGCTCAGGGTTCTAGTGGCCGGATGCCACGGGCGCCATGGATTAGTGGCAGGAATTGCAGCTATTTCTCTGGTCACCTTTGCGCGACCGCCTTTTGAAGTCTTAGGTTGTCGTTAACAATACTGTTGAGGTCCCAGAATGGTGCCAGAGATCGTTACGTGCCCTACCAATAGACCTGCACGTATCAGATAACAAACGGTCAGGTGATGGTAAGTCCACGCCTCCTATTCTACAGTTGTGCTGGACCACCTTGTGACTGATTCAGCTTCGTGAAGCGGCGTCCTGGGAAGCTTCTCTGAGTCCCGCGGCTCATTCACTGTCCAATTTTTAAGCTCGATTTTGATTTATTTTTCAGGAATTTATTTTGTCTGTTAAATTTATGTTTATTACAAATACATCGATACATTCGTGTTTGACTGCTCTACAAAACCTATGAGCTTTGTTAGACACACCCTCATTATTATGGGATATAAAATAGTTATATATTATACAAGACCATAAAGGGGCATTGTTAATTCACGAGTGACGCAGCCACTTTATTTTATAGCAGAAGCCATACAAAGCATTGTAAAGCTTCTTACAATTCTGAAATTAATTTAGACGTCAAAAATAGCAAGCTTCGGTTCTGTCGTCATGAAGGTTTCCATAGCAACAGAATTGTCATATCTTCTGAACGTCATATTATCTCGAGTATTATCTTGCATTTGAAATAAGATTGACAGATGTCATTAGAATGCACAGTAAATTGATTCACTTTATCTACCCTTACGGTAAAAGTGATCACTTTATCTATCCTTACTATTAAAGAACGGCTTAGCCTACTCGTTCAAACCTGTTAAAATAACAATCTAATATATGCTATAAAATAAAATTTATACTTTCACGTACAAACAGTTGTTGAGAACTAGCAGTTTTAATTTTGTAATGGAAGCAATTGAATGTATCATATCATCTTTGTATAGGGCATTTTTCGTCTTTTCAACGATATATGTTCGTATTTAAAATGGTGGAGTAATTTGACCAACAATGAATTTTCCGAGGAATTTTCGAGTGAACTTTACTATTAAAATATTATAAATCAGGTTAAGTATGGCGTGAAAACAAGTGAACATCAAAACAACAACAGGTCCATAACCTTTGCACCAAAAGTGTAGTAGATATGAAAATACAAATCTCCTTCTGCCTTATCAGATGTTTGTAACACATCGCAGCTATCAGGTTTTGAAAGACATTTTCTTGTTTTCTCTCATCATCCCTTACGTTAATTTGACGTTTTGTAGTTGGATGACATAAAACATGTTCGCTTAAACCGTATTCAAACCTCCAAAAGGCTGTATTAAGAGGCAATCTGTGATATAAATATAAATGTGAATAAGTACGGAGTGTTTCCCCTGCAATTTATTGGCATTTTGCACTCACAGACATTATCTACCATTTTATCATTACCGAGTACATTTGCAATAGATTTTGAAATTAACACTCCCTAAGCTGAACACCAATATTTGGGACAGCCCTAGGCACACAAATAGTGTAGGGTCCCTTACTCCCCTGGTTTATACTTATATCTCATAAAAACAAAGGTACGTACTTATGGTTTCAATTTTATTAATTTAACTTAACAGACTCCCATAGAAAATAATATAATAAAACCTACCATTTTACATGATACTGGATACCTACTGGAAAATTGCAAAACCTCTAAATGTTTTTATTTTAAGACGTACACGTAATTATATTAATGTAATTTTCTTTGCAACATGAATATCGTCAACTATCAAAGATGCATGCATCTTCGCAGGCCCCCAATTTCAACGGGCCCTCTAGGCTCATGTCTACTGTGCCTAGGCAAAAACGCGGCACTGCATTCATGTTATTGCCATTATATAGATAACAATTGAGATTTTTGCATTAATTACATTCATTTAGCTAGCTATAAGACTGTTCCAGTGAAGTAATCGAACTATTGGTTAATTGTTGGAGGAATCAGGAATACAGATCTTTCTGCCAAGTGAACTTTGCCTTGTTAGGCACAATTATCCGTTATTTAATTTACAATTTAAATGTTTACTTTACTATTAATCTCGCTATTAATATTATGAACACGAATCTGTATTACTTAGACATGTTTGAAATTTGTCTACAAATGCAAAGATCAACTGCAAATTTAAATTTACCTCCATTATAGGTAATTTTCTCCATTAAAACTACCAAGAATAATCAATTTTAAGTTGAAGAATACACCAAACAGGTTTAGCAAGTGACTCGCCCATCACTACTTTTTACTACACAACTGCTTTTAATCCTTTTTTATTTAATTAGATATGCAGAACAGGAGATTGGGAATTATAGAAAAATTAGGGGTAGTTATAATATACTTAAGGCAATGTTTTAATACAGCCTACCTACTCTCTCGAAAGCAAAACATTAGACATGTTCTACATTAAAGCAACAATAGGTAAAAGTCCATCTAATAAGCACACTTAATTACAAACACTTAAGATAGGTACCATAATAACTTTCAAATATGGAAAATTCAAATTTAACAACTAATGAACAATATCGGATACATGTAATTAAATACGAAAATCTTACCAGAAATAAACTAGAAGACGAAACACTTCTAATGAGGGCTCAATATGAACTGATTTTTATGTTTTACGGTATTTTATGAAATATTTTCAGACAAACTGGTGTCCAGAATGAAATCCACAACATCCAGTGTTAATTAGGTGCTGATCTGGAAGTGGCAATTCTACAGTAACCAGTAGGTAACTGGATGTATCCACAGCAGAGTAAGCAACTTTTGGTTCCATCTATTATGAACTTTTGTAACTACAAACAACATTCAAACGTAAACGTTTAAGTGAAAAGGAAGTGTTTCTTTTGTAGCTTAGGAAAATATGTTACATTGAATAAGTAACCAATTATTCACTGTATCTTATCTGTTAAGTTCTGCTGATAATTTTTCCAATAGACAAGACATGCCATGTTTTAGAAGCCGAATCACCTACAAGCACATTATGTTCGTTCTTCACTGCTATAGATACTTACATACTTTTAAATGAGTACTGAAACATTCCTCTTCAATTCAAAAATGGATCTCATCTCATCTGATCTTGATAGCCAGAGAAATTATACAAACTTTTCCCAAAAGATGATCTATGTATTGAGCAGAAACTGTAGCTCGAATTCCAGATCTACGTCTTGTGTTACAGAAAATAATCTAATTTTAATTTAATCATCGACTTTAAGAATGGAAACTTTAATTAGTCTATACAACTGCCATGGCAATAATCGTTTGGCCATCTCTTATTTTTACTTTTATGAGAAGTTCAATGCAGATTTTCATTTCAATGGTAGGTAAGTAAAAGCTTAAGAAAATGTTGCGCGAAAAAATTAAAAAGCTCACATAATTAATTTATTATATCAGTCACATTTACAAAATCGTAGTTATAGTAAAAAACGATCGTCATAAAATATTTATATTACATTAAAACTGTAAAAATCTGTAAAAAGCAAGATACTTAGAATGACATAAACACATTCAAAATATCTTGTAAGGCTTTATCTTCTTATTTTACTGTTAAGATAAATTTTAAAAATATATCAAAATAAATAACACACATCACATTTAAAATTATTCTAAAAATAAATATTAGCACTAAACTGATAATAAAAGAACAAAATAATCTATTTTAAAATACTGAATTAAGTTATTTAAAGCACATTTTATATTTTGAACGGCATATTTTTAGTAATTCAAAATATAAGTTTTATTTACACTGGCGAATATATACAATTGCGAAAAACATTTTTTGTAATATTTGCACGCTTAGAAGAAAGGAAAATATATAAAAGAGCTGCATTATTATGTAAACGCCCAAAATATTGCAATAAATGTTATTGCCTTCAATTCCTCTTAATCATTAATAACTAAAATATTAACAATAATACAAATATGGCAAGAAAATGTTTGAGTATTTAAAAATAAATTTTCAATTAGTAAAACATGAAAATTAAGTTATCTATATATATAATTTAATTCGTTCGGATATAAACTAGGCTAATATATACGTTCTAAAAATCAGACTTCTTAATACAGGACCTTTAAAAGAAAAACTATTAGTAGATTATGAGCCTTAACTTCACAGAAGGGGCCACTTTAATTAAACAGTAGTGCAGACTAGAAAATGTGTTTTCTTAATTATTAAGCCAATGTCCCATTGTCCTTGATCCAAACAATAAAATGCTTGCCACTACTCAACACAACCAGTGGCAGAAGGTTGCAAATGTCTCATATTTGCACTACCTTGTAGTCTCAATATACAGGGTGGTGCCTAGCGCGACGCAGCATAGGGATTTCAATGCTAATTTCTTTTTAGTCAATTACTAGCTCCCCTAATTATTTTAGAGCAAAAATCTAAATACGTTTTTTTCAGAGAAAAAAATACTGCATATGTTCATAATATTACTCATAATTTTCCGTTTTTCAAAACCGTAGAAATCAACAAAATAAAAGGGTTCATTTTACAATAAATCAGATATGCCTTGGAATTACCTAAAAAAACAGCGATAACTTTTCATTATTTGCCTTTGAGGTATATTAAATTTATACTTGTTTATAAATTAGTTAATCATAAAATTGTTTGTCATGTATTTAACTGAACAGAAAGAGGAAATGCTAAAATTGTTTTATGCCCGCCAAGTAACGTCTTTATTTACTGTGAAGTACCCCAATCGACCGATTCCAAGCAGTACCACAGTGGACAGAATTGTGGGCAAGTTTCAAAGAACAGGAACAGTGTTAAATCACTGCAAGTGCAATAACGTTCAAAATGTTCGTCAAAATCATCAGGAAAACGACAATACATTCAATGTTTTGGCTGCAGCAGTGGAAAATCCGAATATAAGTTTAAGAACAATTCTTCCTCAAATCTATTTCTTTTTCTTCGATTATGTACCCTGGTTCCGGAAAATGATAAACAAAAATGCATTTTCTAAAAAAAGATTACTCATAGCTGCTTTTTCTGGCGTCGGTTATTTGAAACAGAATCAAATATGAAAATCGTTCGACGTTAAACAACCATAATAATTTAGATGCGATGCGCTTGTAGTTTGTTAAAAGATTCCAAAGTATCACTGATTTATGAAAATGTAATTTTTTATTCTGTCGATTTCTACGGTTTTGAAAAACGGAAAATTATGAGTGATCGTATGAACAGGTGCAGTATTTTTTTCTCTAAAAAAACCTATTTAGACTTTTGCTCTAAAATAATTAGGGGAGCTAGTAATTGGCTATAAAGAAATTACCATTGAAATCCCTATGCTGCGTTGTGCTAGGCACCACCCGGTATACCTAATAAATATAGGACATTGGCAGTGAACACATTAAAACAAACTTAAGGCTTATAATCTACAATTTTATATAGCCGTATTCATAAGCTAATATCTTAGAGCCTCACATTTTTTCAAAAAGTACTCAAAATTTTTGTAAAAGTGAATTATGCATGCTTGAATTAACTTCAAATATCGTGACTACATTGACATTGTGTTTGCTTGTGCTTTTCAGTAAATTTCATGCTGCACATAAAAGGTGAGCAAAACACATACATGATTTAAAACCCTGATTTGTGCTTCTTTGTGCCATGCATTTAAACACATGGATTGCAAATCTGAATATGCAAACTTTTACACACCATCAAATACTACAAATTATGGATTAAAATTTTATAGTTGTGCCGGAATTTGAATTTCGCCTTCAAAGTTAGCAACTTAAAATTTGTTGAAACATAAATATCTGGCCAGAGAGCAGTCAACCATTGAACCAAGATGACAGTAAAAATATGTCTGTCTGTCAAAATTTGATAATCCAGAGCCCCTGATGGTCACATAGAATAGTGGGGGTTTAAGAACATAAAGACGATACTAAAAAATGAGGAGATAGAAAAGGTCCTTGGCCAACGTGAGCAAAATGACTGTAGTGATAGGGGTGTAACTACATTACCATATGCATTGTGGTTATAGCTGGTTGTAACTTTATGTAAGTACCAACATTGATTCATTATGTGGCCAAAAACATAATGTTGCAATTTTATTTCAAAATCCTTAAGGTGATATCCGAAAATTTGCAAGCACATAGGAGTCGTGTTTTGCGCACCTTTGCATGTAGGTATCTCACCCATCTATTAAAAATCAGGATATTCAAATATTTAAAATTAGTATTGGTATTGACTTTATAATACATAGTACAATCAAGCACGAATAATGTACAATCATTAAATTGTTTGTGTTTCTCATGAGCCCACTTTATGGAGCCCTTAAAAAATAGCTACCCAACAAATGATAGTAATTGAAATTCAAATAAATTAAATCACAACAGATAATTTGTACCAAAAATATCTATGTAAATCTGCCAATCATCACAAAAGCTCTATCGTGCTGTTCATAGGTAAATAATTTAATACCTAATATTATTGATTCGAGATCGGCTATATCAAGGAAATTAAATTATGCATATCAGTTGTTCTGTGTCACATAAAGATGTAATATGCCGAATGTGAATAATTAAAAATAGATTCAACATTCAAATTCATTTGCCGTAATAGCATTAAGCGTAAGCATTAGGCCCTCTAAATTGGCCATTTCTTGGTTTAATTCCTCGGTCGAATGAGATTGTTGAAGAGGTTGAACTTCCTCCCTTGTATGTGGAGGTGGATTAGAGGCACTAATTCGAGACGGGGGAGTAGCGATTGACATATTTAAGGATGGTTTTTTATAAGGTGAAGAACTGGGCCTAACAGTTATCGGTGGTTGTGACGAGACTACAAAAGAAATAGTAAACGAAACCTTTTACTTAAAAAAAAAATAAATCTTACCAATATGCTTGGGTTGTGGAGTGCCTGGGGCAGAAATCGGTGGCGGTGCAGGTACACTAAAACTTTTTAGGGGGTGACCTTGCGCCTGAATGCGTTTGCCACCCTGGGATTCTGCCAGTACACTTAAACCAGGAGCATAAGCACTGGAGGGCGGTAAATGTGCTGCGACTGGAGGTGGATGACTGTATTAGAAAAGTTAGACAGTTACAAAGCAAACACAATTATATCATTACAGACCTTCCATATCCTGCACTACTGGAGGAGCTCACGTCGTAACCTCCTTGAGAGTGTGACATATAAGGATTTTCTGAAGTATGGCTCGTAGGCATGCTGTTAGGGTCTAATGTAACATGTGCCCTAGTCATAGAATACTGTGTTCTTGGATAAGGTGGCCTACTAGTAGGTGTAGAATCGGAACTGGTTTGACTTAAACTTGTATTGATTGGTGTAGCCGTTGCAATAGCTATAATTTTAAAGGGAATTTATTAAATTATAGTCTGGTTCGTCTTGCTTCATCTGCATTCATGCCATGAGTATCAACATGCACTTACAAAATGCTTTTTATGTGAACTTACTTATTTTAAACAATGGCATTGCACGTTTTAAAATAAAACCCATTGCAGAAATCAGTAATAAAAACTATAAAGGCGCGAATCCTTACTAATTAGGTTATCAATTAATTTTTCGACAAAATTAAAAAAAAAGATTTATGTCGGTCATTACCTGACCTGAATTGACCTCACTAACAGAAATGTTTCCTTTTGCGAGTATCCTCTCCCGACACTCCGTTCCAATTTTGCCATATATGACAGACCACATTGATTTGCTAATGTATAAAAGACTACTGTTACAAACGCACATGCGCGCACCTAACTTTTGATATGCAGATCATTTGTGCGTAATCAAATCAGTTCGAATTCAGAAACACGACTTTTAATTCAGTTCATACTCAATAGTCCTTGAATGTGTAGAAATCGATTGATAAAGTTTGACAGTGCTGCCCTTGTTCATTCTCGAACTAGACTAGGAACACAAAGACGGGCAAAACCATTATAACTCTCGCCAGGAAAGATTGCCAGTCACAGCACACCTTGTGTTGATCTACAATCTATGGTTTTCTTAAGATGCGAGCGACTTCCAGAATAGGATCCTGCCAATGTTTAACAAAAAGTCTTTTTGTTCAACACTGACACGATACTATCCTGGAAGTCGATCACATCTTTAGAAAATCATAGATTGTAACCGGAATCAAGTGTTCTGTGACCGGCAATCTTTCCTGGCGAGAGGTTTACATAAAAGTAACTTTTTTCTTTCGAAAAATTCTCCCGTAAAAAGTTTTACTGTAAAGTATTCACTATTAATCACCTGATAAAAGACAGTGACAGTAGCAAAACGCTAAGTAGAACGTTGTAAATTTAACAAAACAAGTCGAGTGAACCAGCTCAAGCTGGGATCATAGTAACATCTGGTTGTAAAATATCCTCATATATTTATTTCATAGTTTAACCAGTACTCTTATTACCACGCTTTAAAGTTTAAACAATTATCACTGTCTGACAATATGTTTTTATTGAAATTTTGGGAAGGCATAAGATGACCAGTAGTATTCAAATGTCAACTGAGTAGGCACTTTAAAAATGTTGGGTGCTGACTTTTCTAGGCTCCTGAATGACTATGATTGTAGAACACAAAATGTTTTACGTATAATAATTTGTATTATACTAAAGGAACATGCTTAAATTAACTAAATACATAGCAGTACTTACGTTCTCTTGTCGGTTTTGGATCCACACGTAACGAAATCGGCTTAGACTTTGATACCTTTAAATTTGAATCCTCTGGGGAAATACCTACATATTGCAAGCAAAATAACGAAAATAATTTTGGTGATTTAAAAATTAAAAGTATACACATGCAAAGTGCAACTAGTAACCTAAAAGTCTTACCCATATAATTAGGAACATAGGTACGTTTGTCCAAAGAATTTGAATGATGACTTTCGTGGGAATCATACTCATTTGCACCCACGCTTCTAGGAAGCGTCATAGCACCACTACTACTAGCACCGTCATTTGCAGAGTGACTTTTTTCCAACGCTTTCAGTTCCATTTGATCGTGATGTATCCACAAATCTGGCGGTTTTATGTGTTGACTTCCTTTTTGAAAAGCTTTTTTTGTGCTTTGTGGTGAAGTGTTAACTTCACCCCTTCGACAACACAATACTATTACTACTGTAGCAATTGTTAAAATTGCCACAATACAACCTGCCACAATTAAGTATAACAGTGTAGTTCCAGAAAAGCCATTTTTGCTATCTGCAATGGAAACATTTTTTTAATTACATAACTACAACTGCATACGTAATTTACTAATTATGCAAATATGTGCAATCTTGTTAGTGGAAAATAATCAAAGATAAAAAAATAATATGCAACTAAAAACAATTTTGAATAGTTAAAAATAATTGAATAATTAAAAATTACCCATAGGTTGTCTCGTTTCAGAAACAGCATTACCGGTATCTAATGAAAAAAAATCAAAATTAAACCAAATTATAAAGGGAAATAAAAATATTGTACATGACCAAAGCAGAAAGTAACAAAACAAAGAAAAGTTTTTTGTTCTTTTTTTCTTCTTTCCTCCGTCCATCAAAATGGGTTGTGGCTTAATAGGAGAACATCTAGCAGCTATGTTGCCCCTCAGTGAACTTCGCCCTGTGGATTTAAGACCCCTTCTCATCATAATTCCTTTACCATCAAAGATACCCAGAAAAGTCTTAGAGAAAGCTTGTGCACAATTACCTTCGCAATAACCCTAAAATAACGGGCGATCAAAAATGAGTGGTAGTCAAGTCGTCTTTAGAAGTACAATTTCTCATGTAAACAACAATTCGAAAGGTCACTCGACAGAAACTCATTTTTGAAATGGAACACCCGTTTTAGGCTTACACCATATAGTACAAGGGCTGCTAATTGTAATTGTAATGGTCAAGGACATTGCCTGGGTATGTGCGTTTCAGGGTAAACGAGTCTGTCCGAAATTGTCCGATGCGACACGATTTGAGGCTGTCAACCTATAAATTCACAAACGTCAATTAATTAATTGCCCAGATATGGCAAAAAAATGCAAACCTATTCTTATTTGTGGACGTGTGTATATATACAGTGTGAGCAACAATGATTGAAGCGTGCGTCATCACCGCTTGTTCCTATTAATATCAAAACTACCTTCTTTGTATGGAGTTGTATACGAAAATGACGTTCTGCGCTGTCACAGTGACGTGCGTCTATTCGTATTTCGTATCTTGTATCAAATCAGCATATGCTATGAGCGGCACATTGCCAATTTAGCTGAAGCGGCACGCTTCAATCTTTGTTGCTCACTCTGTATAACTTTGCATAGTTTACATAAACGCCTATCTATACAGGGTGATTCCTATAGTACCTGCCACCGTTTGGGAGCGTATAGGGGGTGCCTAGGGGAAGTCTTTTCATATAGGACACTTGGAGTCGGAAATCCAAAATAAGGGCGCCAGAACCAAATTTATCTTCTGGAATTTCACGCCTGTATGTAGGCAACCCAACCGACCGACGTTTCGCGCGGAGCGATGCAGAGCGAGTTAGCGCGAGGAAGCGACATGGGAGGGAAGGAGGGAAAACGACAGTCAAAAGCAATAACGTTTACAAGTGTTCAACGTGGCCACCGTTGTTCTCAATGCACTTCCTACATCTAGCCAACTATTATTATACTATTGCCATAGTGTTTATTCACTTGATACGCGTCGTTGCAGACGGGATTTCGTGGGTTTAAACAAAATTCTGATCAAGTGTCAGCCACACATCGCCGCCTGAGATCGCTCCGTGTGCACCGCCGGCCGGTTGGGTTGCCTACCTACAGGCGCGAAATTCCAGAAGGTAAATTTGGCTCTGGCACCCTTATTTTAGATTTCCGACCCCAAGTGTCCTATATCAAAATACTCCCCTACGCACCACCTACACGCTCCCAAACGGTGGCAGGTACTATAGGAATCACCCTGTATATATATATATATATATATATATTAGCACTATAGGCCTTGTAGGCCCTTGGCTTGGTGGACAATTGATGCCCATTTTGTCCTATTTTCAGCAGCTGCCCTCCACTCCCGAACCTGTAGTCGCGCTACATCGTCTTCGACTTCCTTTTTCCACTGGGTTCTGGGTCTTCCTACTCGTCTTCTACCTCCCATTTCTGCTGTCCAAATTTTACTGGGAACTCTTTCTTGGTTCATCCTTATATCAGCATCGTCATACAGCTCCTTTATTTCTTTGTTTGTTCTCCGTTCCCATGTGTCTCCCACTCTTTTACCTCCATAAATTTTTCTCAGAATTTTCCTTTCCCATATACTGAGTAACAACTGTTCCTGTTTTCTTATCGTCCACACTTCAGATGCGTAAGTCACTACCGCCCTTATAATAGTTTTGTACACTCGGAGTTTCACTGCTCTAGAGAACACGTTTCCCGTTATTATTGATTTTAGCGCGAAAGCACTCTTGGTCCCTGCAGCTACTCTAGCACTAATTTCATCTGCACTCCCGGGTGTTTTTGATATTACTGTCCCTAGATACACAAACACACCTACCTCTGAAAATCGGTACTCACTGTTTTGGTCTATTGTGATTTTTAAATGGTTGGTCACATTTTTTATTGTCCCACACCATATATTTGCTTTTGTTTTCGTTGATTTCTAATCCTATTTTTTTAGCAGTTGTTATAATCTTCTTTGCAGTATTTTGTAGTTCGTCTTTTGACCTTGTTAAGATTGTTAAGTCGTCTGCGAATGCGAGGATTTGATGCCTGTTGTGACAAATTGTGCCTTGACGATTGGCGTTGCTTTCTCTCAAAATCTTTTCTAACACGAGGTTAAATAAAGTAGTTGACAGTGGGTCGCCTTGCCTCAAACCGTTCTTGACTCCGAACTTTCTTGAATATTCTCCGTTCACTCTCACCATATTTGTCCTGTCTTGTAAGGTCATGTTTATCAATCTGATCAGCTTATGCGGTATTCCAAGGTCCTTCAACGCCATGTATAGTTGTTCTCTCTTAATGCTGTCGTAGGCTTGCTTAAAATCGATAAACAGAAGGTGCGTTTGGAGTTGGTACTGGTAACTTTTCGCCTGTATTTCCTTTAGTACAAATATTGGGTCTCCTACTGATCGTCCTTGTCGAAAACCGCATTGGTATTCACCTAGTATTTCTTCTGAGTAAGTTTTTAATTTGTTGTTTATGCAAGTGGCTAAGATTTTGTACATTGTATCTAGCAGAGCTATTCCTCTATAGTTTTCACAGTTTTGTTTGTCACCTTTTTTGTAAAGTGGACAGATTAATGCTTCGCTCCAAGACTTTGGCATCTTTTCATTTTTCCATATTTCCTGTACCAGTTCAAATATTTGTACATGTAGCTTCCTTCCTCCATATTTCATCATTTCTGTTTGTATTCCGTTTGCTCCTGGGCTTCGATTGTTCTTTAACTTGAGTATTATGTTTATTATTTCGTCCAGTTCCGGAGCTTCGACATGTGCATCGTTGCTTGCCTGTGCTGATAGATTCGTTTGTAATGCTCTCCAAGTGCCTTTGTGGATCGTTTTGTGTTGGTAGTAAGTACTCTTTATCTTCATATTTTTGCTCATCGCAAAATCTATCAGCAGTCTTCCGTTTTCGTTTGTCTCGAAATGCATACTGAATTTTCCGATTGTTGGCCTGTACATGTTTTCGTTTCCTACTTTAGCATTGCAATCGCCTAACACTATTTTTAGATCGTATCTGGGGATTTTTCATATATATTGTCCAATACTTCGTAAAATCTTTCTTTGTCGTCTATTTCCTTCTCTGCTGTCGGTGCATGAATGTTGATGAGGCTTATTTTTTGATATTTTCCTTTAAGTCGTAAACAGCATATTCTGTCAGATATGGGTGTAAACTGTGTCACCGCTGTCGTTAGTTTATTGCTTACCATGAAACCTGTCCCTAATTTTCTGTCTTTCCCACCACTCTTGAAGAAAGTATAACCATTAATATCATAAACCTCGTTTCCTTTCTGCTTAGTTTCTTGCAACGCTATTATATCTATTTTGTATCTTTTTAGTTGGTTTGTTAGCTCGTTAATTAACCCTTCCTCATAAGTGCCTCTTACGTTCCAGGTTGCCAAAAATATATTGTTTTCCATCTTCATTTTCGTTTTCGTAGCCGTTTTCGTCGTCAAATATCCGTTTGGTCTTATTTTCGTTAGTTTTTTGCCTCTTTAAGTTTTCCATGTTCTTCATCCCATACATATTTCACGCCGTTTATCTCCAATTTTTTGTAGCCTACCTTAGTGCTGTTTCCCTTTGCCTTCTCTTCTTTAGAAACTTTTCTTATCATGGCCTGTACTTTTTGCTCCTCCTGGGTTAGATCGCTATCAATGTATATATTTTGGTCATTAAGTTTGTATTTATGCTTAAGCACTTCAACTTTTTGCTCAAAATTGTTTAGTTTTGCTACTATTACTTTAGTCTCGTGTTTTCCTATCTTATACGCTGTTTCTACATTCTACCTCTACCTTTATTCCAATTTGCTCTTCTATAAACTCTTTGACCTGCTCCTTCATATTATTTCCTTGCAATGTTGATCCTTTAATTACTATGTTATTCTTCTTAGTGTTTTTGTCTTGGGTGTCTAGTCTCTTTTTGAGTTGGTTAATTTCTTGTCGTAATTCTTGCCTTTCGCTTTGCCACTCTGCCTCTTTTTTCTTCAGCTCTTCATTTAAAATCCTTATTTCTTCACCATATCTCTTCATTTGTTCGTTTGTACTTCTTATATCGCTTCTTGCGCTTTTGATCTCCTCTTTGATTTCTTCTTTAACTTCTTGCATTTGTAAGGTCATCGCTGTAATCAGTTGCTCTAGTCTTTCCATACTTGTTGCTTTATTATCTGTTTGTTTCTCTGTTTTGCTTGCGGTGGGTGGTGTCCTTTGCATCACCTTGCTCTTTTTGAAGGCGTCAAATTTTTCTGCTACCTGACCTTTTCCTTCTTCTTCTTCTCTTTTCCTTTTGAATAAGAATTCTTCTATTGAGCCTACACTTAGTTTTCTCGCTGCATCAGATTTTATGTTTTTACTCATTTACTAACTAGTATAAATATTTTTCGCGAAAAAATAGTTCTGTTATTACGATAGGTGTGCTGTAGTACCCACTTACCGTTAGCGCGCTGTATGCAGTAGATACTGGTCAAGGTTTTATTATGTTGTTGATGTTTATACACTTAATGTAACGTAGCTGCAGGTGCTTGTAAATTTTACTAAAATTTAACTAATTTTAAGGTTTTGTAAGTCACACTTCCGCACTTTTTCTCACTTCACTACTTTTGGTTTTAACTCGATTGTAATCCCTTTTAAAATCGCTTAAAATTATAACAACGCGGGGAGCCGTGTTTACGGTTGTCACGCCGACGCTTGTGGACGTATAGAAGATAATCAAGAGCATTTAAAGCTTCCCATACTACGCGGTTACCATAAAAGCTACTCTGTACACGATCCGAGTGGTGTTCATACGACTTTAGTTTACCCTGAGATTCACATACCCACGACTACAGTGCCCTCTATCCGTGACCAACCATTTTGTATTGAAAGCATAGGGATAATAGCAGTCCATGTACTATATGGTCTAAGGTTTTAGGTCATTTTAAGCAACTTTTAAAGGATAAAAATGTTTCCGTCTGTATGTATGTGCGTACGGAATTTTCCGAGGTTTGATAGATTTCAAATTTTGTGTATGTATATTAGGCATATGGAAACGAAAAATTATACATACAGTGTTAGTGTCGGATATGTGTTGTTTTGAAGGTGAGGAACTGAAACCTTCCCTGGTTCAAGCGGGTTTCTCTGGGTTATTGCGAACCGGGATAGTGCCCAAACGGGTAAGGTGAATTGGTCGTTTATTCAACAGAGTGGGATTAATAAGCCCCCTATCAGTTCACTGTCATACATTTTCACTTTAGTAGTTGTAAATCTACCCCAACACTTTTTTTATAAACATCATGCTAAACATATATTTTTCTATTTTTTTTTAAATGGCAGACTTGGTTCGGAAAAGAACATTTTTCTACAAATTAGCGTTTCGACTTGTTTTTCCTTTGAAATTTGTAACATGTTTTTTATCTGCTTGAATATTTTTCCTAACATTCGAACTTGTTTATTTAAAGTATTTTTCGCTCTAATGTAAATTTAATATGCTCTGTGTAATCCACTAATTGAGGTGTAAGTTAGTTATGCAGTTTTTTTTACCTAGTTCTGTATTAAAGGTGGGAATAGACCAAGCAAACATTGTTGTGCAACAGTTGAACAACAGTCGAAAAACACACCAATTTACAGAGTGAGTACGTGTTGCGCAACAGTTGTGCAGCTGTTGGCGAACTGATGCGCGGTGATCGCTCCCGAGGCGGTACTTCAAAGGAGATGTTGCCCTACAGTGTGCACACAGCGTGTAGCGCATACGGGTCAATTTTAATTTTCCATTCGAGAGAAGTTATTGAACAACATTCTCCATTCTTAATTCTGGTAAAAACTGTTGTTCTTTGTTAGCGTATATACTTTTTTGCCACCACCTTCGCTTTCTACGGCCTCTTCGAGATACTTTTATTTTCATAACTAAAAACGCGCACCACGCGAGTACTTGAGCACTTGACAAACACCGGAGAAGGCAGGCTGGTCGATGTTGACCAACAGTTTGTTGACGGAAACAAGTTAGCCAACAGTTGCCTACCTGTTGTTCAACTGTTGCAGAACAATGTTTGCTTGGTCTATTCGCACCTTAGGTTTCTTTCGCATAGTTAATTGTGTTGCCGCCCAAGGTCGTGCAGTTTTCTTTAATTCCGCTCGGCGCACGCACTTCTTTGTACAATTCGATCATTACTTGTAGAATGTATTAAGTTTAGTGAAGTTTTTCTTTTATTTTGCTTTCAGCACTTCGTTTTAAAGCCGGTTACGGTATGTAACGAAACAATTACGCATTACGTATAGTATAGGTAATATGCTACATGAAAAAATAAGTACTCTCCAAGTGTACACTTGTAAAAAAAAACGTGGTGGCCATAAATATTTTAGGGACACGACAATGGTAATTATGCATAATTTTGCTCCTCCATTTTTTTCGATACCTTTTCAGTTTTTCGTGTTGGAACTCAGGTCAACCCTGGTTAACTAATTGCACGGATTAAAATTACTATGTCTCCTTTGATACTATATTTTAATAGTAAAGTAAGCTATATGAAAGAGGTATTGTTCAAAGCGTTAAATTGAGGAGACTGGGTCACCATAAGGTTCTGGGTAATTCAGTTTATGCACCACTCTCAAACACACATTATGTATTGTAACGGAAACGCTCCAGACATGACGTCGCCTTTGGCGCTCTGGAATTTTCTACGCGCGCGATAGTGGGATTTGTGTACGAATATTCGAGACTGTACGCGGATGTTCTGGACTTACATTGCTTGCGTGTATAAATGGTTGCGGACCGAACATCGCGGCAGTTTTACTATCGAACGAGATCGAGTACGGACGAAACATTAGAGCGCGGAAATATAAATTGCGAAGTGTGTGATATAAATAATCGATATAAATTGTACGGTTTTTTTTATAGTGTTTAGTTTTGTTTAATAAATATTGATATAAATCCAACCCGAATTTATAAATCACGTTACCGTATCTTAAAATAACATATACAGCGTGTTGCATCGTTAGGCGGGACATAGGAAATCCCATGTAAATTTAAGGGAGGTTAATTATCGGCTTCCCTAATTATTTTATAGGAAAAATCTATTTCCGTTATTTAAAGAGCATAAATTCAATAATTCAATTCATCTAACATTTGTCACATTTCGACCAATGAAATGTCCGAGATTTCAAATTGTTGAGCCAATGGGAACGAATTATAGTGATTATACAACTCATTACATCGTCAGCCAATCAAATTTTTTATTTTCCTTAGATATCATGGTATTGACATATGAATATACTCTTCACGACGTGGTATAATCGTTTTGGAGTTTCGCTTTAGTCTACGACTACTAGATTCGGAATAGGTTTATCGGTTTCAGTTGTTTCAACAAACGTCAAAAAACATTTCTTCTCCATTACATAAAGTTTTCGTGTTTTTTTCGTTATGGAACGTTTTGAAAATACTTCCGATGCTAAAATTAGTGAAGAAGTAAATAATTTAATGCCGGCTAACACGGTGAAAACTCATAAGTATGTATGAAAAAGTTTATTTCATAATCCCTACAAAATACTCCTTAGGTACGTTTGGAACCAGTTTTCGCAATTTTGCAAACACAGGAATTACATTTCAACTCAAACGAGGAACTTTCAAGTGTCTTAAAAGACTGGGCCTTTAATATGAAGAAAACAGATGGCACCGACTATAAAGAAAGTGTCGTAAAAACATTATGGAATATTACAGCCAAACTCCTTCAGAAAAAATACTTGGAAGAATTTAATCGTAAAATTGATGCCTTTAAAGATATCATTTTTGAAGATACTAGAAAGGCACGGTCCGCCAAAAGAAAACTTTTGCAAGCAATTCCCGAAAAAAGGAAAGTTAGTTCTGCAGCCCTTACGAGAGTCGAAATCAGCAAAATTGTTGAAAGTTTTGATGAAACAACATCTGATGGTCTCCAAAAAAAGTTCTATCAGATTGCCGCCGTGGAACTCGCATGGAGAGGTAACGGAGCCGCTTTTTGTTTGCTAGATTATTTTAAAAAGGAAGTCAACAACGTGGGCGTCTTTACTGGTCGTTAGGAATACAATACTGTATTCTCCAAGACTGCGCAGGGTGGCGAAAAATATACTGCCGAATGTAAATGGTTGACGCCAAATGTGAAATGCAAAGAACAATGTCCAGTACGTCTTTTAGAAAAAATGCTAAGCAAGAGAACAGCAAATATAAAAACCAATCGTTTATCTTTGACTCCAAATTCGGACTGGTTACAGACAGGAATTTGGTATAAGAATTGTCCAGTGGGGATTAATCAGTTAAGTAAATGGACGTCTCAGGGCGCAGAACATATTGGATTGGATAAAAAAAACGTAAAATTACGAACCATTCGAATAGGTCTTCTATGCTCTTCAAATAAACTAAATAGATGTTTCCTATAAAATAATTAGGGAAGCCAATAGTTTACCTCTTTCAAATTTCCATGGGATTTCCTATGTCCTGCCTGTCGATGCAACACGCTGTATATTTAACTATATCTTATTTTCATATACAAAACCAATAAACAAAGATACACAGGTACCATCGTAAATTTAAAGATTTTGTATTGTGTATCTAACAGTGAGGATTATGGACACACAGTAGCTTGAAATGGATTACCCCCCTAACCCTAAGCAACATAGACTTGTGCATAAAATCTGCTACAGGAATGTGTACTTTGTTACTAGCAACCCACATTAATAGATGGATAGAAAAGAAAAATTTAGCAGTTCACTTCACAATTTAAAAAAAAAGCAACCACAAATTTTGTAGGGTTGACTCTATGTTTAGTACTCTTTGGTATATGAAAGTCAACTCTAACTACAAATATTTCAGGATTTTCATCATATAGACAATTCACTTGTAACATTACTGTGTTACGCTAATATTGTACAGGTCTGATAAACGCATTTATAAAATTTAGCAGAACGCCATTAAAATCTGAACTTTTAAAAGTTGAGTGTAAAATAGTTATTTGTACAACTGTCGTTAAATTGACACACTCGCTACGCTCATGTGTCCAAACTTTGAACTCGAGTTAAAAAACTTCACTTTCTTCTCAAGTTTTACACATAATTTTTTCCGAAATTACCATCAAAATTGAAAAATTATCGTATGCAATAATGAAGTTTGACACATAGCAATCTAGATACGAGTATGTTGCAATTTTAAATGCCATTATTGATGTTAATGCAGCAATTGTTTTTTACTTTCCTCACTAGAGAGCAAAATCACATTTTCGTCACCCTTTTTAGAGACGTATCTCCTTTCAGAAGATGAATCACTTAACCTATTGATCAAAACCACCCAAAAAGTGACATACTTGCTCCAGTGTCAAAGGAAACCACTGATGAATATGGACCATTTTCCTTTCTGTTTCTGGCTTGAATTTTGAAATAGTATTTAGTAGACGGTTGTAAATTGTTAATGATACAAACGTGTTTGTCTCCTTTGACCCCATGTGGTTTCCATTCTCGATCAGTTGATGATACATTAGTTGTGTACATAATAATGTATCCTACAATTAATCATAAATAATAAACAGTGGCAGATCAAATATTTGCCTGTTATAAAGCTATTCTGCATTTTTGGAGGTTGCCATCTCAATTCTACCTCATAAGGATTATCATTAACAGGAAGAACTTGAAGATCAGTTGGTGCCATATTTGGGACAGTAGACCAAGTAGTATTTTGAACGATCATGCTCCATGGACTCTCTCTACGACCTAGAAAAATTCATTTAAACGCCCTCTCCCTTTTTCTAATCGAACCTTTTATTAATTTCACTGTAAATTCATAAACAGTATTTGCTTTCAAGTCTGTAAATTCTGCATACAATCGCGTTACATTTAAATATCGGTTTTTAAGTACTTTTACATCTGTGCACTTAACAATGTAATATCGGTTATCTCGTACATCCTAAAACATGCTTAAATTTGTATTACATAAGTGGTAATGATCATTTTACCTGAGTTTTACCCAATGTAGTATCCGTCCAGTATAAAACTACCGAGTTGGGACTTGAAATGTGAGCTTTAAGACCCATAGGAGGAGTTAATGGACTAATAGGTTCTGGAGGCAACTCTTCCCTTGTTCGAACATATGCGTACACCGGTTCTCCAGCGCCGACATCATTATTAGCGTACAAACTTATGACGTACTCAGAATTGGGTTCTAGGAAATATTGATCAGGTTTTGTTACATAGAGCTCGTTGCACAGAAATGGATTAGTCCGGTGCCAATTTTGATCCGCACTAAAGAAATATGACTTGAGCCAAAGGTCGCCATGTGCTGTAGTACGTAAGTACACTATATCCATTGAATAAAAACACTATAAGAAGCCTAACGCTTATGGAAGAAAGCGCGACAAATCTCACAAATCCCCTTGCACCCGCATTGGTTGTGACCACCGAACTCTCTTTGCGGTAAATAGGAGGAAAGCAAATTCTCATTCTTCTCAGTTCAAGAATCGACTCTATTGACAGTGTTCCCATTATATTCTCAGTTCAAACTCTGTCGCGCTTTATTTCCACGGGGTTAGGCTTCTTATAGTGTTTTTATTCAATGCTATATCGAAACAGACAGATCAAAATTTCCCCGAACTGTGCAAATAGCCCTTATATTATTGGATACCACCCTACCTACACCAGTTATAATGTAACTTCTTTGCTTCTCATCTAAAACTTCGGTATGGTTATCTGGAACGCCTTTTCCCCAACCAATAAAGTAGTTCCGAATTTTAATCGTTTGATCTTGAGGGGGGTTCCACATTACGTATATTTTATCGGATGATGGTCGTACTATATAATTTATTTAAAATGACACATAATAGAAAATATGTTGAAATGAATAGAAAATTCACATTACTAGAGTTACAATAATACTCTTATTGCTCACAAATCTCACCTTTCAATGGACTGGGTGGTTCAGGAACTTTAGTTTCGTCTAAATCATTTTCATAAGTTTCTACCTCGTGCCATTCTGTTGAAGGACCAGTACCATTAACGTTAATTGCCCACAATTTCACTTGGTATGTGGAACCTCTTTCCAGATTATTTAAAGGAAAAATTCTCAAATTACCGGGAGTTGTAATTGTGTCACCTTTTTTGTTTACTTTACGAAATCGTAATTTGTACCCTGTTATGACTCCATTCTGACCTTCAGGAGGTGGGGGTTCCCAACGGATGATTATACTCTGAAAAAATAAAATAAAATCCATTGACATATGAACGATTAATTTTTTTATAATTGTGCGCTTTTTTGTAAGAATCTGATTTGGTATTAATTATTTTCACTAATGCTTCCTTATACAGTTATTTTGGTCTTCTCTAGCTCAGAATGTTCTTTTAACATAGTTATCATTATTACGTCATTTTTGAATTATATTGTACATCGAATAAAAGCAATTTTAATATGTCTTGTGCCTTCCGCCACTTGTCGTAATAGCTTTTATGTTACAGAATACAATTGTGTCAAGGAGAACAATCTACAAATAATTAATGCATGCATTAAAAAACATCTTCCTATACAACACTATTTTCGTTACAGTGGATATAGGTAGTAACTCATTTAATATCACATTGTTTCCTACACTATCTACATTCTACGTTCTAATAGTTTAATTTACTATTCTAGTGTACTACGGGAATAAATGTAAGCATATTTGAAGTAGGTTTCGGATTTGTGGCCAATTAAAAACATTAAAAGACATAGTGCGTTCCAGGCATGGCAGAATTGGTCTCCGCAAGTGTATTGATGCAAGAGGAGACTATTTTGAAGACCATTTGTCGCAATCAAACCAATAAATCTATTTTCGTACTTCCGAGACTAAAATGACAACTTCACTCCATTATGACAAGGACTGAAGTGTCACTTTTTGTCCCGCCGGGATTAAATTTGGACGAAAATCCCGGAAGGATGAAATTACTAACAAGGCAATTTCAGTAGGTTGTTCCACATTTTGTATGCGGCACTACTTCTTAAACGCATTGTACTGCTGCTCATATAGTTTTTTGAATTTTGGTGGTATCAATTCTTTACCTACTTTGGCTGCTTTTGATCAATATCAAATACACCTTTGTCACCCACCACCAAAATTATGACAGTAGCAATGACAGTTTCCAAATTATTTTTGTTACCATAGCATAGGGATTGTCGTACCAACGCAACGTTCCTATGGTAACTGGTTAATCAGCGATGTTTTTTAAAGAACGCGTTCTCTAACTCCATACATATTAAGTGTTTCAGTTTCGGAAGTACGAAAAATATCGTATATACCTTGCGACTGAAGTAGTGGTCTTAATCCCTCAGGTCAGGCCATAAACTTTACCTTCGGGATTAAAAGTACCACTTCAGTCCCGCGGTATATAATATACTATTTTCCCAGAAAATGCGAATGACTGTCATAATGCAACCTGTATATGCACTTTTATATACCTAGGCATCATCAAACACTTACAAATTTAACTTCATATTAGGTCAAGTGTATGGTAGTTTAAAGTAGTCTTCTTAGGTTAATAATAACAGTTTCTATGATTTTTTGAAGTTGATTAAGGGATTAAACCTAAACACTTAAATAATCAAAGAAAAACAATAAAGCGTTGCATCCTTTTCAGGCCATTCTGCCACTAATCTGAAAGCAATGTTTACTAACCGTGTATGCAATAAGAAAAGTTCGCAGTTCATTTCAATGTATGAACCGGTTACAAAGTCTCATTAGAAGTGCATACATTTCTTAGTAAATACTTACTGTACTACTTGCTGGCTCTAGTGTAACATTATATGGTGGTTGTGTGGGGGCAGCACTAAATGTTTTTACCAGTTTTTCATCTGTTGCTGCACCAGGACCATTGCGGTTTAAAGCTACAGCCCAGATATAATATTCGGTGAATACTGATAAACCTTGCAGATCAGTTTCCAGTCTAGATGTTTCTACGTGATGCTCAGTTGAAGAACTTGTCTGCAAATTTCACCGTTATCGTTAAAATTGAGACAAAAAAACTTACCTCCATGTAATACACATTATACCCTAAAAGTTCCCCATTAGAATTGTGTGGTGGCTTCCAACTAACATGTATTGATCTTGACGTAGTAGCGAAAGCATTAAACTCAAGCGGGGTGCTAGGGACATGTTCTTCCGATTGAGTAATAACTCGTAAACTTTTTGAGGATGGTCCCATTCCAACATTATTATGAGCAGCAACACGAAAAAAGTAGACACGACCAGGTTGAAGACCGCCAATATTTATATCTTCCAAATGAGAATGAGATGTATTTTGTACACGTTCCCTGTAGTCAGACTATTATCGCATCGTACGAGTAAATTTACACATACCTTTCACTGCCTTCTTGCCTGTAATACACAGAGTATGTTATAATATCTCCGTTTGTTGTTGAAGGCGGTTGCCAATTTAGGGTAACAAACCTAGCTTTAACAATGGAAGCTTTAACATCTTGAGGAGAGCCTGGTAGTATCTCCGATCGACTATTTATGTCACCGACTGCAAAAGGTTTGGAAGGGAAATAGGATTCAGTATAAGCAGACAGAACATCACCCAGATTGTTACTAGCGTTATCGTCAGGATCACTACTACTAAGAGCAGAAAAAATACTGTGTGGGTCATAAGTATCTTTATCATCGAAAATTAGTGAAGTTTGTTTAGTTGTTGTACCAAAACCAACAGTACCCAATTTTGCAGTTTTTTCAGGTTTGAGATTTGAAAATAGTGTACGAGAGTGGGATTTGTCAATTGATTTTATTGGTTCATCACCATGCGGTTGTGTAAAGGTGTTGCACACTTTTTTTCTACAATTAGGCTTTTGTGCATTCTTTGTTTTTGGTTTTATTTCTAGTGTCGCATGACAGAACAACAGAAAGGATAAGCAGATAAATCAATGAGATATAACAATATACAGGAATGTCAAGCAAAGGATTAGTAATGGAATGAGGAAAGGAACAAAAATAATTGCAAAATTAATAATAATTAACGTAACTTAAAGATGTTTGAATTATCAAAGTAATGAAATGAAATAAAGTACATCATAATATCAAATGCGTAAACTATCACAAAGTTTACCTTGAAGAAGAACTTTTAAACTTGCAGATGCTTGAATATTTCCTGCTGAATTGGAAGCTATACATTGAAAGAGTCCATTATCACCAACAATCAATCCCAGTATTTTTAAATTATTGCTGAGTGAAAATTAAATTAATTTCGGGGTACTTTTGAAATGAAAAACTTACCCATTAACTAGCTGATAATAGTCGTTATAATTAATAATTTCACCATTACGTAACCACAATACTTTTGGTTCCGGTCTACCATACACGCTACACTCAAATTCAACATCTTTATTAACCAAGTCTTCTTTACTTTTCGGTCGTTTCAAAAATCTCGGAGGCACCTAAAACAAAATTCGGAATGTTCGGAAGTATAAGATAAAGGTCGTTACTTGAACATCGAGAGTGGCATGAGTATCTAAACTGTCTTCGCGATTTTCTGCTCTACATTGATATGTTCCTGCGTCAGACTCTTGAATGTTTTTTATATGAAGGGATGTTGTAGATCCGATCCAGCTAAATCTGCTATCTAGATCACTAAAAATATTTGCATTATGCAAACATCATCACATTCGGGACAATAACATACGCCATATCAATACTAAACCCATCTTTAAGCCATTTAACGGCAGGTTTGGGATTTCCCATAGCTGCACAATCTAAAGTAACTGCTTGTCCTTCAACAACGATTTGATCACGTGGGAAAGCAATAAAACTTGGCGCCGAAATGCTCAGTCCATCGTCAGCAGGAATTTTCAAATTGGCTTTATTGCTTAATCTGTATGAACTTAAACCAGAAGCGTTGCATCTAAGATCATAATTTTAAACATTGTAGATATGCCACCAGTTGAGACATTACCTGTAAGAACCCTCATCTGATTCTCTGACTTCGTCAATTTCGAGTGCACCTGATGGTAATACTGTCATGCGCAATTCATCTAATTGCAATGGCCTCTCGTCCTTCAACCAACGAATTCTCGCTGGTGGAGACGCTTGAACAAGACAAGCAAAGTAAGCTTTTTGACCTACGTAGACCGTTAAATCACGCGGTTCTAATAGAAGTCCAGAAAGACCTAAAAGTGAAAAAAGGATTTGGTAAATGATTATATTTAGAATGTATAATTACCAAACAAATTTCGTTATTGCTATATTAGTCCTAAAATATACATATTTTTTTTAAAGTAGGTATACATGCGTATGGTGATTTGTTCGTTGATTTTATGGAGCTTGCTACAACTCTAAATCGAGTAATGAACTAGCAGTACTATGTACAACGTTTTGAGATCGAAATGAAGATATGTACAAGGATATGACGAGGTTGATAAAGCTGAAGAAAAAAGGAATTTGTTCTTATCCAATGTAAGATTAGAATCATTAAAAATTTTAGAATCACGATTCGGTCGCGGAAAAATCATATACGGACTTGAACAAGCACTTATGCGTGGACAGAATTTTGCTTCTTTGTCGTTTTAGAAGGGGAGTATACAGACAAGTAGGATAGATTGATACAAGAGGGGGTTCTTGATCGGATTGACACTATTACGACATTTTTGTTGGGAAAATTGCAGACCTCATCAAAATGACACAAATGAATTTATTGTTTTGATCATCGTTATGGAGAAGGGGCTACACTACAAGATTTCTATTTCTATTATCATCTCGTCTCATCTGCAGAAAAAGATTTTGTTCGTCTTGTTCTAAGGATAAAATAGGATAAAGCTCTTTAAAAAAAACTTACTAGCTAATGAAAGACGAGCAACTCGACTGACTATAGCCTCCAAGTTTGGTAAGGAAACTCTACATTGATAATTTCCTGTTAGTCCTTGCTCTTCTATAACACTACTTATATACAATGATTCATTTGTCAGTTGAGATCTAAAGTTAAAAATATGAATATAATGAAAGTCAAGTAGTATTTGGTCTTAATGTTTACCTGTAAGTATCTCCTATGAAAGGAACTGGCTGAAGATCTTGATCTAACCATTGTACTGTTAGCACACTATGCGGATATTCTAAGCTTGTGCGAACAACGCAATCAAGTACAGCAGATTTTCCAGATTCTACAACCGTATCAGATGGTTCAACTAAAAATTCCAGCACTTGCGCTAAAAAATAACACATTGTAATTTTTCATTAGAAAAAAATGTTTATTGCAAAATCATACATCATAATGAACTTGAACAAATAATTAATTCAAATAAATACAAAAGAAAACTATTTCAGTAATCAAATTAAAGTAGGTAGGTCCTATTTAACTAATTTTTTTATAACGTTAGGTTTTGTCTATTTTCATTTGCCCTACGTTTAGCAATAAATGCACGAGGTCATGATTTTTGTAAGTAAACACCATAAGAGCCTCGATAAGAGCATATGTCAAATACAAGAAAAATTTGGTCACATGCAAACCCACGCAAAGTGTAAGGTAATTCAACTTTGTATAATGCATCATTCTTTTTAACGTACTTAATGCCATAGTAACTTCTAGTCCGTAATTCTGGAACATCAAGGTAGTGCAAAATAATATTTAAGGTATGTAATTACAAACATATTCCCAAAAGTAGTTGCAAAAAGTATAAATGTGTATTACATATTAAGAACGAAAGGTGTCTGTGTTTCTTCTAAGTTAATGCGATAACCTCGGTGATAGCATACAGCGAGGCATACAGATTTTGTCAAGGAATTTGTTATTCTGTTCTTTAAAGTAATTGCCAATGTCTACTACTTAAATTAGCTCATTGTTCTTGGGGCAATTAATTTAATTAACAGTTATACCTACTATCTAAATTGTTGCAAATGTTGCACCTGAATTGTGTGACTATTTCATCAGTATTATGGAAATCACATATTTGTGCAAGGTAGGTAATTATTTTGATTCTTTGTTACAAAACCGTTATCTTGACCACCTTTATGAAGATTTGAATCGAACAGTTTGTCATATGTATATAACTGGATCCAAGTAAGAGGGCAACATATCTTTGATATACCTAGTCCTCCAGGTTTCAATAACAATTCCCAACATTAACAAATTAACAATACATTGATGAATTAAAAGATATTGACCATATCATGTGGATCTGATTTACGAACAAATTAGGTACCACACAACTATGCTTCTATTGTTAATTGACTATATTATTATACAACACTATATACTTTTTTGTCATACAAAGCGCATTTATATAGTCATATTTGTTTTGAAATTGCAGAAATAATTACCTGAACTCTTAGGCTTCTCCTTTATGTTTTTCTAATGAAAAAAACTAGCATGGTGAAGAACTGAAATCTGTTTAAATTAAGGGGGCAAGGTGAAACAGGCCCATATAAAATTTGCTTAACCAAATAGCCCCATTCAATATTTTCAAAAAGCAATAATTTTATTTAAAAAATACGCAAGAGAAAAAGTGTAAGGAAGAGCAGATATTTTAATTGGAAAAACCATAATGTTACCTTGTATGGAAGTCAAGACAGAAGCTGCAACTATCATGCAGGTGATTCTGTAGGTACAACAGCACACATAATTTAATAAACTCATTGTTTTCACAAGCAGAGGCATTATTACTTATTTGAGTATCTTATTTACTTCCATTATTGCGTGTTTATTTACGTTTTCATCACTACAATTCTGTATACATTTGTAGTATCTCGACGCCATCAACAGCAGTATTCGCTCATGTTCCACTCACATCTCGCTCTAACTTGTGTTGTAAGATGAGAGCGGAGAATTATCCTATTTTCTCACCTTCTGAGGAGGTGTGTATTTAAAAAAAAATTCGATAAACGTCGACATCTGCCGGTGGTAATTTAGAGTTAGAAAAAGACAAAAGTTGTGGCTCATGTACAAGACCGGTCACAATTTTACAGGTACAGGGCGGCCCGGCGGCGCATTGAAAACTGAACTATTTTCAGAATTGTCAATTCTCACTGGCACAAATGATAAGATTAATGTTACTTCTTATTCAAAAATTCTCGTTCATCCAGCGTCTCCATAGTCAAGGGATGACCATTAAAGGTATCTCAAGATCGGTTTGGAATTTCGATTCGGGACCCATACCTTTTTCTAATAATCGATTTAAAAATATTTTCAAGATGGCCGCTTTTCCGGTTGTGTCAGAACGAAACCAGAACTTTCTTATTTCAAATGGCACTATCTTTTCTGATGAAATTTGGAATTCCTCATAAAAAATCAGTAGACTTTGTCAAATGATGCTATTTTTAACTGACATGGTTTCGAAGTTATCTGACATTTTTTCACGGTTTCAGAGGTTCAGCAAATTGTTCAATTTTGCAAGTACATTTTTCCCCGGTTTTTTATGTTCTTTCCATTGACGCATAGTACAGATATGGTCTGGCCAAGACCATGTAATCAAAATACAAACATAATTTCAATAAGATTGACATAAAAAATGAAAAAGATTTGAAAACAATAAAGGTTAACAGTATTTCACGTGAAGGGAATAAGGATAAATCATGTAAATTTCAAAAACCAAGATTGAAACTCACAAAAAATATAATTCTGCGTATAAAACAATAGTACTTTGTGTACCAAGGCGGGAAAGTGGATGTTTTCCGGGGCGAAGGAAGATATGGCCAGGCGAGGCGCAGCCGAGGCTGGCCACTTCCTGAGGCCCGGAAAACAACTTTCGTGCCGTGGTACACACAATATTTTTTATCCTATACACTTACATTTAAAATTAATCCCTCAACAACGTCCGACCGCAAGCGCTTGAATTTGGATTTGCTCGTGCACGCGTTTGTTTTGTTTATTTCCACGTTTCCTGCTGACTACGCGAAAAAAATTTTACGATACGGTGCAATCTAAGTGGGCCCACGAGTATATTTTTTACTCGTAGATTTACCCCTTTCCCTTATAATACAGTTCAACGCAAATTCAAATTCTAGCGAGCTTGCGATTGCACAGTGCGGAGTCACCGAAGGGAGTCACGGTGCAACAGAGCCGAGTGAAAGTGGAGAATACCAATCATGTGCGAACTGAGTTGACATTTCCGGCATTTCACTGGCGAGTGGCGCGTGATTATTTCCTTAGAAAATAACGGGATTTAAGGGGTTGTAATTAATACCAAGCGCATTTGAAATTATTACTGGTCTTGTATATGTATTAACAAATGTGTTTTAAAATTGAATGTGTGTTTTCAGGGACAAAATCACACCGGTTACATTTTAAATCCTTGGCAGGATCCATGTCTTGTCAAATGTTAGATGCTTTTAAGACTGGATTTATGCTTGGTGACGAACGCGCAATGGGCACACTTTAAATCCTTGATGATCTTGTAGGTATTTTAAAAAAAGTGTTTTATAAAATAGATTTATTCATTCCGTACAGTCACACTGGACACATTTGTGACACATTTTAACTTCGGGGTAGTCTCGTATGTTAAAATGCTACTTATTGCGGATAAGCGGTGTTCTACTTACAGTGCAAAGTACATCTTGATGTTAAATGTATTGACACAGATGCTCGTCAATGAAAGTAAATGGGAGATTATGACAAGTTTGAAACGTTTGAATTGGTCACGTGATATTGGGAAAGTATTCAAATTCACAAAACATTGATCGGTATAGGTTCGCGGTAATTAAATAAATTCTTGAATTCAGTAAAATAAAGTGAACATACGGTAAATTTAATTATTAAATCAGTGTTGACGATTTTATGTTTCTTATTTGATTAAAAAGAAATAACTTCTTTGACATTTTATTACAACCGCGCCATCTAGCTTACATAAGGCGTATTTTTTTCTCGGCTAGCCGACAAAATTGAATTTTCTCGCTCCATGCGTGCAATTGTCTTCTTTCGCGTCCTCACACAGGCGAGAAAATATAAGTTTCTCCTTGTATAGGATAAAAAAATACATTATAAAGAAATACAAAGATTCCTGCCTGCATTATATAACACAAAATAACAGCAAACGTAAACGCAACGATTCCTTTCTCATCCACCATTAAAAACAAGATAACGTAACAAGCGTTGTGGATGCCCTCCAGATGGCGCAGACAGCTTTCCACTTCTAAAAAATTGCGTGGCCGCCAGCTCTCGAAAATGTATGCATTATCGTACGTTGTATATACAGGGTGGAACCTCTCAGCCTTTTTATTTGTATACAATTGCATTCTTTGAATATGTAATTCTAGATTAGAATTTGGCTTGTTTTCTGTCGCTTACGCAGTTGCACGTCTTCCTTACAAGTTGATTGCCTCGGTACAATCAGTGACACTAGGTACAATGCTACAATAACCACAGTCATTCATTTTTCGCCAGTTCCCTTTTCAGTAAGGAATAATATGAGAAAACTAGCATGTCCTTAAGGAATAAAAAACACTTCTTTTAAAGCATTTGAAAAATTGTATACACAATGATAAAGGCAATTTTAGTTTTTAACAATCATGGTAAACCAAGGTTATCGAAATTTTATCATTACTTTGTAAGTTATAACAGCAGAAGTTTAGAAATAAAAGTAATGTATTTTAGAGTGAAGACATGCAGCAACAAATAGTTAAAGAGACTTTTCAATTGGTTTCTAAACGAGATGATAATGTGTGCAATTTTCTAGAAGGTGGAAGGTGGGACTTTCAAAATTGCATTTTTATTCGTTATCCATTTTTTTGTTTTAGTTTAATTGGTGGTAGCGATTATAAACTAATATATAGACATTATGCTACTCTATATTTTGTCTTTTGTGTTGATTCATCGGAGAGCGAGTTGGGAATTTTAGATTTGATTCAAGTTTTTGTTGAAACGTTAGATAAGTGTTTTGAAAATGTTTGTGAATTGGATTTGATTTTCCATGTGGACAAGGTTCACTACATATTAAACGAATTGGTAATGGGTGGAATGGTTTTAGAAACGAATATGACTGAAATTTTAACTAGAATAGACGATCAAAATAAGTTAGAGAAACAAGAGGTATTTTCTGCTCTTATTATTGTAACTATAACTTGCTTTTCTAGGCCGGTATTACTGCAGCACCTGCAAGGGCAGTTTCAGCGGTCAAGAATATGAATATTCCACAACAAATAAAAGATATGAAGCTACCTGACATTCCGCAGGCTATTAAGGATCTCAAGTTCTGACCTCCAATACCTCCATATTTCCAAAGCATAAGTTTACCACGATGTCCTGCCCCTGACTGCAAATCACTTATGGATGAACCATCATTTACAAAGTATACATAATCATGTACGGAGCTGCTAACTAGTGCCTCAATTTTACTGATTTACATTGTCTAGAACCCATCGGTATTTGAGACATACGAAATGTGCTTAGATTTATAATGTAAGGGAATTTAATTTAGATATCCTCTCTGTTACTGTTCTCTACATGGAATGATTTATGTAAATTGAAAAACTTTTACCCAGTAACACAATAGTGGTTACCAAAACTAGGGAGCAGTGAATAAAATTATTCTATTTAAATATTTATGCCTTTAAACTTGGCGCATAATGACTGTGTAACACTCATTTATATTTTGGAATTATTAATACAAATATTGTCATATTTAGTTAGTAAAATTTGTAACTGAATAGGTATATGTAAATACATTCTACTTATTTTGTCAAATAAGAGTTTGTATAGAGGCATTGATCAGATGGGTCTCTTGTGCAAGGACTGAATATCAGCTTTTGGTGAGCGTGCAGCGGCGCGGGGCGTCGAGCATTTTTTGTCTAGCCTGGTAAACAGTCAACGTTCAGTTGTATTTCCTCGAATGACAGCCTGCACATGCTACTCAAAACGCTGTAAAACACGAATTGAATTGAAATTAACGCTTGACGCCCCACCACACGCAAACATACATTCATCCTACAACGCTCTGATGATTGCCACTAAGGACATTTGGTTACAACTAACAGTGATAGACATGCACGTTCATCAAGAGCAGGTACTCGGGCCTTACACTTATGCGAGTACAAAAACTCGTATACTGAATTCTGATTGGTTCTCTGCTGGCAATTTTTGAGATCACACCGGAGCGGTTTATACGCCTTTTACACTCTCATACATTTTTTCCAAAAGTAATCAGTTGAAACGAGGGTAGGCATCACACATTACTCCAGATGTATCTGATTTGGTATACCTTTCAGGGGTTTTTCTCTCCAGTAAAGTACCTACTTCTATGGGTAAATAAAAAACAACATACAGGAATCGCATACGATTTTCAGTAAGGGAATTTTTTGACACTCAACTCGCACTCGGAAACATAATTTTTAATCCGACTGATATTCAATAGCAGTGATCCTTGAACTTGGAGATTGATTGGCGAAGGTTTGACATATTTTGCTGTCTGTTCGTTCTCGAGGTAGACGAACAGGCGGACGGACAAAACCATCACACAAGGGTACTTCCTTTCAAAAAATTCCCCTAAAAAGTAAAGGACTTCGGAGGAGGGCCGTGTCCGTTTTTGACTGTTTTGGGTCCGGGGCCATTTCCATTTGGATCTTTCAAGGCCGAAAAATGGTCAAAAATCGGATGAAGGTATGGAATGCAATCAACACTGATACTTTCACATTACCAAGTGTACAGAAAGTTTAGGACAACATAAACACAAACAGAATAATTAATAATCATTTACCAATGACCGACCCAGTAGAAAACCTGGCACTAATGGAGAAGGAGTTTAGTGTACGGTTATATTCATTACCAGGGGCGGACTGGGTACTTACGGACTAGGTGGAATTGCATAGGTTACGGGCCATTAAAATATCAGTGTAGTAATGAAGGGTGCGGGGGGGGGGTGCTCTGCGGTGCACCACAAAAATTCATTGTAAAACACTACAATTAAAACAGAATTTTTAAATTTTTTAACAACCTAACATCAACCCCAATTAGAGAAACGTGTTAATAATTTATTAATAGTGCAAGAAACTAAATACAGCACATACTTATAAATTTCCAACGGGCCATTATGACGTACAGGCCAGGTGGAAATCGCCCCCCCGGGCCAGTCCGCCCCTGTTCATTACCATCAATTATCATTGGCACATAAATGATTAAGTCAACTTTCCGAATATGTGTTGCAAAAACACTAGGTTGCAAAATATTTTAAATACCTATGATCCAATTTTTTTCGAATTAGAGTAAAAGGCAAAGCATTTATTGGCCATAATGACCAATTCTGTAACGTTAAATAACCTTAGCAACTTGCTAATACTGAAGATAATTGCTAGATGAGCAACATTTGTTAAAAGTGGTATTCTGTACTGACAAACTTAGCAATGTTGCTCAAAATTTTAACAATTCAATCGCTTGACCCTACCAATAGGTAAACTGCTGTTGTTAAGTCTTAGCAAGTGTATTTCACCCGTTCAAATATGGCAGGTGGATCGTTTGAATACGAATTTTTAAAAGCTGTTGAAGATTCAATCCTTTCCATAATTCATCTAGATTTTAATATTGTTTGGAGCAGTTTTTCATTGACTAACATGGCATTGTTAGCGCATTTTCCCAAGAAGTTGGGTGCGCTATTGCATCCACTTTCTCTGTCCGTCTGTCCGAGACCTTAACTACTCCTACGGTTCAAGATATTTAGTTCGTTCTGTTTGCATTCGGTAGCGTATAGATCTGGCATCTGAACCAAGGAAAATCTTGAAGATTAAACTGCGCAATGTCATCTTTCCTATTTATAGAAATATTTGTTTGAAATTTTAAACATAGATGTCTCTAGTAAAGATAAGCGTATCGCATATTTCCTATTTATAGAAATAATTTGTTTGAAATTTTAAACATAGATGTCTCTAGTAAAGATAAGCGTATCGCATATTGTAAACATCAGATGTGCGCATGCACAAATTGCGCAACTGTCAAATTTCTTATTTCTTATTTATAGAGAAATTTTAATAACATTATGCGTCTAGGAAAGATAATCGTATTGGGCACCTGAACCAAGAAAAATCGTAAAAATGAGACTACTCATGCGCATTATGTCCATTCTGTGACCTTTTGGGAACTACTGATCAATGCATGGAAAATGCAGTAAAGTTACTCGCCTTATTACTCTATGCTCCTTCTCGAGTTGAAGCTGAGACAATAGTAGTGGTGTCATCGGCATACATAAAGAGAACGTCATATTTTCCCAGATACTCGACCATATCGTTAACGTAGATTAGAAAAAGCATTAGAGCAAAGGTACTTTCCCTGTGGGGTCCCAATATCATTATTAAATTGTTCTGATTTTTCCTCAAATGCCCACTGCATTTAATTTCTCTGTAAATAGTTCATGGTCTACAGTGTCATAGAGTAAAATTTACTCTATTGTTGAAAACCCGTGAGATGTCGAGAAGTGCTGCGATCACTACCCTCCCACGGTCCACTTCTTTATGAATTTCCTGGATGAAATCAATCGTGGCAGTTTCTGTTGAGCGGTTTGCTCTAAATCCGTACTGAGAGTGACTTAAGATATTTTTGTTATTCAGAAAGGCAGAGATTTTATCGCACACAATTTTTTTATTTTTATTTTTTTATTTTATTGCCTTTATTTTATAGTGGGCGGAGTGTTAGCAATTTGCTACTCATCCCACTCAACCCACTATACAATCACAAACAGCCATGCCTTACCTGGGATTCGAACCCAGCACCCTTGTAGCCCTGCTTGTAGCCAAAGTTAGAGCTTCTAACGTAAGCTCATCTGAGCTACGCTCAATTATTTTTGAAAAAACCGATAGCACTGAAATTGGTCTATAGTTTGACGAGTCCTTTGGAACAAGTTTTTTGTACACTGGTATAACTTTTGCTACCTTTAGCCATAGAGTAAATAATATTTACTCTATGCTTTAGCTGAGTCAGAATTTTTTTGTTTTTGATAGAACACTCGAAAAAGAGTCTCTGGAGATTATCAGGATTCTAATTGCTCGTAAGGTTCTGGAGGTTCCAAGAGGTCCTAAAAAGCGTTTGATAAAATTCTATTGAGATCCTCAGAAAATGTTGGGAGGATTCTCAAAACAATCTAAGGGGTTTCTAAGAAATTGATAAGATAAGACCCAACAAACTCCAACAGTTCCGATGATTTTATAGAGATTCTAAAAATACCTAAATTAGAGATTGTAAGGACATTCCAAGGCCATAGAAGCATAGTAGTGTTATATTATATGGTAGAAGGTTTTGCTGGGGTTCTAAGAAAATAACAGGCTTTATTTCCTAATACAGAAATGAAAAATGAGCCGTAAAAATTTCTGCTGTAAACTTGTGTCAAAAGTGCGTACAAGAAAATCCTGGACGGGCGAGAGGATTTTCTCTGGTACGGGCCTGGACAAAACAATTGTGGGAGCAGACATCAAATTTTACCAACTCAACAGAAAACATTTTTAACTCAAACGGGTGTAGCATCTATAGGTACTAAGTGAAAGTGGTATATTAAATAAATAAAGTTTAAATTTAACACATTTATTACAAACTGTAAAAACTGATACCTATACCAAAAAGTAACTTAAAAGTTATTGCACAAAAAGAATTCCTCACTGTCTCTGAAGAACCAATTTCCTTAGTACATTTTCCAACGAAAACCTTTCCGTTGTCATTCCTAATTCCTTCTGTAACTGAATTATAAGATATAAAGCCGGTATTATTAAGCCATACTTTAGTAGGTAACTTAATTAACTATGTCGTCAGCTAACAATGTTGTTAATGTATGTGATTGCATGTTTTTACAAAGAATGATGTTATTCTTTGAAATAACATCCAATTACATGCCTTAACAACATTATTAGCTGCTTTATACTAGCGGCCGTTGAGATTACATTTACCTATATTCGTCAACTGGTAATGAAACCCTTGAATAAAGTGTAATTTGGAAGTCCAATCCGGCAATTCTGTTTATTGGCGTACCCATTGAACCTCAAACCTCAAATTGCTAGTCTTTTTCCCGCTGACGGTAACATAGTATGATTGGATCGAATGATAGTAAAATGTGTAGGCCAAAAACCCATGTATATCTAATTCTTGCGCGAGTGTTCAGTCAATTATTTGATGTAAATCAACGATGCTAAATAAAAAGATGGTGATGTGTAGTAGGGCCGAGATGAGGTGGGGGAGGGAGTGTATTCAGCCCTTGATGATTCTCTAACGGTAGGTATTAACAAAAGGAATGTTTTCCATTAGCTCCCGTTCACTTATGCACCTAATAAACCAGATTCAGTTCATTCGGTTCATATGGATGGTATGCATCAGTTGCTACAAATAGAACTTAAAATTAGAATGCCTTTGCAAAGGGAGTGTACTAAAAAAAAGTGCAACGTCTGGGAAAACCCATAGTTAGACTATGATGAAACGTATCTGTTGGTAGGGTCAAAATTTCAATTACAAATATCTCGTGAACGCAGTGTCCAATCCTCTAAGATGGTGCCTATAAATGCGTCGTCAGCTGCAAGTCCCAAAATGTGACGTTTTTGATCTCTCTTAAGGCAAATCTATAATTGATAGTGATAGCCTGTAACCCACCTTTTATCATTTTCTAGCATTGGACGTACTATCTTCCGTAGCATAATGCTGAGGTAGCTCAAAACATGGCACAACCTATACAGGGGCGTCAAAATTAAGTCGGCACTATTGCTATCTTGGCCCCGTATAATTAAATCGATAGATTTTACCGCCATAAGTATCATACGTGGGAATTACTTTGTTGCAGAATAATATTAGCATGATGTAAATATAGTTTTTATGAAACTTATCTCCCAGAACAGCGTATAGTACATTATACCAGTAGTTTAAGTAAACTTGTAATTAGATTTATTTAAATTGTATCATATTTTTATTTCGTCATCCGCCGACGTCGTTAACTATTTATCACATTAATTAAAGTTCAATTTCATAATGTTGACAACAAAGTGCCGAATGGAGAGTTTTTATTCACGTACTTATACTGTTAGTCATCTTTTGCAATTTTTTAATTGGATCACGCATAGCGTTCGTTTGGATACCTACCCAACGCGGTTATCCAACAAAAGGTTTAGGTTTTACCATAACAAATCATTACGATTTTAAATATTATGTAAGGTTATTAGCTTAGTAGGTATCTTCTAGTTTTCAGATGCAAATATAAATGGTCCCAGTTTTTGTTCCTTTTTGTTTACACTATAGTTAGAAGGAGAACGAAGAAAGCATTTCTTATTTGGGAAAGTTTTGCTTGCGCAGTTGACAAAATGAGTTAAACATAGTGTTATACGCTTGGAAGGTATCTTCATTCTTCTGTTCCATTACATATAGATGTTGTCATAAGCTATCGCTGTTGTTAGTTAGTTACTTCGGAGATTTTACGTGATTATAACATACGATAAAACAGTAACACTTTTTAATTTTCACAATATGAAATATTGACCTCAAAGGTTTCAAAAGCTCCCCTTATCAAGCATTACTGGTGTATATAAATTAAACGTACTTTAGATAGACTATAATCGTTAAGAAAAGTTGGAAATTGTACTACGCAAAAATTTTGTTCTAAAATGGAAGTGTGCAATTACAAACATGAAGAAATAGACGAAGTGAAACTTTATAAAGAACTTGGCGGTGTTTTACCGAAAATTAACACACTTGATGATTTAATTAACCAGCTACATGCCGCTTTTGAAAGTAACTCCGTTAACATTGAATTGATACACTACATGATGCAGTCTTACAAATCTAATCCACTTGACTGGAGGAAGTACGCAAAGTTTGATCGCTACAGGTACGTAATTAAACTTATTGTATCTTATACAGATAACAGATAGATTCTTAAGAGAATAAATACAATTTCTCTATGAATCCTGGTACAAATGGAGCCACATCAGAATCTGAGCTGACCCCAAATATCATTTCAATGTTAATCTTACTCTTTTTGTTCCCAAGATGTTTTAGAAACACAAAAATTTACAGATCTTGTTTACCTATGGCGAATAGTAAATATTGTGATCTTTTGGTATGCAAATTAACTGCGTAGAATAATAAAACGTGAAAGTTCGGAGCAACAGAGGTATTTAACAGCAATTCCTTTTCTTACTATATGCGCCTTCATTGCTGTAAGGTGTTCTATTAAAAAACTGCAGCAATCAAGTAAACGTCCGTACATGATATCTAATCTTGGTAGTATTCCTAATAATGTGAGAAAGTCGTCTGATGCAGAATATCCCTGAAACTCTATGAATCATATCTCTTTTAATTTTTTAGACAGCAACCATGAAACGGAGGTGAATGAAAGTAATATATCTTTGGGAAGGTTTTTGCATTATGCTCTTTTGAACTTTGATGAAATGTTAAACCGACATTTGGGATCAAACCGTGACAAAGTCAATCTAAGTGTTCGGTAATCCTTCTTGCCATTAATCCAGCTCAGTCTACACTATGTTTTTTTAAAGATGGGCCATACCCATCCGACAATGTAAAGGCGTTGAGTTATTTAAAATGGGCCATAGGGAAATTTACATTGCATCAACTGTTTCAGTCATTGCTTCCTCGCGAATCATCTGCCACAGTACCGTAGAAATTGTTTCTAAATCAACAAATTTATTCAAATGAGATATAAACGTATAAAATTACAATCGGTACTCGAATCGTTTTCCACCGGCAACCAAACAATATACCTACCCGATACTCGGCACTGAATAGCTCACATACCAATCAGCTACTGTACCCACTCTTGTACAAATTGTACTACATGAACACCTTTTCGAGCGGCGGAATACATGTCGTTGCTTCGTCTGTTGTCACACACCTACAGTTATGATATATGCAAGGTGTGTACTTTCTATAGCCCATCTTTAAAAAACACCCTATAAGATGATACCTATAACATATCTCTTGGTTCTACAGTCAAAGAAAGTTCTTCAATTGTGCATATACTTACAACAGGATTAAATTACGGCTTAATTCCTTGGGTGTTACAAAGTGTTACCTTTTGATTTCAACAAATAAAGCAATTCCTTCAAGTTAAAGAACGTGAAGGAAAATGTCTTGCTTTTGAAAAGTAAAAGCTTTTGATTTTTTCATATTTATAAAAAGAACCATTTGCTTACAATCTAAGGGATGTGCTTCTAAAAAAAGGAATCTACGATACAGCAACTTTTCTTATTTTATCATTAGCTGATACGGCATCTCAGAGTCTGCATCTTAAAATTGGTGCATTTCATGTTTAATAAACTCTATCTGTAAGAGCTTGTTTAAGTCATCGTTGGTTGTTTAGTCACAGTATTGTGTTAGTTATGGCTAATGTGGTACATTTACGTACAAGAAAATACAACCCAAAGCGTACAACTCGTGAGTGCAATTTCAAGACGTTATATTCAGATTTAGAGCAAAATGTAGTGTGGTTGGCAAACCGCTTCCTTGGCATGGATTTCGAAACTTGTGGACCAGCGTTGTCACCTGTGCATAAAATGCAAATGTTTTTGCGGTATTTCAAAGCGGAAATGCTGAAGCATTGGGATGTACGCAGCCCACAGCATATTTCATGAAGTGCTTGAGCGAATTATACAACAGGTCAGCGAATGGATCTGATTTATGTCTATTTTCGAGAGAAGGAATGTCTCCTCGCTGCGGAATTATCTTCTTAAGCGAGCCGATCGCGGGTTTGGTCGTCTGTTTCACCTCCTCCGGTTTGGGGACCTTTGACTGTTTCATGGGCAGCTTTGTCGTCTTTTTGGCCTTCGAGGGAGATTTCGGTTTCGACGGAGACAGGAAGACGCCGACACGCCGGTCTTCTTCTTCGCGGACACTGCCATTCCCACCTTTTTCTAAGATGATTGAGGGCACCGGCCGTTCTTTAACCGTAAGGACAGATAAAGTGATCACTTTAACCGTAAGGGTAAATAAAGTGAAACAAATGATTGTGCATTCTATGACATCTGTCATTCGTTTTCAAATGCAGGTTATAAAATGACGTTCAGAAAATATGACAAATCTGGACGAAGATAAAGGGAATGTAACCATCTCGTGAAAGTTAATTCACGAGCTTTCACTCAATGATTAAAATATCCCTTTATCTTCTTGTATAATAAAGAACTATTATTTAGGGTGCCATCTTCTCGGCGTCGATTATGTAGGTCGTCACTAGCTACTTCTTGCTTGTATCTTTTACTTCAAAGTAAATGCTTCAGTTTTGTCATGTAGTTTTATATACGTGCTAATGTATGGGTGGATCACTTTAGATACTCATTGGCCACATTCTATGATGTAGTTATTATAATAAGCAACGTAAGATTCTAATTAAGAAGCCGCTATTATTTATAGGTATTGTTATTTAAAAACAGGTACACTCGCAATTTGGTCGATATTGGCAATGGCAAGTATAACCTAATGATACTCTGCTGGGGCGAAGGGCACGGTTCCGCTATTCACGACCACGCAAATTCTCATTGCTTCATGAAAATGTTAGATGGTTCTCTGGAGGAAATTCGATTTGCTTGGCCAGAAGGAGATGGTGAAAAGCTGAAAGAGATTAGAAGGACTCGATTGGCTCCTAACGACGTCTGTTATATAAATGGTTAGTATACTTTATCAATAATTGCAATTAATTTTTTTACTTTTAAGACTCTATGGGATTACATAGAATGGAAAATCCATCCCACGTCGACGGCGCTATAAGTTTACATTTGTATTGTCCTCCATACAGTAAGTGCACAGTTTTTAATCAGAATACGGGACAAACCTCAACAGCAACGGTTACGTTTTGGTCAATGTATGGCAAAAGAAAAACTAAGGTTGTTCATTTCCTTTTGTCTGAGTAACTATACCTAATACTTTCAATTGTAGAGCGTGGAAGAAATTTCTGCCCCAGAAGATAATTAATTCAACGCTGGGAATTTGAACTAAGAGAATTTTTACCACACATTTTAAGAATGCGCGCGTTTGTTGTCGACAGATTTTTAGTAGCACTATTAAGCGCCGTTTACAAGGACTGTACACAGTATCCCTTAATCGTTATTTAATATTATATCCGAAGAGTAAAATTTCTGTGAATATATGTATAAGTTTTTGTCCATGTCCTACCTAACTCCAACGCATCAGCTTGGCTACATAGCGCGATAATACTGCTAGCATTATGGGAACACTCATCCACTATTCCTTTAGATAAGGTATTTTGTTTACAAATATTATTGTTTTGTAATTGTTACCTTTATATTTTTTAATGTTTACGTGGAACATTTTGGTTTTGTATACTTTGGGTAAGAAACTTTTAGAGTACCTACCTATAGGTAAGTACATCTAATGGTGTGGCTTAGCCATGCATAATTGCATATAATATTCTATTATTGAAGTTATAGCACAACAAACAGCTACTTACACGGAAACTTTAGCGTTAAGTTTCAACCATTTTGGTAAAGAATGGAAGAAATTCGCGTTAAGAAATGTCCAACAATAGAAAATGTTTAATAAAAAATTCACAGATTTCCCAATCCATGCAACCATCGGAGACAGTGGAAATGATAACCGTATAACGCAATATGTAAAACACATAACACGCGGGACTTTGGAAGAAAGCGATAAATGAAGAAAAAATGTCTCTTGCGAAAAACAAAACCTGGATTCTTGCAAAAACCGAAGAAGCGAAAGGAAGAAAAATTTTGAATAGTAAATGGATTTTCAAAGAAAAAGAAAATGGAACCAGGAAAGCTAGACTAGTTGTAAGAGGTTTTCAACAAGAAAGAGGAATAGATTTTCAAAAAACATATAGTCCTGTGGTAAATATGACAAGTTTGCGAATACTTCTTACGATAACGGCTGCTAAAGAATTTAAAATAAGAATCTTTGATGTAAAAACAGCGTTTCTTCATGGGGAACTGAAAGACGAAACATTCATGCAAATTCCGGAAGGTTATCCAAAGAAGGAAGGAATGATATGTAAGTTACAGAGCAGTTTATATGGGTTAAGACAATCACCGTTATTGTGGAATCAAACTTTGACGAAGAGGCTCAACAAAATTGGACTAAAACCACTAAAATGCGATGGTTGTATTTTTAAAAATGAATCAAATACTGTCTATCTTGCTGTATACGTGGACGACGGAATAATTGTGGGGAAGAATTTGCAAGAAGTAGATGAAATTTTGAACAATATCAAGAAGATGTTCGAAATTACAGTAGATCATTCAGCAGGAACATTCATAGGAATGGAAATTTCACAAGAAACGAATGGAATTCGCTTAACACAGTCTTTGTTCTGGGAACAAGTAGCAGAAAAATTTGGTTTGACTAATGCTAAGGATTCCTAAATACCAATCATGACAAAAGATGAGACTGATCGAAACTTAAAAGGTATTTTTTCTATTTCGATGTGGAAACAATACCGAAACCGTACTTGATTGGCCCAGTTTGCGTGCGTTTCTAGACAGAAATGATGCTGAAAGAAATAGAAACGCATTATTTTTTTTTAGTTTGTTGGATTGGTACCCCTCGCTTTTTTGCTGTCAACGGTATCCGTTAAATCAAAACATTTATTATTTTTTACTTAGCGTAGTAAAATATGCCAGCAGTACATTCTTGTTTACTTTTTGAACTCCCTTCTCGGCCAGCCAGTTTTCAAAAATTTTGTACTCCTCGTACTTTACTTTCGATTTTACAAGCAGTAAATTTAACGTCGCTTCATTGGCAATCTCTTGGGTCTCTGGTGGGGTACAAGAGACGTGTTTGTCATCCGTCATTCATCATAACTGCCGCAAAATGGAATTATGACCAAATAATTAAAAGTTTGAAGTTTGAAAATACAGGAATCAGGTTAACCAACGTGAAAATAAATGAATTGTGTCTATTACCAACATACACTGAATGATAGTTTAAAATTACCTAACAACGCCTAAAGGCAATATTTATAATTTGTATAATTTATTATTTAAAATAAATGTCGAAATAGAAAAAATAGTATAAAGCACACGTGTCATTTGTCTACTTGTCGCACTCGGCTTTTGCCGCATTCGCCGCTACGCGCTTATGCGGCAAACTACCTCGTGCGACAATCTTCGTCAAATGACACTTGTACTTTAATATACTATCCCATATCGTGAAGCAGTAGGAAGCCTGCTCTACCTCAGTTCAAAAACACGTCCGGACATCAGTTTTGCTGTTGGAAAGGAATCTCGATACCTGGAAAATCCATCAGACTCGGATGTAAAAAACGTAAAACGTACAATAAAATAATTGACAGGAACCAAACATTTAGGTTTGTTCTTCAAAAAGAATGGAAATTTGAATGAGATGGTAGTGTACACGGATAGCGATTATGCTAATGATCTAGAAAGTAGACGTAGTTATGTATGTTTCCTTAATGGAACACCAATAAACTGGTGTTCAAGACGGCAACCCATCGTAGCACTCTCATCTACAGAAGCTGAATTCATAAGTGCAGCTGAAGTTCTGAAGGAAGTTTTATTTTTGAAAGGCGTAAATTTCTGTTAGGTAATAATGTTGAACTGTGAATGAAATCCGCCAGAAGTGGCTAAGAATCAACTACATTACAAACGAACTACAATTTATTAATAGGTACAACTGTAATTACTACGCATCTTGGGTTTGAGTACAATTACAACATTTACAAGTGCGAGAGCTACGCTTACGATCTTCTTCTCGGTATTTTGAATTATGTCGCCCATTATACCGTCTATTTCTTTCACACGTTACAAAAGTAGACGAGGGCAAAGGTGGAGGTGGTGGCGGTTGTGGAGGAAAATATAGAGATTTTGAATAATCGTGTAAACATCCATTATCTTCAGCGTCATCACTGCACACTCTGTACCACTTGCCGGTGCGACCATCCCTTTGCCACCGACTGTTGTACGTGCGTTGGTAACAAGGAACCGATTTAGGTTTTTTATACATTCTAGAACATTCGTTATGTGGGGCATACTGTGTCCTCACACGTATGATATCTTGATCATTTGCGTGATATTTGTTGCAACATATTGGTTGATCTTTCCGACTAATTCGTCGCGAACAGTCGCAGAAACAAGCTTCTTGTCTCGGACTTCGTTGTCGGCTGTCATCCTCTGTATCTTCTCCAAATATGGGCTTTTCTAAGTTCTTATTATGTTTACTTAAATATTCAAATTCCCTTATAGTGGTCTCCACACGATTTTTATTTCTTAGAGATAAAGTGTCTCCCAATTCGTTCACCAAATCCAAAAATTCCTCCGTGTGTTGATAAACTAACTCTGGAAATTCAGAGTGTCCGGAATAGTCCGAACAACAGCTGCATTGATCATCTTGATACTGTATGGTTAGGCGCGGAGGCGGCGGTGAATTTTTGTAATTATGCTTTTGCTTTATACGAGTATATGTATGGATATTGTCATCTCCACAATCTTCTGGAAATATATTAAGTTTGTGAGACATATTCTTTTCATGTTTAGGACAGTTGTAGGACAGCGGTTGGGATTTGCAAGTGCATCTGACCTCTTCCTTTTGTCTTGGATGTGTTTTGCGTTGCAGTAACGTTGCAGGATCATAACTGGTTTGTCTTGTTCCATTAAATGAGCGCCTTTGATTTTTCAAGCATTTTCGACAGCAATTAGACGAATGCGCTTTATCCGTATGAAAACACTTGTTAATATTATGCGGGTAATTTTTGAGTAAAAATTTTGGATTATGAATGTTGGGATTGTCGTACTCATCACCACCAGGGCTACGCGCAGAGATATCACTCAGGTTATCGTTATCTGACATCTTATCGAAATGTTGCTGCTGCGCTGTAGTACCTTGCGTAGGGTTGTGTTTGAATACTGCGTTAGATTTAATAATAGACGGAGTTTCGTCCCTTTCTGCTGATTGTCGCCAAAAGTTTTCTTCTTTCCTTTCTTCAATTATGCTTGTTTCTCTTTTGCTATCAGCATCATTATTCAATTTTATTGCGCGCCTAATTTTTTTATTTGACTTACCGAAAAATATATCTACATCTGAAAGTTCAGAGTCAGTAGATTCGATATCCACAGTTTGCCAATTGGATTCAAAATTAATCTTGCGGTCGACCCCTTCTTGCGTATAATTTCGAGTACTAGCCATGTGTGAAGAGGTCTTTAAGTCGCTATATGTTATTCCTTCATTGGAAGTATCGGAGGACAAAAACCTACTCTCTTGTGTGTCCGACGTGACGTTGATGGATCTTGGTGATAGTAAGACCAGGGTTTCACCGGATTCCAGAGGTTTTTTTACACGAGGAACAGGTTTTCTCTACAAAGGTGAGGATACAGAAATTTTTGCGCAATTGTCATTAGAAATTTAAAGTGACGGATAAAGTCTCTAGATCAATAGATGGATACCTACTTTGCCAAACAACATTTTTAAACGCGATGCGGGTTTAATATCACTTTGTACGAGCGGTTTGCTATCTAACCACTTTTTTACGGGCCTACAATAGTCTATTAGCCTTTGCCGGTACCTTGGAACATCTTTATTAGAGGCCAGTAGTTGAGACAATTCCGTATTGGCGTCCATACGTTCCAAGGTGTCATTGCTTCTCATCACGAAATTTTCCTTATTACTTTTTATTACCTCTTCAACTCTTCTCTTTCTTTCGATGTTTTTCAGTTGGTCCAGCGGACCTCTCGTGCTTTGTAAGCTACAAGTTACGAATAGTTGGTAAATTTAAAAGTGCAGATGTGCATCAGACCTATTTGGAGAGACATCATAAGTCATACTTTGTGTACTCAATACGGAAGATGAAGACGATGTGGATGGACTAACTGTAGAACTAGCTAAGGATTTTGTTGATTCGTTCATGGTTTCATGTTTAACTTTATGCTTGAAGTAATCACACATCATTGAAGCGGACTTGACGCTACCATAGGCCACCGGGGATCCGGTTTCAGAGGAGACATCCTCACGAATGACAGGTTCACTATCGTCGCAACGGCATGACACTAATTCGCTTTCTATATGTTTCATTCGAATAAAGTTTTGAAAGTCGTGAAGTTTACCATTAATCATTGTATAAAATCGAGAAAATGATATTTTGAAGTTTTGGAGTACGCCTTCAGCAGGAGTTGTGTTAGCACATTTCATTTCTTCAGGCAGTTCTACGTCACTGGGTACTTCGTTCAACGAGTCATCCCTTGATGCGTAACTTGGTATTTTTTGCACTTCTACATCACGAAATTGAAAAATCTTTGACTCTTGACTTTGACTACTTAAGTTCCTTTCTTGTTGATAACTGTAAGAATTGTCACTTTCATTTTCATTCTCGGAGTGGGCGAAGGAGTGTTCCGATAAGTCGTCTATAGTTCGACGCTTTATGGAGGTCAAACCATGGTCGTCGTCACTGTCACTCTCGCTGATGTTATATGTTATGCATCTAGATCTATATTTTTTCTTTCTTTTAAACTTTTCTGTGAATGAATGGCGTTGCAATCCATCTGATGAATCTCTGGAAGTAATTATGTCGAAGCTATTGATATAAAATCAAAAACGCCCACCTTTCTTCACTAATATCGGATAAGTCTCCGTATTGAATAGGTTCCATGCATACGGTGCATAGATTTCGTAAATCAGAGAAACACTGTTCACAGTAGATACCTGGGCATGACTGTTTTTCACATCGTATCGCTGTCGTATCTCTAAAAACCTCCCCACATAAAATGCAGGCAATCTGCTCGTCAGAACCCAAACAGAAGCGTAAGTATTTTGAGCTAAAAATTTCGTTTAAATATGAAAGTAATCTGCATTTTCTTACTTAATATTAGCGCGTAAAAATTCTATACAAGTGATCTTAGTAATTTTACGTGATCCAATCACTTTTCGCCGAAGCTGTCTTCTGGCGAACTTTAGGAATGACGACCGCGATCTCATTATGTGATTGTACAACCAAATTGATCTTTCTCGCGCCCTTGTCGGATGATAATAACACATAACTGAGTGTCTTAATCTTAGGCCGTAGGGTTCAAAAATTGTTAAAATCCAGCATAAAAGAACGAGAGATGCTAGAAATCTAATCGGTAAGTGACAACTTATTAGATGTATATAGTCATTATCTTACCGATTTGAATATAACGATCATAGTCAGGTGGAATTGGATCTGGTAAGCAAGGAATTGTATCAATTTCTAAATTAAGTCCAATAGGTTGAAATGCGGTTACTATCCCTTTAAGAAGATTAGCAATAAAACCATTTCCATCTATGTGCAGACCAATCACGTTTGGTGCTAAAAGCAGAATATTATAATGAATGTTTGTTGCAAATTAACTGATACAACCTTCCATTTTTGATTGAAATCTTGCATAGGTTCTAATCGTCATTAACACCCAATAAAGGGCGTAGTCCGCCATCATATGCGTGGACAATTTCAGTGTTATCACACAAAGGGCAACCGCGGCCTTAGAAAGTTTAAGTTTCTCAATTTTGACTAGCCTTATAGAATTGACCTAAACGATTTGCGGGAATGTATTACCTAATACTTATTAGGTACCTCTACTCATTTAATTAGGAGTTCAGAATGGATCAGTGAAACGAGCGACACAGGAATATACAGAGATATGCCAACTCCAACCAATTGCTTCAGTGGTACAAATAGTCTCATCTCAGGACATTAAAAAATTTTTATTATACAGAACTCACTTTTTTATTAGAAAGAAATATGTTGCGGATGATATATTGCAACGATTGAAAATAAGCTTCTTTTTGATATGAAATTAATGATGCTAAATTCAACAGTTTTATTTTCTATATTGATTGATTGACAAAATTAAAAACAAACTCAACTAATATTGTAGTAATTATTTAAGTATATGCAGTAGGCATAGATATAACCACAGATTTTGTGCGATGATATCACAACAATTTTCTCTTTACATAGGTTAGAACTAGCATATAAACGTATCATACGTCTGTTGTGCAGTACATTCTATTTTTATGTAATTTTTCAAATTTTGACAGCACAACAAACAAAAATCTATTAATAAACGTCTGCATGAATTAATAGGTTTCAATATAGGTACATTTGAAATTTCATATTTGCAGATGTTTGCCAATCACGGTTTCATGGTCCCTCTTTGTACTTACATTAATATATAATGCCCTTTCTCTATGATTTAGAGGTAAAATTGTTTCTTTTTCCATTTGTGCGCGTCTTATGTCAATGTTACGCAGATCTCTTGTGATGAAGTGATTGTCGAATCGATCACTTGTTAAAAATTTGTAACGATAGTGTAAGACGCTGAAATGCTGCTGTGTTAACGGTTAGATACCTAAACTACCTACTTACCGCACAACAATAAATAAAAAGAATAAACTGGTAGCGCAGCTCATAAAATCAAACACAGCTAACAAGTTCTCCGTCCTTTCTCGTACTTCTGTTATTATTCCTTCGGCGACTTCGCTAACGGATTTTGACTGAGTCGTTTCAAAAGCAAATGAACGACTAAATTTAAGCTTTACATAAAACATAGTCTTAATGTGACGAACAAATGTTTTTATTTCTGCAAGTATTGGCAATTAATGTTAATTATACGGTCTCCTTAAACTTACTTTTAATCACGACTCCAACAATAGAATCACTGATGAAATCAACCAACATGCAAATGAAGTCAAATATCTTCACTATATAGCATACAGATTGCACCAAATACGTAATTGAACATAACCAACTAAATAATGGACCAAGTTTTGCATTACAGTCCAATATTGCTTCTTCGAAAACCCTCATACACCTTTGAAATGGTGTTCCCAATTCTTTATTACATATGTTGAGAATTTTTCCAAGAAATTGGAAAGCTGCCTTAATTACTCTTACTAAAAAATGATTTGTGTTAATAATTACGGTAGGTATAGAGGCTTTCGCCCTTCTACAAAATGATATGTGTGCCAAAGTTTGGTCGAACCAACGGTAGGTACACAAATGTTACACATTGGGGATCTTGTGATTGAAGGATAATGAAGGCACAGTGCAGTTCTATTACCTAGTGAGTTTAGTTCGTGTGTAGGAACTGCATATTTATTCATTATAAGGAAAGGTTATGATTACCGATTAATTTGCTGTGATAAACATAAGGGAAATTAGGGGACCAAAGGAACATGAGTTAGGTCATTTTAATATAATCGTACTATATATAGGTAGGTAAGCTTTACTACTTGAAGCAACATTTTTGTGAAATTGCAATTTTCAGAAATTTTATAGCATGATGTACGTCAAAGGCATAGGGTGATAGAGGAAGATAATATCTAATACCAATTTTGAATGATGATGTCCATTTGACGGGCGAAAGTTAACATTGGTATGTCATATTGATATTGCAATTGATTAAAGAACAAGTACAAATACTTACTCATTTAAGAGCATGAAACTGGAATCAAAACCAAACGGTTTTTTTGTCGGTGGATTGCAGAGTTGAACATGAAAATGTGTAAAGAACCGGTGAAGCCGTAGAATTAACATAAATAATTACGTAGCAAACAAATAAAGCCTACAGTAATGGTTTAAAGGGGTTGAATTTAAGTTGATTGATTTAACTAATAAAATTTGAAAATTGACAAGTCACATCAAGATGAATGATGGCGAAAAAAATTCTATGGGGATTGGTTTGGCGCCCTAATTACCATTAATCTAATACCAAACCTACAATATTTGCCCTTCTAATCTTAGAGGCGAAGTATATTTAGGTTTTATGTAAAAATTATAATCCCACACATACCGCTAATTCTCCTAATCCCTTAGCTGGAAAAAATGCAAAAAAATTTCTCCAGTATGCGCTCTGGACTACATTAAATACTAAACAATCGGAAACGGTTTTTCGAAATATGCGCAATATGCTGGTGGCCAGCATAGCGCGTTTTTCAACATTAGGCGAAGTTGGTGTTTGATCCTAACATATCTATTGTACATTTGGTAATTGGTGTGGGTGCATTTTGGAGCGAATGTAATTGCAATGATTTGAGGTTACGTGAAAATCTGGGTTAAATAAGCACGTGTTCTGCATTTGTAATTTTTCCTTTCATTTTTCAGTTGTGTACAACCTACTCTACCTTACGTTAACAAAACGCTTGCAATAGTTTTCCAATTAAACCTTATAAGCTTCGATGTTACATGTCATTACCGCTTATGCTATTTACGAACATCAAGCGCTATGTTCATTTGCAATAACTCTCTGTTATAATTATTTCTTACAGTTACTGTTTTCCATTTGAGTGCGTGAAGCTCTGGTGCAGTTCGTTCGGAGCAGCTCATTTTGCAAGTTGTTCATTTTGCAAGCATTTGAATTGACATTCACATCAGTACATAAATAACCACAAAAGTGGTTCAAGTCCCAAGCAAATAGGTGGTGCATGAGGGGACGAGGGAAATCCAATTTCGAGTGTGTCAGAGCTCGAAGCTTTCTTAAAAGGAACACGGGGCATCGTGCACGGTACAGCTTAGAGCTCCTCTTTCACTCAAATGGAAAGCAGTAATTATTTTGAGTAAGCGGTGTATAGGTATGTCAGTAACGCCAAGCTTCAGAGGGAGCAAAAATTAAGCAACATCTTTCAGCGAAAGCGCGTCGGCGGCTCCAAAAAACTTCCCGGTACTGCCGGTGCCGCGATCGCACACCTCTCTCAAGTCAAGCGAGGGCGGCCTATTCACCAGAAATAAGGCAAGGAAGATGAATGTTTGATTTTTTATGTGTATATCCCTACCCTAATATCTTTGGATATGCGTTTTTGTATACCTACACCGCCTACACGTTATGTCGTTATGTTATTATGTATTTGAAGAAAACACAATAAAGTATTTATGAACGCCACTTTCTATTTTTGAATAACCTCCGGAAGGGCGCGCTGAGAACATCTCGCCTAGGGCGCCAAATAGCCTTTCACCGGCCCTGCGTGTGGCCCCGTAACAGGACCGTAAATGATACGTAACGGGCAAATATACAGTGAATTTATTTTTAAATGCGAACATAGGAGTTTGTATGCAATGTCATTTCCCTATGTTCGATTTTTAAAAAAACACATCAATCTATTGAGTAGTTCAAATGAGTAGTAGATACAATTGACAGCTGTCACATTTTTAAAAATACCGCCGTTCAATTTAATTACGAAATCGGTTAGGTTATTGCTTAGAATGTCAAGGAGGGCACTTCGAACATTTATTGTAATTGTTTGCGTTATTTATTTTCTTATTTTCTTCATTTATGTATTGAATAAATCAAATTAGTAGAATACCAGGTGCACATGACCTACAAATAATTGAAGGTTGGTTCACAATGAATTGTGATGTCAGCGCGTGCCATGTGAAGTCAAGTTATCGTAAGTTTAAGAAAAATTTATCCTAAAGTTGCTATGGCCTCACATGGCTTAATTAAAAGAATCTTACCGAGTGCTCCTCATCATAAAGACTATGAGTTGCTGTTCATAGTCACACAAATTGCCCGTTTTGGGAATGTGAACCGCGCACATCTCATATATTGATGTGTTTTTTTTTAAATCGAACATAGGGAAATTACATTGCATGCAAACTGCTATGTTCGCATTAAAAAAAAACTCACTGTATACCATAGCAGCGAAAATCCGAAGTCTCTAAGTGGCCCATGGGCCGCGATGGAACAGACAGACAGACGACGGAAAATCGAGCACATAAGCGTTACCTCAACTTCGTTGTGTTACGCTAAAAAACCACAATTCTACTCTAACCACTTAATAGAAGAAGAAAACAATTTTTTGTTACTCATATATACCTAAATACATGTAGAGTACTATGTAGAAATATCAACATTTCTTACCTATTGTCAAAACAATTCGTTTGATTCTTAACAGAACGTCCTTAATTTTCTTAACAATAACCTTAATCGACTTTACAACGGTTCTAATCGCATCCCTTATTGCATAAAATGGTTTCTTAATCGCTTCTACTATTTGTCTTACGGCACTCTTCAGTTGTTCCTGAAACAGTGACATACTCCTAATTAAATTGAAATTCTGTAGATAATTACCTGTCCACAAGCCAAGGATTGACTTAAAATACCCATATTTTGAAGTGTATTTTTTGCCGGTCCAGTTATTGCAAGTATAAACGCGTAAGCCATAAGGGCTTGACGACCACGCTTCGAGAAGAATTGTGGGAGAAGCAGGAAAACAACACAACTAAAAATACGTTAATTAGAATGGGATGTCTGAAATTCAAATTTCTCACTATTATATTTAATTACCGTTTTGTTGAAGTGTTATTACAGATCTAATTAACGCTATCGAATATTTCCTTTGTTGGGTTACTTACATTTGCGCCTCTTGCTTATAATAAAGTAAAAGTGGTACAAACGAGGTAATCAATATAGCCATGCCGCTCAAGAAAACCCTTGATTTTTTTCGAAATTATGTAATTTCGCACCTATACATTTTTAGCAAGTTGAAGACTAGATTCTTTTGTCTATGTAAATACGTATCGATAACGGATACGGTATTATTAAATTTTCCGTCATTTGAAATTCCGAACTCGCGTTATTGAAGTAGTGGGTTTAACAAAGAAACTCACCTATGAGAACAGACACATAACAAATTATCGCATGGTCGTAGCGTTGAACTCACTTTATAGACAATTGCACTATACAGTATACAGTGCGTTTGAGATACGAGGGTCATTTCAATCAAAGAGTAACTAATAATATTCTTTGGCCAGATCTCTATTTGTTTCAAGAAGTTATTTTGGTTGCATAAAATTAGGCGCCTTTCAGGAGGCTTTTTATCATGTAAAAGTAGACATAGGAAATCCCTATGTCTACTTCTACATGAATATCACTGATGTATATTTTTCTGCTTCTGCTTGGATTTTTGGTCTCTAAACCGCACGCTAACATTGCTTTGTATTTACGTAAACAATATATTATCCAAGACAAGCTGGTCCAGTGGGGCTAGGGTTCCGTTTCTGACTAATTATACTGTGGTTGGATACCTAAGACGATGAACGATAAGCATCTATCAAGTTTAGTTTACATCATTAAAATGACATTTCATTCATTTCTTGTAAACTTAATTTTTGAAAAAACACCATGTATCTACGAGTACGTGCTGAATTTATTTCCTATCTCATCAATAGAGACGAACAGTACTGAACAACTCTGAAATTTTGAACTTGATTGCGTCAAAAGTGCGCTGTGTAATGAGGTGATATTTTCTCGGAAAAATTCCGAAAGATTGAGAAAGCTCAGAAACGCGTTCCGGCATTCCGGTAGAGGTTGCACGTGTTTGAGACATAATAACTCGACCAAATTGCGGAAATTGATACCATAAGGAGTATGAAACCAATAGGGAAGGGACGCCCAATATAAAAAAAATAAATATTAAGTTTATTTTTTGCTTTTATTTGTGAAATCTTTCGGCCAAGTTCTGGTAAAAAATTCCAACGCCTTCTTGGTGTACCAATTTTCACGACGTCACTTATTTTTATCACAATCTATCAAATTCTCATAACAATCCACAGCATGCATATCTCAACGTTACGTTTTGTGATACACTTACTATCACTTTTGTTATCAAAATGAAGTTTGTATTTATACATAACATTCCATTAAGCATATTACGTTTAACTGAATTCATTTCACTTGCGAAAGAATGTGATAGAGAAACACATTATCATTGGTTTCAGGGAAAAAAACTGTAAACCTCCTACTAGATAGCTTATATGGTTCATGACCTATATCACACGTCATCCTTGTATCATTTAGCAATTCTATTTATTTATAATAAAAAAAAACCAAAAGATTGCGTGTTTCCTATATCACTACTAAAACTAATGTAGAAATCTATATCATATATTTTATTTACATATCCACTTTTATGTCAGGATGTCATGTATTTTCTTTTTTTTTCGTTTAGAAACACTAGACCAACAGTTGAAATGTTTTATTATTGAAATTCCTTATAATAAATACTCTCTTTCTAAAAACGGATATAATAATATTCTACTTTTACTACTTTTACTACTTTTACACTTACAAAATTATGACAGATTACAGATGTCAGCTTGGTAGCGTTTTTCATAAGATTATTGAATATAAAAGGTAAGTCATCAGCAAAATATTCTTCTGCAGTCTAGTCTGCTGACGATGGGGTAGTTTTTCAATCCCTGTTCTGTAGAATTCTGCTAGTTTAGAATTGAAGAAATCCCCAGAAATCTTAGCGCATTTGCGTTTGGAAAGGAATTTTCCACATGGACTGTTTGACATAGTAAGAAAAAAATGAAAATTAGAGGGCACAAAACCATCAGGAAAATAAGAGGGGAATGGAATGACCTTTCAATCCAGGTGCACATCTTTGTTGAATTACGATTCCAAGGCGTTTCATTTGGTGGCAATAAACGTCAACAGTGATTATTATAACCCAGGAAAGCAATTCATTATAAAAAGTACGACGTCCCAGCAATTGTGTAACATGACCCTATGTGGATACATACTGACGTTTGTTTTACCTTATTTTGAATAGTCCACAACAACACTCAGTAGATTTAAATATGCGAAAATGAGTATGTAAACTCAAGCCCAATACTAGCACATCAAATTAACAAATGCCAATCAATAAAAAAAATCTAGTAAAAACGCTACGACCTTATGCACTAACCCAATACAACAATTAGGTAATTGAAAGGAAGTGATTGCTTGTGGGCCACAAGTTGTGGTCCGGGTTGCAAATATTCGACCAGTAAAAAATTGCATTTAAATGTGGCGGTAATTTTTGGACAGGAGCTACTGTACGGCGTTAATATATGGTAAGAAATTGAAATCTACTTAAACCAGTAAACTAATAATTTCCATTTTGAAAGCAATTTGGGACCATTGACTCCAAATTTATGCCGAAATTTGTTTAGTATTTTATTAACTTAGCTAGGTATAATTCAAACTAGGTGTGAAAAGTACCTACATCAATACTGTTTCGCGCTTGGTGTTCTGCATTCCCAATTTATTGATTTCTTGGAAATGAATCAGGTACTTTTGCCAAATGTTAATTTAAATAAACGTGTAAACAAATACAGAAAACGAGCTCCTGGGTATGGCTATAGCAGGGGCAAAACCAAATTTTGAACCTGGTGTTAGTATTGCTTTTATTTAAAGTGTATATGTATGAAATTTCATTTAATTGCTTTCATAAATAAGAAAGTTGGGACTGTGCAGGCGCAAAACCCAATTATGAAACTGGCGTTAAATTTGCTTTTATTCCAAATGCCCATGTATCAAAATTAATTTAAAAGCTTTCATAAATAGGAAAGTTTGCAATTCGGTTTATAAATGGTCGAGATGCCAAAAGGGCACTGTGAATGTTGATAGATTAGCGTCAACTTTTGGAATTGCGTTTTATATGGCTAAAGCTGTACGCATATTGAATTTCATCCAATTCGGTTCATAACTCACGGAGATGTCAAAAGGGTCTTCCTTATTTTTTGGACTACATTGTCAATTCACGAACTTCGATCTACAAATTTGATAAAGAATCCATCTACAAAATTTCATCGTAATCGGTCCATTCGTTATCGAGATATCGTGCTAACGGACAGACGGACAGACACTGCAAAATTATAAACTCGCTAGGAGCTCGTTAATAAGTCGTAGCTTCTAAACGGAACATTTTCATGTAAAATTTTCGATAATAAGTTAATATAGTACTATTGAGCATTACTCACCGAATTTTGTAACTAAATGTCAATCCTAAAGTCAAAATGGTACCAAAGATGCAACACATTAACGTAGCGGTTGATAATTTGAAATTCAGTTGTAGCACAAAGAACATGAAAAACATGTATGTTAAAAGGAAACCTGAAATAAATCCAATAATACTTTTCATGATAGTATTTTCCCAAGTGCCATCATGCTTGATTTTATACATCAACTTGTAGATGTAAGAATGTGTAGGAAATGTAAATATATCTTTGACACATTTCTTAAAACGTAGACGTTCACGAATTAGAAAGTGGCGGCATTTCTGACTGAATCCATATTTTGGGGATCTCCCTTGATCTATTTCAATCGCTTGAAATTTCTCTTGCCTTACTACATTTGTTAATTTTTCAACTTTACGGGACTTCAATATTATTCTTGCAAAAGTCATTTCGCCCTTTTGACTTGACAGTCTGACTGTTACGTTATTGTTTTTAGGACAACTACCTATGCGACTAAATAGTTTAAACAAAAAAATGGTATCGCAGAATCTAATCAGTTACCAATAATGTTTTCCACGCAATTGGTGGAGGGAAACCCTATATAAGGAAGAATTTTACTTGTTGAATCAATTGGCTTCAGTTTATCTAGTGCATTGTGCTTTACATTGAAAATAAAGTAAGTTAGTTACCTTATTTTATTCGGTAGGTACCTACTCAGTTTTTTTTGGTGAAATATTTGAATGTGGAAAAATTAATAGGTCCACCTGCAAACCCACACTACACATTTGCTTCCTGTCCCTTCCATGTTTTGAAAAAATTAAATGGGATACGTTTTAATTTTATTATCAACTTTATTTGATACACAAAAAGAGGAGCCGAAACCTTAGTAGTGTTAATTGCAGGCGAAAAACTACTAGTGACTGCGTAATCCACTTCGATTAAGTGCGTTAAGTTGGAAACGAAAGTTTCAATTATTAAACTATTAAAATTTGTATTCTATCAAATACCTACTAATACTATTTTTACGTTTTAGAGATGGATGTGGATGAGTACAGAATACGCGGTAAGTATTTAAAACTGCGAAATGTGTTGATGTGCGTGTTACGAAGTGTATGATATAATTATAACATGCCGATAAATAACCCATATGATTTGATTAATTTGGCAACAGCTCTATAGATAAGCAAATTTTATAACTAAGTTTAAATTATAACAAATGGTGCTACAATTGGGCCCAAGTGAAATAAATTTCATATTGGACTATAAATGTCGAAATAAATTCTTTTGTAAAAGCGTGAATCGGTAAATAAGTTCAGTTTATTGCAACAATAAACACGATTGGATTTAACCAGTTCGGTGTTTTGCAATTTAGTAGTATGACTATCTTATCTTATTTACCCATTGTATGGTGATAACATTTCCATACAGGGGTGCTTGTAATACCTGATGTCACTTATGTGATCTTATACAAAATTCCATCGAAGGACGGAGGGACCAATAGGCAATAAGTACTTAATTTTTTAGATTAAAAGTTCTAATTACGCTCAGGAACACAGTAGCCCATTCCCATTGACGTTCGGTTTTTAATTCACTTTTTTAAATATTCTTTGGAATATTGCTTATCCTCATAAGAAACAGTTATGAAAAAGACGAAGTATAATTTCCTTATTAATAAAAGATATTTTATAAATCGATTGTTGCAATTTATTAATTTACACTGTGAGACGGTCGGGACATACACATGAAGACATATTCTTTTAAGAGCTACCGTACAATTTCTCTATGTATTCTTTTAAATGGCTAACATCGCTTCAAAGTATTAGAGTATTTTAATGAGTAATGACAGTCAAAATTTTATTTACAGTTTGGCATTTTGAGTGGAACATTGTTCATAAATGCTAAAATGTCCGCAAGGGAAGAAAAAGGGTTGATCCTTATTCAAAGATAGGACTAAAGCTGTCGCGATTTTATCGCACTTTTGATCTCTAGTTTTTTCCGTTGCAACAAAACTTTCGTGTAAAAATAAAATTATCCGATTAAAGATCAAGCTATTGTGTATTTACCCCCGATTATTTTTTGCCACCACTGTTAGGATATTATAGAAACTCTGGTACTACAAACATTGAATCAATTTACTTGTCATGTTATTTGAGTGTAGATGGTTTGCCTGTTTTAGGTAAAGAAATGGTTGATTATATAGCCGATTACTTGAAAAATATACGTAGTAGAAGGGTTTTTCCTGATCGAGTACCGGGATTTCTACGTTTACAAATACCTGAGAGTGCTCCAATAGAAGGAGAACCATGGATAGATATATTCCCTGACATAGAAAATATTATTATGCCGAGCGTTACACACTGGCAAAGTCCACATATGCACGCTTATTTCCCGGCTTTAAACTGTTTCCCGTCTTTGCTAGGCGACATGCTCTCGGATGCGATCAACTGCATTGGATTTACATGGGTAAATTACTTGTTTGGTGGAAGCTATTTTGATGTGAATTTTTAGGCATCAAGCCCTGCATGTACAGAGTTAGAAACAATAGTCTTAAATTGGCTTGGAAAAATGATCGGTTTACCTGATGATTTCCTACATACTAGAAATGATTCCCTAGGAGGGGGCGTAATTCAGGTACGATAATAAAAAAGCGTCACAACGTCTACGGCTTATACACAATTATTTAGACAACATCAAGCGAGGCGACTTTAGTGTGCCTATTGGCGGGAAGAACCCAGGCAATTAAAAAGTATCAAGAAATATATCCCGATTTGGAAGATGTAGAAATAAATGCTCGATTAGTCGGCTATTGCTCCGATCAAGCTCATTCTAGCATTGAAAAGGCCGCCCTTATCGGTTTAGTAAAAATGAGATATGTAGAGACTGATGACAATCTCTCAATGAGAGGACCAGCGTTACTACAAACAATTAAAAAAGACAGAGAAAAAGGATTAATTCCATTTTGGGTAAGCTGTAATGCATGATTTTTAATAACCACCTATAACAGAATGTGCTTATTTCCAAAATATGCAATTTCGCTCATTAACGTTATTTAGAAAGCGATCGACCTGATGCTAAATCAAACTCTTTTAAAACAGTTAGGTATCTCGCAAAAGTAAAAATTAGTACATGCAAATAGACGTGAATTTTGAATTGGAATTTTTGTTGGAAGAGTAGCTCTCAAACGAAACATTTTGGATCTTTGGATTTGAACAATATAATTTGTTTTGATGTTGTTGTTTTTATTTTCTATTTTTCTGTATTATTACGTTATTGATATTGTGTATCGTATAGGTTTTTATTTCTTACACTGGATCTTCCATTCAAACAGTTGCAATTACCGATTAAATAGAAAGTACTAAAGATTCATATTATAGTCAATAATCAACAAATCCTTTCTTCCATACAGTATACAGTATACACATTAGGTACACGCATACTTACCAAATTTGTAAAAGAATGATGCTGAGAACTGACCGTTCCGAGACTTTATGTACTGAAGAATGTTTAATCAAAAAGAACTACCACAGATTAAACAACATATACTCTGTGGAACTACTAATTAAAAATGCTACCATAGCTGGACAAATTTTAGGTTCTATAGGTACGCTTTCTACACAAAACGTTCATTGCAGATTGTGGATGAAAGCATTAATCTACCATTATAGTCCAGTCAAATTAGCTAGAAAAGTAGTCTAAACTGGATGTTTTGTCACTATACGAAACCAGGTGTATTCTATATGTAAAAAATCCACTGAATCCGAAAATCATATAGTCCCCCTAAGTCGGAAACTCCCGGGACATATTGTTACAAACAAAAAACGAAGGAAAAATGGGAAAATGTCGTTTTTTTTCGCATTTGACTTCGAATATCTCGTTAATTCGGGGATTATTAATTTGTAATTACAGAGGTTATTACTAAGTAAAATTCATCCGATGTTTTTGAAAATCTAAATTTGGACACTCTTTTTGATAACAAAATAATATACCAAACCCGATCACCGTAGGATTCATAGTCATTGATTAATTAAATAAACATATCAATAAAACGAGGCTTGGTCTTTCAAACCGATTGACTCTCAGAGCATTCTCAATTTTTTCACAGATAGTAAAACCCTAAAACAACATTTGTAACAATTGTCTCGATAATTCTTCCAAATCGACGGACTGTGGAATTTTTCTAAGTAAGAAATGGAATAATTTCCGAAATGTAACTATAATATGCGCTTAGGGGTTTGACAGCGGCGGTGTAGATTTTGAAGTAAAATATGTCCCGCTTCCAACCAATATCGAGGTGTTTTTACGTTTTTCGGTGAATTGCTTGCTCGATTGGACGACCATTTCGACCGAAAACATTTCGAAGCTTGCGAAAAGTTTGACGAACATAACACGAATGTTTATAATTATAATCAGTTTTCACGTTGTTGAATTGTGGTCTCATTAGATCACAAATTTAGGAGAATAGCTTTTCTGTCGTTTGGCCTTTGCATTTGGAATCGAAAATGGTAACTTATAGAAAGCAAAAGGTTCTACTTAAATCCATAGTTGGCATCTACATATTTATCCATCTTAGTGCCGGTAAGTATATACTTCATTTATCATTTGTGTGTGTGTGTAACCGATTATCCATTGCTGTATGGAACACTTCAATTGTATTTCTGAGAAGTAAAGATTAAGCAATATCATTAAGTAGGTAGCTTTCTACAAATGACTAATTGGAGCAATCTTCTTAAATAGATCGCGTCCCTTCACAATAAAATCCCACTGGAAGCAATTAATAAGTGGTGACATTGAAATATTGTTGACAGTTGAACACAGATTTTACTTATTTTTCCTTCCAAGTAATTGCATTTGACGCCGTATTACTTTATTGTTATATTTTTAAGCACCAAATACCTATACTGATTCAGAGCAGTCTTATATTGTAATGAATTGCGTTTCGCATGTATGTGCGTATGTCGTATTGAGGTATATGTATATAATATGATCAGAATAAAATGTAACCAATTTAAATTCAATTTAGTGATTTTGATTGCATATAGAAAACTGGCTATTGTAAAACCGATAGAATCATTATTGATTACTTGATATTTATTTCCTGTTTACCTAAATATTTGCGGTATTTTGTGAATGTCTTTATTTTGAGGAATACCAAGCGCAAAAGCTGTGTTTCGTAAAATTTTGAAAATACTTTTATCATCAAATGCAGGGGCGGACTGGCCCGGGGGGGCGGGTGGCGATTTCCACCTGGCCTGTACGTCATAATGGCCCGTTGGAAATTTATAAGTATGTGCTGTATTTAGTTTCTTGCACTATTAATAAATTATTAACACGTTTCTCTAATTGGGGTTGATGTTAGGTTGTTAAAAAATTTAAAAATTCTGTTTTAATTGAAGTGTTTTACAATGAATTTATCATTTTTTGTCGTAGTATGAAAGTGCTGAAATACAATGATAGGCGACGCACCTCGTTTGGATTGTATATTTTGTTACTTTTAATTATCAGCTGCAATTTAAAAAAACCTGTATTGTAATTGATTTCCGAAAAAGGAGTACTTTAAAATGAAGCAAAAAATGTTTTTGTGGTGCACCGCAGAGCTACCCTAAAATTTTTTTCCGGGTCGATCTGAGACAATTTTTTTCGGGCTCAAAAAAAGCAGTGTACCTTCCTTTTTCACCAAAAATCGACTGCACCAAAATTTCTCGGGAAAACAATTTTTTTATTAATTTTGGTGCGTAGAATTCAAAACAATTCGTACTTTTTCGATCAAAGTTCTCAATCAAAAGTTATGGACTAGAAACCAATTTCGAAAGAAAATTCAAAGGGCTGTAACTTTTGAACTAGAAGCCCAATTTTGGAACTGTTTGAAATTATGGATTCTACAGGCCACATTCTATAAGAAAATTTTTTTCCGGGTCGATCTGAGACAATTTTTTTTTCGGGGTTCAAAAAAAGGCAGTGTATAACCTTCCTTTTTTACCAAAAATCGACTGCACCAAAATTTCTCGGGAAAACACTTTTTCTTATTAATTTTGGTGCGTAGAATCCAAAACAATTCGTACTTTTTCGATCAGACTTCTCAATCAAAAGTTATAGACTAGAAACCAATTTCGAAAGAAAATTCAAAGAGCTGTAACTTTTGAACTAGTAGCCCAATCTTGGAACTGTTTGAAATTATGGATTCTACAGGCCACATTCTATAAGAAATTTTTTTTCCGGGTCGATCTAAGACAATTTTTTTTTGGGGCTCAAAAAAAGGCAGTGTATAACCTTCCTTTTTTACCAAAAATCGACTGCACCAAAATTTCTCAGGAAGACACATTTTTTTATTAATTTTGGTGCGTAGAATCCAAAACAATTCGTACTTTTTCGATCCGACGTCTCAATCAAAAGTTATGGACTAGAAAGAGGGGCGGACTGGCCCGGGGAGGCGGGTGGCGATTGCCACCTGTCCTGTACGTCATAATGGCCCGTTGAAAATTTATAAGTATGTGCTGTATTTAGTTTCTTGCACTATGAATAAATTATTAACACGTTTCTCTAATTGGGTTGATGTTGGGTTGTTAAAAAATTAAAAAATTCTGTTTTAATTGTAGTGTTTTACAATGAATTTATCATTTTTTGTCGTAGTATGAAAGTGCTAAAATACAATGATAGATGACGCGCCTCGTTTGGATTGTATATTTTGTTACTTTTAATTATCAGCTGCAATTTAAAAAAAACCTGCATTGTAATTGATTTCCGAAAAAGGAGTACTAAAATGAAGCAAAAAAATGTTTTTGTGGTGCACCGCAGAGCACCCCCCCCCCCCGCACCCTTCATTACTACACTGATACTTTAATGGCCCGTAACCTATGCAATTCTACCTGGCCCGTAAGTACCCAGTCCGCCCCTGATCAAATGTATTAGTTTATTTAATCGGCTCGCCTATCAAATGCAACTATTATCTACGAGTAAAAACTGGTACACTGAAACTACAACTACTTACATGTTGCGACATTATGCGGCTTTAACGATGTTAGAATCACTAGATCTGTCGGCCTGTTCGTACGACCCAAGTATTCTGTCCCTTCATTTAGGTTTTGGGAAACTTCAATTCATAAAATAAATTTATTTTGACATGTATACTTACTCATGCATAGGTACTCAAAATCGGTCAATAGTCAACGAAAGTTTAATCAATTTTGTAAAAGGGTGTTATTCTATCCAGGAAACGTTGTCACATGTTATTCATAAATGAATATACGCGAAGTGATTTTTTTCACTACTAGCGTCTGATGACATGATTATTAACCTTTTTTCCACTTGTAAAGTAGGCTTTCTCGGCATTTGTTCCAAGTGGTTAATAATTTTTTATTATTAACTAGTAGTCAATAATGAGAACTGTCACGCTGTCACTTTTAGAAAACACAACCCGAAATTTCGCTCAATGAACGTTTAGACAAGTTCTCTAAAACGAATAATTGCCACCATTCGCAATTTCCAGAGAAATTACATACCTAAAATTATCACATTTTGAAAAAATTCGAACGAAATTACTCTTTGAAAAATCTCAATGACAGAACAAAATTCGGCCCGTTTGACTTGTACTTCCACGTACTTGATTGACATGTTAAATTAAGAAACAAACAATTCTGTCCAACCGTTAACTCTCTTATCAATATAATATGTTAATTTAGAGGATTTCAAGTGCTAGTAGTGAAAAAAATAGTATATATACCACGGTAGAGAAGTCTATTATTGCCTTCGCACCTTACACCCCTCGGCGCAAGCGCCTCGAGATGTAATCTTGGTGCTCAGGCAATAATAGTGGACTTCTCTACCTTGGTATATAATGTACTATTTCTTAATATTAGCATTTCTGTCTTTATTTTTCGTTTTTACATTTATTTATTTAATACACTATGCTTTTCAGGTGTGCGCAACTTTAGGGACGACCGGCGCTTGTGCATTTGACAACCTGGAAGAAATAGGAGCAATATGTGCTGAAGAAGAAATATGGCTGCACGTGGACGCTGCTTATGCCGGTAGTGCATTTATTTGTCCGGAGTTTCGAATTTGGCTGAAAGGTGTCGAAAACGCCAACTCTATTGCATTCAATCCATCAAAATGGCTAATGGTACATTTCGATTGTACAGCCATGTGGTAATTATTGTTGGCCGTTTAAAGTATTTTGCCGCATCAGCTGCTGTTTTTAGGGTTAAAAGCAGTGCCGCCCTGCACAGAACCTTTAACGTTGAACCACTCTATTTAAAACACGAAAATTCAGGTAAAGGTGTTGTAGGTATCTAATAATTTTTAAAAAAAGTAACAAACTTCTTGTTGTAGGACTTGCAATAGATTACATGGTAAGTTCGCAGTAATATGTAGTGTAAGTACACATGCAATTGGTTGGGTTCTAGCATTGGCAAATTCCCTTAAGTAGAAGATTTAGGGCATTGAAATTATGGTTTGTAATTCGAAATTACGGTATCAAAGGGCTACAAAATCATATAAGAGAAGTAAGGCTGTTGTTTGTGAGCGAGGTGGTTAGTAGTGCTCAAATACATTATTCCAGGGCGTACGTCTGGCTCAGAAATTTGAATCGTTACTATCGGCCGATTGTCGGTTTGAAATAGCGGCACGAAGGCATTTGGGTTTGGTAGTTTTTCGTTTGGTTGGAGAAAACCATCTGACGGAGAAGTTGTTAAAGAGGCTAAATTCGAGAGGAAATTTGCATTGTGTACCGGCTGCTATTAAAGATAAATATGTAATAAGATTTACAGTAACGTCACAATTTACTACAGTAGATGATATTGTAAGAGATTGGAAAGAAATTAAAGTAGTATCTGAAAGTGTACTATCGGAGGTCGCGGATGAAAAGAATAAGACCAGAGTTAAACTGGCAGGTAATTCATTTTTTGAACGTCGGTTACAGATGGAGTCGGAATACCGTCAAATCGCGTGACTACGAGTAGAACCTACCTGATCAATCCTTGTGATTTGTGTATAACTTATTTCCCCCTTCGCTATTAATAATAAAACTAGTCGAGATTTGGAAGCGGCCTTCTTGTGAATTTAGTGTAATTACGTACCTATAAGTTTAATAGATTATTTATACATAGGCAATCGTAATATATTTGTATAAATAACTTTAATATTGCGGTTTTATTGAAATTAACGCCCTATAAGTAATGCACTAACACCACTCTATTAAGAAACATTCATATCATTGATCCATTGGTTCTACTAGTATATAACAGACAGGATGAGGTGCTATTTTTCTTGGTTTACGATTCTTGGGAAGTCATACCTGTACAATGTTGCTAATTAGACTTTACGCAATGTGTTAATTCAAAACTTGAACCTATGTTCTTTTTTGGTCAGTCAAAGTTATTTTGGTATACTGTCGTGTATGGTTCCAATCTGACCTTTAAGCCGCTTTACTTTGCTGTAGCCAACAGTTTGTCCATTTTAGGTTCGCTATACAACGTGTGCAAAGTGAAATCGGCATTATTGATAACTTAGTTATGATGGCAGTTACAAAGTTGGTGAAATTGGGAAATATAAAGCGTTTTTTTCTCTTGATTGCAATCAGATAAAATAGTTGGGCATCAGGTTATAACGTTGTAACCGAGGTTGTAACGGTTAGTTACATTATAAGTGTTGAAGACCCTCGTTCGTATTAAATAAAAGTGATCCTGGTAAAAATCACAATCAATTTTACTCATGGCTAGCTCTCTAACAAAACTTAGATACCCTCTTTACCTGCGGAAGGTTGGCCTTTTACCTTCTTTTCAATTCTGAAAATCAGAGCTCTGGTTTGAGTGCAGACGAATAAATACGAACTCCAAATCACTGAATTTATTGGCAAACTAAAGGCGATCTAATTCCATTCTCCTTTGCATTTTTAGCGCATTTTTGCAAAAAATTTTTTTTGTAAAAAGTAGCTTTTAATCTCACTTTGGCTGGCTGGCTGGCTGCTGGCTGGCTGGCTGGCTGGCTGGCTGGCTGGCAGCAAATGTGGGCGCGTAGAAGAACTCTTGTAGAAAGGCAACGGGTGTACGTGTATCTACAGGGCCGTGAAATTTGTCAACCTTAGGGACATGGCTACATGATGTGGGGTTGGCGACATCTGGGCGTCATCCTCGAGCGTAGTATACTAACGTGAAGGTTTTTCAGTTTTTTCCTATCTTCTACTACAGTTTTGGTCCGATTCTTTTGAAATTGGTGTCGTCGGAAAGATGTTGTAAACGCGCACAACTCCTGCGTGGCGGAATTTTGTTTTTTGTCATAGGGGCGAATTAACGACCTTTTTTGCGGAGGCGGCGCGCGCGTCTTCCGACGAAGTAGTCAGGCGCCCTTTTACCTCCGTTTGCGAACTCACGGAGCGTTTAAAGTTTCCGTGAATCTCGAATCGCTGTCTCTCTTTCTCGTGTCGCCAATAGAGTGAAATTGCGAGTGAATCCGGGAAACGTCGGAAGTGGGTACGTAAAAGAAGAATGTGCAGTTTAATTCTTGTCGTGCTCATAGTAACAGGTATTACGAGTGCTCATAGTGATAAGAGTTTCAGTTCTGTTAGCAGTAAACCAACACCCGTATTTTATACAAAGACGAGTACAAAGATAAGTCGTATTGATTAGATTCCTCTTATTATTATTTTGCAGTAGATTAGTTAAGCAAAGGTTTCCACGGCGCACTGGTGTGCACGTGGGAGCCCGTATCGGCTCGATTGCGAGTTGTTTATTACTACACGCTTTTGATTTTCTGACATGGAGAATCAAGATAAACAGTCCCGTACAATTGTGTCCGAAATTATGGTTGCTTCTAGCCAAGGAGGCAATCAAGTAAATGCTCAATTAGGCAACTCTGAAAACTTGTCAAATGAACATATTGAACGCGATATGCAATCCTTTGCATCCGTCGTTAAGGAAAAGAATCGTTATGTATTTCCTAGCAGAGAACAAGGAATTCTATTCCCAGCAATAGATCGGTTATCCAAAAATGATTATGTAATTTCTGTGGGGACCCTGGTGGGGCCCAAAAATGTGATTTACGCATCTAGGGTATCTAACTCGAGAGTGTGCATATGTTTAAGCAGTAAGACACTTGTTGACGACTTTATTGCTAATCATAAAGGCATTACAGTAGGTAATGTTTTTATTCCCGCACGTAGATTGGTTTTACCGGCAAAGAAAATCATTTTGTCAAATGTTTCGTTTTGTATCCCGAATGATGTACTAGCTGAAGAATTAAAACGGGCAAATTTAAAACTAGTTTCGGGTATCACATGTATTAATGCCGGAATCGGTGACAAAGATTACGCTCATGTGCTAAGTTTTCGGCGATACACGTACGTTGCATTGGATGATAACGATACCTTACCCTCTAGCATTCTTATTAATTACCAAGACAACTACTTTCGTGTATTCCTATCGGCAGATGAAATGAGGTGCTTCTCTTGCAAAAACAAAGGGCACCTTGCCAGTAGATGCCCCAATTCAGTTGGGCATTCACCATCTACAAACTCAACAGAAATTGCGACAGATAGGGAAATAGTCAACGAACCGCAAGAAGACACCCAGGATAAAAGTGTCCGTAGTAGTACCGACCTTCAACCATTTAGTGAACCAATCGCTCCCACCTCCCTTATGAATCCTTCATCAACCGGTACAGTCGTTGTAGATCTCAGGTGTCCACCGAAAAAGAGGGGTCCACCGTCATCAACGGGATCACAAGACGTCAAAAGTACAGCCGGCTACTCAGAAAAACTAACCTTTAAGAAACCGAAAACTAAGAGTAAAAAGAAAGGCGTAATTTCTACCCCAAATGAGGACTCCATGTCCTTTCCTGAATTCAAAAATGTTTTTGACGACTCTCCCGAGTTACTAATTAGCTACGATAAATTCTGTGAGTGGGTAGTAGAAGTGAAAGGTCAAGAAAACATAGCTGATATTACCGGAAAATATACAAACGACTTATCGGCGCTTCTCAATATACTAATCAAAACCATTCAGCAAGTTAAAACAACTAAGTTAAAGGCCAGGCTTAAACGGCTTTGCTTAAAACTACAAAGATTGGCGAATTCAAGTAGTGAAATCATATTGTCGGATTTGTCACAAGAAGATAGCATGATGTCCTCCCAGGAGGACTTCAGCGATTCGGATTTTTATTAGAAGGAAGTACAGTTTTTTTTCCCGTTATTTACTTTTAGTTTTATTTAATTTAAAATGGCGTCAAATATGGGTTTAACAATAATTCAGTGGAATGCGCAGTCGGCGGTAGCCAAACGACAAAATCTTGAAAACATGCTATCAGTACACAAAGTAAATATAGCCGTCTTGTCCGAAACTTGGTACAAACCCCACTACCTTTGCAACTTTAAATACTATGATGTTGTTAGACAGGATAGAGCAGATGGATACGGAGGTGTTGCTATCTTAGTCGATAAATCCCTACAATTCAGCAAAATCAATTTTACTAATAATTTTGACCATTTTATGGCTTGCGGCATTAGACTTTCCAAGCACAATTTGTCAATAGTATCAGTATACCGCACAGTGCAAAGCACCATGAGCTATACGGATTACGCAGACTTTATATCGCAAATAACTCCCCCTTACATTATAGGCGGAGATTTCAACGCACATAATCAAGCTTTTGGATCATGTAAAACTGACAACGCAGGAAATGTGCTTTTAAAAGCAGTCAATTATGTGGATTGTGTTTTTTTGAATAACGGATTGCCCACCAGAATATCTCCACCTAATTATGGCCCGTCAGTGGTGGATATCACACTGGCGACTAAAGATATTGCTGGTAAAATCGAATGGAATATTTTAGATGACACCTTCTGCTCAGACCATTACCCCATTCTCATGGAATATAAAATATTGAGAAACAACATTAGCAAAATTTACCCTAGCACTCGTTGGAAAACGGACAAAGGCAACCTTGAACGATTCCGGGTCATCATGAGTGATAAGCTTCGAAATACTCCCATTCCTGATACAGCCAATGGGAAAATGCAATTACTTATTAAGACCATCGCCGATACAGCAGACGAAATCTTTACCATCCGACATCCCTTTGTTATTAAGGATAAACCTCCTCCTCCATGGTGGGACGACGACTGCACTAAGGTTGTCAATCAAAGAAAGGCAAGATTAACGGAGTATAAAAGGAATCGAACACTTGAGAATTTTGTGAAATGCAAAGAGGCCTTTGCGTTTTCGAAACGATACCTTAAATACAAAAAACGGGAGAGCTGGCAAAATTTTTGTAGCAAATTAAATAAGAATACCCCGTCCTCCTATGTGTGGAATATGATTAAAAGACTAAACCGAGTTACGGCTTTAAACAGATCTGCAAGCCACAGTTGTATGGAAGAATTCCTAGACGCAATGAGTCCACCATCTGTAGCAAAGGCACCGTCCAAAGAAGTTGTCGGCCCAAACGACAACCCTTTACTTAAACCATTCTTAGCGATAGAACTTAACAGGGCCTTAAAAACTACAAAAAATACAGCTCCTGGGCACGATAATGTTACCTACGACATGATACCATATTTGCCAGAGGTGTGTAAGAAATTACTGTTATCAGCGTATAACAATATGTGGTGTGACGGTCAAGAAGTAGCATCCTTCAAAGTAGTTGTGGTGACACCTATTTTAAAGGCCAACAAGAACCCTAACGAATTCAAATCATATCGCCCTATTTCCCTGCTATCGTGTTTGTATAAAACGTTCGAACGAATGATCAAAACGAGGATCGAATGGTGGTTAGAAGGAACACCTGCGTTACCACCCAGGCAATACGGATTTCGGAGAAATAAAGGTACCATGGAAGCGTTATCTGACCTAATCACGGAAATTCAGACTAATCTATCACACCAGTATTACACGGGCGGCCTCTTTCTAGACATTAAAGATGCATACAATCACGTTGACCTAGACATACTGGAGGAAAAAATGTGTAAAATCGGGATTCCTAAGAAAGCAGCTGGGATTATATCAAACCTGTTCAGAAACAGAACCATATATCTGAAAACACCCAACAATACCCTCTTAGGACCCAGAACAATAGCGTTAGGACTGCCACAAGGTTCAACGTTAAGTCCTATCTTGTTTAATGTATATACGCACGACATCCACGAACA